CATGAATAAGTTTCTAAGTTTAGGTAGTTTTGTCCCTATAATTCCCAAAAGAAAAGCTTCTGGGTTTGTTTGTTTTTACAAACGTTATTTTAAGCATCCTTTTCATTTCATTATATACGACTGAGAACTGCAGACTGGGGACAACCTTACCTGGAGACGCTGGGGATCAAACCAGGGACTTTCTGCAGGGAAAATGGATGCTCTTCCACTAAGCTATGGCCCCTCCCCAAAGAAACCTCCACTTCGATGGAGGGTTGAGTGGTGTGTGCAGGTAGCCCGACCCCATGGAGAGGACTGTGCTTCCAGCCATAATGGGGCAAGGGCAATTCAGCTCACTGCTCACGTTATGTACATTTGGACATGCAATTAGTTGTTATGAAAGCCCACCCAAAGCAAAGGGAAGTTGCTTCGCTGCTGGATGAAACTGGATTCTGTCTGCGTAGCTCATTTGCATTCCTCCTCCATCCAGGTGACATTTGCAAAGATGAGCAACCATGTTTCTGGGGGAGCATGAACTGAGCAGAACATTTAGCGAAGCCAAATTATTCTGCCTTTTAAATCAGAGTTGTGCATTTTTGTTTCCAGCTAAGGAAAGAACTTTATTCTCCAGAATATTTAATCTATATGTACATAATAACAGAAAATACCAATGCAATGACCTCCAGAGGTTTTTTTTTTTGAGATTCCAGCTCCCATCATCCCCAGACATCATGGCCAATGGTCACTTCAATGACATCTGGAGGGCAGACGTTTAATAGGGGAAAGGTGGGACTTTCAAAAGGGGTGGAAGCCTTGCTGTGGTTTTGTGAGCAGAGTTTTAGTATGACAATGGCATACCATACAGAAGTGCCCTTAGGAAAGCAACCAGCAGCTTTTCAGAAATATTAGTGCAGGGTATAGGGAAGTACAGGGAAGTATAGGGGCGCTGGTGGCGTTGTGGGTTAAACCACAGAGCCTAGGACTTGCCGATCAGAATGTTGGCGGTTCGAATCCCCGCAACGGGGTGAGTTCCTGTTGCTCGGTCCCTGCTCCTGCCAACCTAGCAGTTCGAAAGCATGTCAAAGTGCAAGTAGATAAATAGGTACCGCTCCGGCGGGAAGGTAAACAGCATTTCCGTGTGCTGCTCTGGTTCACCAGAAGCGGCTTAGTCATGCTGGCCACATGACCCGGAAGCTGTACGCCGGCTCTCTCAACCAATAAAGCGAGATGAGCGCCGCAACCCCAGAGTCGGCCACGACTGGACCTAATGGTCAGGGGTCCCTTTACCTTTACCTATAGGGAAGTTATGAAGAATAAAAGAAAACAGCTTCAGCTGTGGGTTCTGCTCAGACGAAGAGCCCGTCCATGCCTTGGCTTAATGCAGATTGTGAACCCCTAGCCCAGGCTTCCTCAACCTCGGCCCTCCAGATGTTTGGAGACTACAATTCCCAGCATCCATGACCACTGGTCCTGCTAGCTAGGGATCATGGGAGTTGTAAGCCAAAAACATCTGGAGGGCCGAGGTCGAGGAAGCCTGCCCTAATGCCACCTTTAATTCCCCCTTGTCCATGTGGTGTTTCCGAAATTCCCAAGGCAGTCACATATCTCTCCTATTTGGATTTTCAGAGCATAGGGAATTATCCAGATTTAGGGAGGAGAAAGTGTGGGGCAGCACAACCAGTTCTGACACACTGGGCACTAAACCTAGGGGGCGCTGCATGGCAGCACAACTACACAATTGAGCAGAGCAAAAGGGAAGGGTGGGTGTGCCAAATTGTGGCCTCGCACAGGTTGCCGCTGAAATTTGAAGACCAAACTGTGCCCCCGGTGCAGCACAGGCCATTGGGTTAGTATCTGAATCAGCACTGGCCACATAACTGGCTGACCAAAAGAAGGGATATAGAAGCCACTGCATCTTCCTATGTAAGTAAAAGCGACTTTTGTTTTGCTTGATATAAACTCCACCTAGCCAGAGAAAAAGACAACACCAAGCTAGAAATCAGGACTCTGCCTCCTTGACAACTCACTGCCTGAAGTCCACACTGTCCTGTTCGCACCTCCAATCAATGCAGGCTAAGCACACGGGAGAAGATTGTGCCCAGTTGATCCCACATGCGAAAACCTAAGGGCAAAGTTTGACCTTCACAGGAATGCTTGGCTCTGAGGAGGCGAGAAGGGAATGCTTAATAATGCAGTTGAGAAACTTGTTTTAGTTTTATTTGTTTCGCCAAAGCAACCCACGTTTAAATAGAAAACAAGCTGAAATATGCACTAAGCTGTATATATTTCCAAAGCCAGTTAGGATGGGCGACAGAACTTTGAAAGGAGAACTGAAGAGGACTGGTGTGGATTGGGCAAAGTCCAGGGCCCCACAGACCCCAAAATGACCACCCAGAGAGTGGGAGGTGATTAGGGGGGCAGCAGCAGCAAACAGGCCCGTGAAAGAACTGCTGGATTAGGCCAAGGGACTGAGCAACGTGTTCTCACAGTGGCCAACCAGACGCCTGCAGGAAACCCACAAGCAGGACCTGAACACAAGAGCACCCTCCCTTCCTGCGGTTTCCAGCGACTGCTATTGGGAAAGATACAACCATCATGGCTAGGAGCCTCTACAAAGTTGCCTAATCGTCATCAGCACCTGGGTTAGGATGAGTGTACAAGGGCCCTCTGGGGCTGATGCTAGTCCAGGCATAGTCAAACTCGGCCCTCCAGATGTTTTGGGACTACAACTCCCATGATCCCTAGCTCACAGGACCAGTGGTCAGGGATGATGGGAACTGTAGTCCCAAAACATCTGGAGGGCTGAGTTTGCCTGTGCCTGTGCTAGTCCCTATAGCTAGCTAGCTTTCTTTCTTTCTTTCTTTCTTTCTTTCTTTCTTTCTTTCTTTCTTTCCTCTTGTGAATAGATAGATAGATGATAGATAGATAGATAGATAGATAGATAGATAGTCGGATGACCAGCCAAGTGTGTACCTGGTTTCAAGATGCCCATTTTGATATTTTTACTCTAAAAATATATATTAACCTTTTCTACATGAGTTCGATCCCCATGAGACAGCTGCATATTTCTGCATTGCAGGGGGTTGTCTGAGATGATCCTTAGGGTCCTTTACAACTCTACAATTCTATGGTTCTACATACAAAATTCCATTTATTCCCAAGGCAATGTGTTTATTAGCATCAGGTCAAGAGGAGCAAACTCCTGTTTTATTCCTGTAGCCAGGAGGGTGCTATGATTTAAATTGGGAGTTTCTAAAGTGGGGAGGAAACACCCCCTAGTGAGGGGTGTTAGGATTACCTGGGGGGATGTCTTGCCAAAGGCAAGGTAGTTCTTTTAAAATGAGATTCAGAAGCAATACAAAATACACAAGTGAGTGCGAAGATTAAATATTTTATTCTAAAACAGCGGGGCAATGTATAGAACACCAAGCAAGCACTTCAATTTGCTACTTGGAAGCCCTCAAGAGGCGGCAAAGTGACTCCCCCAGGTAGCCTCAGTTTGCACGGCCCTGCGGCCGATCAGTCCATGCACAAGCTTTCAAGAAGCTCTGCCCAAACCATCTGATTTTATAGATAGCCTGTGTGGTTTCCAAGAAGAAGAAGAAGAAGAGTTTGGATTTGATATCCCGCTTTATCACTACCCGAAGGAGTCTCAAAGCAGCTAACAATCTCCTTTCCCTTCCTCCCCCACAACAAACACTCTGTGAGGTGAGTGGGGCTGAGAGACTTCAGAGAAGTGTGACTAGCCCAAGTTCACCCAGCAGCTGCATGTGGAGGAGCGGGGAAGCGAACCCGGTTCACCAGATTACGAGACTACCGCTCTTAACCACTACACCACACTGGCTCTCCAAGACTGGCTACGTGCAGATCATCCATTAGCCACCCCCTCCCAATGCCTCACTTTCTCAAAACAATGTCCAACATCAAAGAAGGTACCCAGCATTATCCTCCCCAACTGATTAAGGCAGCTGTGTGTGGAACTTCACCTCCTCCCAACGTTCTCAGGACATTAAAGACTGTTCTCACACCATCAAAGAACTTAACAAGAGCGAGGGAGTGGGAAGGAACAGAGGCAGGAAGGGTAACCGTGTCCGATCACTAACTCCTCCATACATTTTTGTCTTCCGGGTGCATTCCCCATACAGGGGAGGGCACTAAGACGCAAGCAGGTGGGGAGGTCACTGGAGGTGTGAATGACTTTCAGACTCTGAAAAGTTGGCATCACTGGATAGTGTTCGTTTGTTGAAATCAGTAAGCTAAATAGTTTTAATTGGATTTTGGATAAAATTAATTGTTACTCTTTTGAATTTTATTGTGTTATTATATTCCTTAGTGGGTCATGCAAACTGGTGTTGTGAATATAGTGGTACCTTGGGTTACATACGCTTCAGGTTATATACGCTTCAGGTTACAGACTCCGCTAACCCAGAAATATTACGTTGGTTTAAGAACTTTGCTTCAGGATGAGAACAGAAATCGTGCTCCGGCGGCGTGGCAGCAGCAAGAGGCCCCATTAGCTAAAGTGGTGCTTCAGGTTAAGAACAGTTTCAGGTTAAGAACGGACCTCCGGAACGAATTAAGTACTTAACTACTTAAGTTAGGTACCACTGTAATGCATTTTATAGGTCAGGGGGCACTGGGGGTGAGTTTATGAAGCCAAGGGGGCGGAGGCCCAAAAATGTTTAGGAACAACTGATTTCAGTGAATTTAAAATGCGGAACTGCATGGGCTCAGAGTATTTCTTTTCTTTTAACTAAGGTTGGTAAACCATTTGTTCACTGTAACAAAGCAGGAATGTAGAAGTAGTTGCAAAGCATGGAACAGCGGCAATGAAGAGAAGAGGGGTGTTAGCTGTGTGCTTCACAATTGGCCATCTAATGGGGAGGCCTGGCCAGACCATTAATTCCAGATTCTGAAATTCCCTAGCCACATCACTCCTGAAGAGCCTGGTTCAGATCTTCATCGTGCAAAAGTTCAGATCTTGATCACTATACAGTTCTTCTGGAGCACAGCAGAAGAGCCTCTTCTTCAAAGGGAATGGGTATGGTGGGGGGGGGGTTAAAGACATCACACCTTTCCTGCTTCCTCCTTCACAGCTGAACCACTTGTCGTTGCACAGCCCGCCTTAACGCTTGCAGAGGCATCTCAACCATCACCGTCAATGCCAGCCCAACCATGAATGTCATCAGGCAGTGTCCAAGGAACAGATAGAACTAAAAAGATAAGTGCAAACGGAAATAAGGGCAGATCTATTAAGCATAATTGTTCAACTGCACACTGAAATGGAGAATGGCTGTATGCATATTGCCGAAAGGGTTTAACATTGGGACATGCCACTGAGGCGTACTGAAGCTCGCTGAGCTTTAACAGGTTGATAATTAATCAACTGGTGTTCTCTGCTAGCTCTCACGTGAGTGTTTAACCTTAGATAGGGCTGTCATACGTCCAGAATTCCCAAGGCATATCCAGGATTCGTACTTCGGAAATTGGGTCTGGGTGGAATTTCCAAAAATTTATTAAATGTACGGGGAAACCCAGGCGTATGGCAACCCATGTCGGAAGTGTGGTTATTTTGATGACTTTCATAGAAAAATAGTTCACAAACCTTCAATTGTGGAGGTTTTTTTTCCAAAAAAAGGTCAATAAGTTTTGTTTCCAGATTTGAAATATGAAAACTGAGCCTTAGATCATGTGATTAAGGTATTCAATTTTAAATCTCCATTTTGAAAAGGAGTTGCCTCTTAGTCTTTTGTTCCCAGGCACAGCCAGAGAAAGATGTGATAATGAAGCCTCACCAGGAGCTACATAGCCTTAGGCTGGAAGGCTAATGCAAGCTATGGGAGAGACAGAGCTTTGGTTTTTTTCTCTGATCATAATACAGTTCTGCTGCCAAGTAATGTGCTCACCCCCCCCAAAAAAAAAACCATACTAGGGTAAGTGTGCATAAAAGTGTATATATTAGTGAAAATAACATACCAAAGTGTACTAGATTATGGAAAACGCTTTGAAAGAATGTGTGTGTTTGCAAAACTTCACACAAAAATGTGAAATTTGCACTAAAAGGCTGACAAATTTTCAAGAGGAGTTTAAACACACACACAAAATTCAAATTGCTGCAGAAATGCAAGGAATTGAATTGAAAATTTGGAAAATCGAGATCCTGAAGAGAACCAAAACTGACAGATCCATCTATCCTTAATCACTCACCATATTCATGTCCGAGTAGTGCATGGACGTTTCTTGAAGTCCATTATACAACAAAATCAACATTGGGTGGACCAAGTAGCAGGCGTAGCTGATTTTGGCAACCACCGACCAGAAGCCCCATGAAAGCATCCAATTGATGATACCTAAAAGGTAAAGGTACCCCTGACCGTTAGGTCCAGTCATGGATGACTCTGGGGTTGCAGCGCTCATCTCACTCTATAGGCCGAGGGAGCCGGTGTTTGTCCGCAGACAGCTTCCGGCTCATGTGGCCAGCATGACTAAGCCGCTTCTGGCGAACTAGAGCAACGCACAGAAACGACGTTTACTTTCCCGCCGGAGCCATACCCATTTATCTACTTGCACTTTGATGTGCTTTCGAAATGCTAGGTTGGCAGGAGCAGGGACTGAGCAACGGGAGCTCACCCCGTCGCAGGGATTCGAACCGCCAACCTTCTGATCAGCAAGCCCTAGGCTCTGTGGTTTAGACCACAGCAAATAACAAACTATTAAAGACCCAGTTGTGGTGTAGTGGTTAGAGTACTGGATCGGGACCTGGGAGACCAAGGTTCAAATCCCCACTCCTGAGGCCCGATGAGGAGGCTCTGAGGGTGACATTTGCCCCACTGCCCGGGCGTGAGGTTCCCCATTCCTTCTCTGTAGAGTACCTCCATAGCCTTCCTCACACGCAAAAATTATCCACCCCACAGCGATAGCCCACACCGTCCGGTGAGTAGCTTGGTAAATGGCTGTGGCAGGTGAGTAGTCGAGGGGGTCTTGTAATGTATAGGCCAAAGCAACTACCATAAACATGGAAAACATTGCAGAAAGCCATCCGATGGAAGCCTGCACCTGCGGAAACATGAGAATGAGACATTTGATTGCATCTTAGTTCATTAGGATAATTCCACCTGACTCTGGTCGTTTTGGGGAAAGCGACTTTGCTTCTCTTTCAATGGAATGTTCAGGCCTTCTCTTCCTGTCTCTTCTGTCATGGACAGACTTTGGTAACATCATCATCATCATCATCATCATCATTATTTTACGCCCCCTCAGCTCAGTGCCCTGTGCGGGGCAATTGCATGCACTGCCCTAAATCCAGCGCTGCCTCTGTCAGCTGTTACAATGCCTTGCTGGTGGTCTCTTTCCATGCTCCTCTGAATGGATGTTTTGTCACTGAAACTCTACTCAATATTGATCCAGAGTAGATTCCAATGCATAGTTAGCGGAGTAAAAACTTAAACACGTTGCAGGATTCCCAAAAAATAGACCAGAGGCAATTTCATCCAGCAGAGCTTTACTGCTTCTGAAGGCAAATGAGCATAATGGTCACAAATCCAATATGTTCAGGATTGGCCCTGTCCATAAGAAATCCAGTTGCAGCAGACTTAACTTAAACTTACAATAAGTCTAAACACTATATACAGAAGACAACACCAGAAGGAAAGGAGATAGAAAGAGAAAATGAAACCCAGGCTCCTTCTGGCCCTACTTTTATAGTCAGCATGACCCTGACAGAAGAGATAACAGTATTAAGTTTAAGCCAGCTGTACTCAGCTTCTCGGAAGGAATAACCCAAACATCATGAACCTTTTGCTTGTTTCTTTCACACAGAGAAGCTTCCAGAACCCTGTCTTTAATGCATCATAACCAATTAGATTAATTGAGCAAAATAAACCAACCAATGTAGAGGAGATTTGTAAAAAGTGCTTATTTTAATTAAAGAACTTCTAAAAAACAGCAGATGAAAGACACTTCTCTCTCATAGGAGGGAATTCCTCTTCTCAAATTATGCTTACTATGATATATGCATGCATTACCCAAAATCAAAATAAATTTAGCTTCTTCCTTCATAAATAATAAATAATAAGAATTACTATTATCCCAGCCTCCCTCCCTAAGACAACAAACAACAAAATTGCAAAGACAAAATTTTAACAACAACAACAACATCTTGAAACAGTCACAAATCCTCACAATGGAGTACAGTGGTGCCTCGCAAGACGAAATTAATCCGTTCCGCGAGTGTCTTCGTCTAGCGGTTTTTTCGTCTTGCGAAGCAACCCTATTAGCGGATTAGCGCTATTAGCGGTTTAGCGGCTATTAAAGGCTTATCGGCTTATCAGCTTAGCTGCTAAAAGGCTATTAGCGGCTTAGCGGCTTAGAAAAAGGGGGGGAAGCGGAAAAAAAAACTCAAGACTCGCAAGACATTTTCGTCTTGCGAAGCAAGCCCATAGGGAAATTCGTCCTGCGAAGCAACTCAAAAACGGAAAACCCTTTCGTCTAGCGGGTTTTCCGTCTTGCGAGGCATTCGTCTTGCGGGGCACCACTGTAATTTCAAGGTTGTCAGGAACAGAATATTTCAGCCACCAAATACCTGGGTGAATAGGAAAACCAAGGACGTTCCCTGGGCCCTGCATAATAACCACAGGTTACAAATTTATTTCTGGGGAAGTGGCGTGCAGGACACAAAAGGGAGAGGAGACAAGCACTTCTCACCCAGCAAGGCAGCTCCACTCAAAACTGGAATATGACATGGCTGTTCTAAAGACTGTGGGTCCCTCGTGTTTTTATGGTGTTCATTTTAACTACAAAGTCTCCCTTAGATGCTGCAACTGCATCTTGCTCTCCTCTCGAGGCTGCTGCTCCCCTTGCCAAAACCTTCCCCATTTATTGTGTGCCATGAAACGTGCCAACTTCTCTCCTTGTCAGATCAAGGCTGCTTTCACTCTCTCTCTCCAGGTTGCAGTGGGATCACTTCAAGGCAACACTTGCCCCAGTGGTAATATTTTGCACAGCACTTCCAGGTGGCTTGAATATTTGGAATCAAAGGGGCTCCCTTATTTGTCAGGCCAACAAGCAGTGCCCCCGGAACCCTTCATCAAAGGCTCACAGCAGTAGACTGATGTTGCTTGTGCAAAATGGACTCGTCCCTTCTTGGTTTCATCATATATTGTAATAGCAAAATTAATTCCTTGAGCATGGATCCATCAAGGCACAGGAAGGGAAATACCAGTCAGTCTGGAGGGACCCCAAGGTTTGTGGAAGTATACTTTTTTAAAAAAAGAAAAAAACACTTCAATTTGTATTTCTGCCTGTGAAGGCAGGGAATCAAAGACAGGGAACAGAATACGAACCAACTTTTGGGAGAGGATAGAACATTGGGGAGAGGAGGAATGGCGTATCTTGGAAGAGAGCATGATTGGCTGCTGGAACCCTGAACAGGAGCACTCTGCACTGCAACGTTTTTGTTGCAGTTCCTGCTTGTTTTTATTTTTTATTCCTCCTACTGGAAGGAGCCCCCATTATGGGGATCAAGTCTTAGTGATACCTTTCTGCCTTCTAAAAGAAAAGTGTGGATAGCATGACACACACAGCACATCATCCAATTGCATTACAGTGGATGGCATTATCGCCCAGCTGTTGGCCCTGTCAATCTGCCAGTAAGGAGGTTTAGATTGGCTCTTCCAAAGCCCAGAGGATACAAAATCTTTCAGAGCCTTATGAACTACCCTCAGAGCACAAGGGATACCTTAATAACAGTGAATCTAACGTACAAGGAAGATCTTCCAGAGAAATATCCTTTTAAGACCAATGAACTTTAGAAGGAAAAGGGGGTTACGAGAAAGCAGAGGAAAGAAAGAAAGAAAGAAAGAAAGAAAGAAAGAAAGAAAGAAAGAAAGAAAGAAAGAAAGAAAGAAAATCACACATCTCCACCATCAACTCTGAGTGGATGGCATTTCAGAGCATGCACAGAATTCCTTGCAGGACAAGATAGTTTGAGAGGGTATTACTCTCTTGCAGAGCATCTTTGGTCCCCCAATACACATGGTTCCAAAGGAAAGGAGGGATTGGGGTGATACCCCACATATTTGGGGGGATCTGAGACCAACTGAAGCCAGTCTCCCTTCTCAGATGGAGTGGAGTTTGAGCCAATGGTGAAAGAAGCTTCATCTCCAACATGGCTGTTGAGACAGCCAATCAGAAATTGCTCAGGAGGATGGTCCCACCTTTTGACAAAAGAGCTAGCCAGTTCAGACCAGCCGGTTGTTGTAAATTAAAAAAAGGGGTGGGGGTGTTAAACTTGGGGAAAGGATCAGAAATGAAACAACAACAAATGCATTCTCAGGAGAGATCCAGAGTTCCAGATATTCTGAATGGCGCTGTTGGTCATATTGGAATACGACACAAACCTCACCAAACCTGTCCCAGATTTCTTTGGAGGACGCCACTGCAGTTAAAATGGTTTAAAATCAATACACATTTTGTTGTGCAGATAGGATGCCAAATGTTTGTTAAATACGCCCCCCCCCCCCATTTACCTTGCTCCTTAGGACTGGGGTTTGCTGCTGGTTCATGTACAACCCAAGAAGAATGCCGACTAGAAATGGACCGTATCGGCAGTAAGGTTTTGAGTAATACTCTGCGAAATACATCACGGTGGCCGTTTTCCTGCAAGCATATTGGAAACGGGTTATAAAAAGATTATATGGAAGGCCTGAAGGGAGAGAAAGAGCATTAACCGATAACTATTCCTAACTAAAAACATTTGGCAGATGACTCTGATGGAACGATTCTCCTGAGGTAAAATATATGAGAACCAAGTCTGAATGTTGCTGCTGTTAACAAACGTGGCATAACCCAAGTGTTCTGCTCTGAAAGGAAGTGTGATAGCACCACCTGTTTATTTGCTTCTCAAAATTCACAGGTTCTGCCTTTTTTTAAAATCGGATGGGAGAAAAACACATTAGGCAGATGAAGTGAGTCAGTCAGATGACATCTCCATTAAGGGCAATTTTCTTCTCAGGGTGCCATTCCAACTTCTGTTTCCCAAAATTCAAGAACCTCTGACATACCCCATAACATGCAGAGGGTTACTTTCTCTTGATTAATTAGATTCCTGACTGCGCTTTGGATCTCTCCCAGCATAATATTGTGACCTATTATTGAAGGGGGAAGTTTCCAGAACCTTACCTCATATCTCGAGGATTTGCAACAGGAAGCCTGTAGAACGATGACAGCAGGGCTGTCACTGTAAAAGTCATCAGGAACAGCAAAGTCCCCAGAATTATAATTCCCTGCTTGCTCCTGCCAAAACAATAGAAATATAAGCAAAAATAGAAATATAAACAGATGGGGCCTTTTTGGGGGGGGGGACGTCACATTATTCATTTAAATGATAAAACACGTAATATCAAAAATCTCTAACCTTTATATTCAAAGGGTTGCTTGAGAGGGCATGTATTTCACTGTTATAACTGAAGTAATAGTAGTTTTCCAAGGGGAAGAATAATAATTGACACTCTAATTACCCACAGGCATGCATTCAGTTTGGAAGAAACAGAGCAACAGACCAAATGGGTCCCATTTGGTACAGTTTTCTCATGTTCTAAAACAAATTCACGGAGATACGGATGCTAAAAGATAAGGTAAAGGACCCCTGGATGGTTAAGTCCAGTCAAAGGCAACTATGGGGTTGCGGAACTCATCTTGCTTTCAGGTTGAGGGAGCTGGCGTTTCTCCACAGACAGCTTTCCGGGTCATGTGGACAGCATGACTAAACCGCTTCTGGCGCAACAGAACACCGTGACAGAAACCAGAGCGCACGGAAACGCTGTTTACCTTCCCGCCACAGCAGTACCTATTTATCTACTTGCACTGGTGTGCTTTCGAACTGCTAGGTTGGCAGGAGCTGGGACAGAGCAATGGGAGCTCACCCCGTCGCGGGGATTCGAACCACTAACCTTCTGATCGGCAAGCCCAAGAGGCTCAGATGAACAGGACTCTGATCTGTGCCTCCCATGTGACGTGGAGGGGTCTTAGATCCCTCTGGTGGCAGCAACAGCAGAAGGCTGGGCAGGCTTTTCTGGAAACTGCCATTCTTCCTTCCCCCACACCCTGTTTTAAATGTGCTATTTATATTTGACTTCACTTAGCAATGGTGTTTTTTTCTTTGAAATGATTTTTTGTTAACTTTGTTTGTGTTAAATACGTATTCTGTAGTTGACTTCCCTTGCAATGTTTTATTTTGAAATCTTTAAGATAATATTTTAGTTTTCTGTTAATTATGTTGCTTTGACTGTATACTCTATATCTGACTATCTTCAGAAATGTTTGATTCTGGATTGTTTTGTTGATGTTTTAATATGCTGTATACCACTTTGAGGTTTTTTCCTTGAAAATACAAAGCGGAATAGAAATGAAATAAATCAAATAAATAAATTACGAGGAAACCTCATGGTGGATGTCCATTGCCGAAGAAATACTCACCTCATGGAAATATAGACCAGCAGAGGTGTTGTGAAATAAAACTGGAAATCATTTGCAAGGTACCACGTCCATCCGTTACACTGAAAACGGGGTGGGAATGGGAAGACAAATGTATACTTTTAATACATATTATTTAAAATATATATTATGACACAATGCCCCAATAAATATTCCATCGTACAGACTTACTGACTCTTGCCCAGCGATAAAGTTGTTGATCAGCAGTAGGTTGGCCCACCACGTTCTTCTACAGTTATCAACCTCGAGTTTCGAGAGCTCCCAAAATGTCCCCCAAGGAGCGACAGAGTAGAAACCGATTAAAAGGCACAAGGAATATATATGGAGTGGCTGAAGCCTACAAACACAAGAGCAGAAGTGGTCGGGTTGCATGCAGGCACACAATTTTCATCACGTTGTTAAAGAAATTCAAACCTGATTGCATTTGCAAAGCAGACTCTCTTCCCTTAAACTTCATCCCTGCATTCCTTTGCAAGCCCAGCTCAATAGCAAACGGGAGTAATTAATAGTACAGTGGTACCTCAGTTCTCAAACTTAATCCGTTCCGGAAGTCCGTTCCAAAACCAAAGCGTTCCAAAACCAAGGTGCACTTTCCCATAGAATGCAATGCAAAATGGATGAATCAGTTCCAGACTTTTAAAAACAACCCCCAAAACAGCACTTGAAAGCAATAAACAATGTACTGCAGTCACAGAATCAATCAATCAGTAGCTGAACTGGGTTCCACACAGTCACAAAAACACAACCAAAAAGCCGCAAAAACAGAAATACAAAATAAATAGCAAAAACAGGCAGACCTCAGTGTAACACCCAAAACGGAAGTGTGGCACTCAAAACAGAGCACGTTCGGCTTTTGAAAAAAGTTCCCAAACTGGAACACTTACTTCCAAGTTTGCAGTGTTTGGGTTCCAAGTTGTTTGAGTACCAAGGCGTTTGAGAACCAAGGCACCACTGTATGTCTCTCTTTTAAAAGAGGGGGGGAGGGGGAGAGAGAGAGAGGAAGGAAGGAAGGAAGGAAGGAAGGAAGAAAGAAAGAAAGAAAGGAAGGAAGGAAGGATCTTTCTTGCATTTAGACTTCCTGGGAATCATAGAATCATATAATTGTAGAATTGGAAGGGACCGTGAGGGTCATCTAGTCCAACCCCCTGCAATGCAGGAATCTTTTTGCCCAACATGGAACTTGAACCCAAAACCCTGAGATTAGGAGTCTCATGCTCTACTGACTGAGCTATGCCAGGCCTAGTGAAAAAAACATACTTCGCAGCTGAACTGTTCCATTTAAACCATTAATCTAGCTTCCCTTCTCAGGCGAATGTTACGTTGCTGCTGGAAAATTCAATGTTTTTTAAGTTCAGTGTTTAAGACACGGTTATCCAACGTCATGCCTTCCACTAGAATTGCAACTTCCATCACCCCCAACCATTGGCTGATGGGAGTTCTGGCCCAACAATATCTGTAGGGTGTCACATGTGCTATCTTTGGACAACGGTAGAGGCTTCAGGCCCAGGCGCCAAATGCCCACCAGGCCTCTCTATATGGCCCTTGGGTCTCTCCCTCTCTTCCCAGGACTGGCTCATTTACCAGCCCAACTCAATTTGCCTAGTTAGAATGTGTCCTTAAACTGTGATTAAGTCTGTTATGTGCCATGATGGAGAGTTGCATGCAAGCATGTGCATGGCCTCGGCCCAGTATATCTGAAGGAGCGTCTCCACCCCCATTGTCCAACCCGGACACTGAGGTCCAGTGCCGAGGGCCTTCTGGCGGTTCCTTCACTGCAAGAAGCCAAGTTACAGGGAACCAGGCAGAGGGCCTTCTCTGTAGTGGCACCTGCCCTGTGGAACGCCATCCCACCAGATGTCAAAGCGAAAAACAACTACCAGACTTTTAGAAGACTATCTGAAGGTAGCCCTGTTTAGGGAAGCTTTTAATGTTTGATGCATTACTGTATTTTAATATTTTGTTGGAAGCCGCCCAGAGTGCCTGGGGAAGCCCAGCCAGATGGGCGGGGTATAAATAATAATTTATTTATTTATTTATTTATTAGTTTTTTTAAAAAAACCCCTGCTGACTTCTGCATAGCTGGAATGTATCATACTGCACAAAGGAAAGAGTCACACGCATTGCTGCACCCATATTTGCCTCTGGCTCCACCCTGTGACCCTTGGAAATGGGGCCCTCAGGATGAGGAATGTTCCCCACCACTGTCCCAGGCTATTAATATGCTAATATACCCACAACTCCCTCAAACTCTTAAATAGCAGAGGCAAATTTCACCTCAGGTACCAGCAAGGCTAATGACAAATGACTTTCTTCGTGCCCATTTTGCTGAATGGATCAAACCCTCACAAACGGTTACCGGAAAAATCGGCGCCACAGGTACTTCACTGTGAGGCGAAAGGTGATCCGTTTTTCAGAGAGATTCAACATGTTCAAAAAGGACTGGCAGCTCAAAAAGCCACTGAGGAGAAAAAGAACGGAGGTTTAATTGCCCGTTCTAAAATGCCTGCCCTTCAGTTTCCTTTCCAAACAGAGGTATTCAAAGTGACAAACAAAAACAAGCCCCCCCAAATTAAAAATAAACTCAAAGGCAGTAATACAGGAAAACACACAGCGTTACAATGTTGTAATACCCAAAACTAAATAGCCGGAATGAAGAAAAAAAACATAGTAGACATCACAACGTAATAAGCAACTGACTCAAAATCCTGTTGAAAAATTTATGTCCTCAGACATCATGAAACAGACAAGGAGGGGTCGCAGTTTGTGTGATCACAGCAGTTGGTGGTGAAGGCGCCAGTTCAAACAACCAGGGATCCCACCCAATCCTGGCTGTCTGAGCTCACCAGCAGTCCATGTGATCCCTATGGCAAGGGATCCCATAGGGGCAAGGTGTAAACCCATGGGGCAAGGTGAGGCAGTTGCCTCAGGGCAGCAGGCTCCGGATAGATGGAAGGGGTAGCAGATCTGGCCTCCCTCCATGGAGTCTGCCCTCGGCTTGTTGGCCTCTGTTGCCGCCATGCGCCTTCTCCCCCAGGGACAGGGCGGGTCAAGTAGGTGAGCAGCAGAGGCAGGCAGCATGGACTACCAGCAGGATCTATTGTCCTACAGATCCTGCATGAATAAAACACCTGTTGTTGTCCAATGCTTCTTCAAATAATTACCAGGGAATAATTCTCATGTTCCATCTTTATAGACTTGCAAGGTTCACTACCATGAGATGTTAGATGGTTATTTATTTATTTATTTAAAAATAATAATAGAGGGAGAAAAAGTCTAATAACATCTGACTTAAAGGTAAAGGTAAAGGTACCCCTGACCGTTAGGTCCAGTTGCGGACGACTCTGGGGTTGCGGCGCTCATCTCGCTCTATAGGCCGAGAGAGCCAGCGTTTCTCTGCAGACAGCTTCCGGGTCATGTGGCCAGCATGACTAAGCCACTTCTGGCGAACCAGAGCAGCGCACGGAAACACCGTTTACCTTCCCGCCGGAGCAGTACCTATTGCTCTACTTGCACTTGACATGCATTCAAACTGCTTGGTGGGCAGGAGCTGGGACCGAACAACGGGAGGTCACCCTGTTGTGAGGATTCGAACTGCTGACTTTCTGACCGGCAAGCCCTAGGCTCTGTGGTTTAGACCACAGCGCCACCCGCATCCCCTAACATCTGACTTACCTGATGAGAAAAAATGTGTCAACGCCTAAATAAAATGGTCCACTTAGAGAAAATATGTAAAGAGGGTTTTTAAGCACTTTAGCTTCCCATTCCAACTCATTATCTGTGGTAACATATAAGAAAGAGAGAGAGAGAGAGAGATAAACAGTCAGGAGATATTTGGAAATCTACTTAACTCCAGCATATCTCTGCAAACGAAGAGAAACATGGAACAAATCAGGTCCAATTGTGTCTATGTTTTTTAAAAAAATAAGTTCCCTTCCTCTCACTTAATACATTTCCAAAGCAGCTTACAAATATTAGCAGTTCAAATAATGGGTCTTTGAATGTTCAGGCTATGGCATTCATACTTTATGTTAGGCTACACTTTGCAAATACAGTGCCCTACTGATGTTTTCATGTCTCTTGGAAGCTTACAGGAACTATTTGTTAGACAGAGGATGTTTTGAAATGTTAGAACTGCCGCTCCTCTCCAGCTAAAAGGGATGAGTGTGTGTGCCTGTCTTGAAGATTGAAATATTGTATTGAAATTGGGGCAACCCAGAAAACAATCACACAACCTCCTGTGCCCATTCAAAGGCGAGGAAGAAACGAAACAAAACACACTGTAGTGTGATTGTCCTCCTTGAAGGCTGAGGTGCTGGAATGAAAATTGGCATGTGTCTGGTGTCACTAGATGGAACTAGATTTAGTTATATCTGGGACACTGAGTCAGCAGTGTCCTGTTGTTGATTTGTTCTTGTTCAAGATAGACAATGAAGTACTTGTCTAAGTTCTTAACTGCTGTGTCCTTAATCCTTCTTTTACAGAATGTATGTTCAGGAAACGCTTCCAAATTTTATTGATTTACAGCATCTATATCTCACATTTCCAAAATGTCCAAGGCAGCGAAGAAAGACAAAGAAACACACTATATCTCAGAGGTGAGGAGAATTCACGGCCTTCCAGATATTGTTGTACTCCAGTTCCCATCAGCCCTGGCTAACAGCTTCAGTGGATGGGAATTATGGGAGTTGGAGTTCAGCAACATCTGGAGAGCCACAGGTTTCCTGCCTCTGAAATTACACACACACACACACGAGGGAAGAAGAGAAACACACAGAGAGAAATAGAGGAAAGCTGTGAAATCCTATCAACCAAACTTCAGACGCAAACAGGTCTTCCACAGTGTGGGGGAAGAACATCAGATTCTTCTCTCTGAAGCAGAGAATCACAAAGTTTTGGTTTGGTCACTGAAAAGGTCCTTTCCAGTTCAAACAGCAGCTCAGCCTCTCTATAATCATTCTTAAAGGACCCAGGAAAGATGTGAAATGCGCTGAATGAGATATATCAAGTGAGGACTCTCGTTGTTCTTTACAACTCTCTATTGAACAAATCTCATTGCCTCTACATAACTGATCGCCCTGTCAAAAAAAAGAAAAAAACCCAAAGCCTGGGCTATTTAGCAGCAAGTCGCAGCCCATGAACTGCAATCCCGAATGTCAAATATGGAATAAAACAGCAGTTAAAATGAGTAGTGAGTTCATTTAGAGAACACTGTGTTTCCTTTAAAACAGGAATATATCTGCCTTTGTAGCTTCAGCTCATACCTAAATTCTGCCACGCTGTCATTTGACTTGTATGCCCAGAAATTACCCACAAGAGACTCAGCGCTCTGATACCATTTAGAGACAAGGAGACTTCTTTACAGGGTTTCATCAGCCAAATGGCTGGGAGATGGTTTTGCAAGGAAAAACACTTCAGAACACAGTCCAAGGTACCTAAGAATATTAAAGCAGCAGAAATTAATTCATTATACCATGTAGATTATACGTGTTCTGCCATGTAGAGTGAAGAAATAGTTCTTTTTCGACAGCATGTACGCACTTAACTCAATGGGGCTTACTTCTGAGTAGACATGCATGGGATCGCATTTTAAGACTGGCAGATGATGGGGGATAATTAATGGACAAACAGCTTCCAAAACAAACAACAGTGCTTTTCTTCCAGCTTCATAGGCTGCAGTTGGAGTCACATCCATTTGCAAAGGGGAAGCCTGTGCAAAGATTATTGCTAGCCCCACAGGACTTCCCTCTTCTCTGCTCCGGAGGGTTGGGGGGAGAAACTCAGAACAGATTTGGGGGAGGGGTGCGAGTGGAGGAGAGATGGAGATGGTTCCTTGGTGCTACAGGGAATACAACTCAATACCTTTCAAAATTCGTTTTGGATAGATTGCCACATAGAAACCTGACACAGAATTTTTAATCCTCCTAAAATTATCCTGAACCTGAACCCAAATGAACCCTGTGGGAGTTGAAGATTTCAGGGCTGGCTTTCTCCCACCTCCTTGTCCTCGATTCCCTCTGTTGCCTTTCCTACTATCTCAAAATAGATTGTAATCTCCTCAGGACGGAGACCTGCCCTCCCCACGCCCCGCACTCTGTGATGCTTCCTGCTCACAGTAGGTGCCATAAAAATAATTACCAAAATCACCATTAATAATATTGCAATGCTTACTTTGCTTTGAACCATCAAATGCGGCCAGTGCTGCTGATGCAGGTTCATGACTATGTTTCCTCTCTGCTTTTGATTCGCTTGCATCTCTTGCAACGAAACATGTGCTCCCGTAATTTGCAGGAGGCAAACCATCCGATGGCAATTCATTGCGCTTAGCCTTCTCCCATACATCAGCGGTGTAAATGGTTCCGATGATTGGCAAGATGATGAAGGAAACGCTAACGAACCTGGAAGGGAAATAGAAGTTCATTACTGCAGAGTGACTCTCGCTCCTGAGAGGCACGGTCTTCAGGGTCAGTTTCACGGCTGGGCTGAGACGTCCGCCCTCAGTACTTACAAACAAACCGCTACAAACACATCAATAGGGAAAAGGTTCTTAGCGCATCTGGCCACAGTCGGGAACGAGGCCGTTGAATTCACAGCGAACAGAGATGGAAAAGGCAATAGGAAAGAGATGGTCTTGAATTTAAATACACCTGTCAAAGGAAGAATAAGTTAATAATTTCACGGTCAGGACAATGGAGCCTTTTGTGATCACAATTTTTACCAGTTTGTTCAACGGAGTAAATGGAAACATTTGCTCTTTTAAGTCCCAGAAAGTGTTTCTGTTCGGCACAAAGGTTTTAATGCACATTTTCCAAAAAATTATAAACTTCTAGTGGCCTTAGGAAATGAATCTCTCACATGAATTCCCTTGGCTGTTTCAGCTTCCTTGCAGAAATATGGAAGAAAAGGAGTTGGTATAAGCCCATGAGAGGTCAGTTTAAGGGCCAAATTGCAGGTGACCAACAGTGACCTAGGTCTTAGAACCTGAGGTCTGCTAAATGTTGTTGGACCCCAGTCAGCATGGCCAAGGGTCAGGGACGATGGGATATGGAGTTCTTCAGCCGTTGGAGGGTGACAGGATGGGGAAGGCTAGCATACAGCGCAATCAGAAAAATAAAAGTATCCATTCTCCCTTTCAAAAGTACTTATAATGTTGTTTTTCCTGTTCTTTGTAAAGAACAAAGAGGCCAATGAAAAATGAGAAGGAAGAAAAATAGGAGTAACGACTTAAGCACATAGCCGGATTCCCCAAAAATAGACCAGAGGCAATTGTATTTCATCCAGCAGAGTCTTACTGCTTTTTAATGGGGGGACGCAGGGGTACTCGTACCCCTAAACATTTTGTGAATCTAAGTTTGGCCTCATTTTGGGGCAGTATTTCAATATGAGTAGGAAAATGAGAGTACCCTTAAACATTTTTTTAAGGAAAAAAGCACTGCTGCTACTGAAGGGAAATGAGCATAATGGTCACAAATCCAATAAATTCAAGATTGGCACTGTTCATAAGAAATGCAGTTGCAGCTTATCTTAGACTTATTTTAAACTTACAAGAAGTTATAATAAGACTAAACCTTAACACTAAGCATACAGAACACCACACCAGAAGAAAGAGATAGAAAGAGAAAGTAAACCCAGGCTCCTTCTATTAATATAGTCAACATGACCCTGACAGAAGAGATAACAGAACCAGTTTAAACCAGCTGTACTCGGCTTCTCTGAAGGAATAACCCAAACACCAGAAACCGTCCGCTTGTTTCTTTCACATAGAAATAAACCTTCCAGAACCCTCTTGAACTAAGCAGAACAGGAAAGATCTCTACACATCCGATCAATACATTCTGTACTAAGAAATGTAAACTGACAGTTATCTGTGGAAATGGGGTGTTATTTATTTTTAGATAGTAAGCACGGGAGCTTTGAGGGAGAGCAAAAGTAGATCCGTCTAGGTACACACTCTAGCCTGTTTGTAATGTCATGTTAAACCACAAACAAGGTTTGACTATGGTTTATGAACATCATGCTGGTGCACGAAGTCTGCACTATTCTGCTTCGGGTTGCGCTAGGAGCAGCAAACCATAACCCTTGGCTTGCCATGTCATCTGAATGCAGTCCCGTGGTTTGTTTCTCTCCAAACTTATATGTTTAATTACCAGATGCATGTACTGACATTAATGTGTCTGTGGTGTGAATGGATGGTGGCTCATGGTTACTATTAGTATTCTCCATATATTATTTCCTTTTCTTTATTTTCTCTAATAATTCCCCCCTTTGTTTTCTTTGTTTAATCTGCAAATAATAAAACTCATGTTAAAAAGCATGAGTGACGGTTTACACACGGTGTGTGAACTCAAGACACGTTTCATAAATCCACACACATTGGATCTTCAGTTTCACCTACAAGATGTTATACAGCAACAAGCAACAAAATCACAGTCAATTTACCTAGCATGGCCAGTGCCGTAATTTCTTCTTCGTGGCAGGAACTGGGGGCACATAATCCATTGTAGTAATCAATTCTGTCCTAAGAAGTAGAATGCTTTTCAGTTCTCTTGTTGCAATAGGTTTAAGAGAAAATAGAGATATTGGCAAAAGTAGACAAACAGAGTAGATACCCAAGATGCACTGATTTCAAGGGCATTCTGGTAAAACTTGAAAAATACTGAGATTCTGCACATCAGCGGGACAAGAAGATTCACCAGAGGCCTGGCTGCCATGCAGCCGGGGACAGTTACAGATCTGCTCTGGGGTTTAAAAGTACAGCCCAAGACATTTTGCTGCCTGTGGTGCAATAAGAAATGGTGCCCCTTGCCCACTCCCTGCCAGTAAAAATGCAACCCCAGTAAATTAAAAAACTAACAATTTGCTGCTCTTCCCTGACACTCAAAATGAGCTGTCTGAGGGGCTGAAGTCAAAGGAGGAAAGCCTGCTAAAAATCCTTCTTTCTGTATAATTATTAAAAGTTACAGGACTTGCCAGTTAGGTATGAATTCCATTTGTATCCTGAGCTTTTTATCCTCAGAATAAACCTGTAGCCTAGAAGGCAGTGCTTTGCTCACGTATGAGTAGGCATTTGAGACCAGGTATTTAAGATTTTAATTTAGCAGAGCTCTAACAAACAGCAGAGATAATGACTGCTGTTAACTTCCTTAATTTATTTTAGAATTCCTGCCTAATTTTGGATTATACCCTCTCCCCTAGAAGTCCCCCCACTTCATTCCACAATAGTCAGCGTGTGCCCCAACCTTCCAGAGCAGTTTTTAAGGAGTACAGGTTGCGGAGAGGAGGAGACAGGACACTTTCCACCTATGAAATTCCTCAAGGTAACTTATCCTCACCTTAGAATATTACCTCTGTCTTCACCAATTTTACCTCTGTCTTCACATGGAGTCTCTCTCTTTTTTTGCTGAAGAACCAGCCAAACCAAAGTAGGTCACACACCTGCTGTACTTGGAGTTTGCAGTACTGCCCTCGGAATCTTCCGGAAGGTGCCTCAGCAGAAATGCATTCAGTGTAAGATCCCAGTCTGTCCACATTCCCACCAAGGACACTGCTGCCAGGTTTCCCAACAGAATCGTACACTGTAAAATCAAAGCAAGGATGCCGGGCAAACTACTCATGGTCCACCCATAAACCGACTAAAGGAAGGGGGCCAGAGGCATTTGGGGGGAAATGAGAGGGTTCAGCTGCCTGCACCCACCGCTACTCTGCCGAATGCTTTGGTTGGAATGGTCCTAGGTAAAGGTAAAGGGACCCCTGACCATTAGGTCCAGTCGCAGACGACTCTGGGGTTGCGGCGCTCATCTCGCTTTACTGGCCGAGGGAACCGGTGTACAGCTTCCGGGTCATGTGGCCAGCATGACTAAGCCGCTTCTGGCGAACCAGAGCAGCACACGGAAACGCCATCTACCTTCCCGCCGAAGCGGTACCTATTTATCTACTTGCACTTTGACGTGCTTTCGAACTGCTAGGTTGGCAGGAGCAGGGACCGAGCAACGGGAGCTCACCCTGTCGCGGGGATTCGAACCACCGACCTTCCGATCGGCAAGTCCCAGGCTCTGTGGTTTAACCCACAGTGCCACCCGGTCCTACTTTTTACTAATTTGGTTATTTATACTTGCATTATGATACCCTAGGACATGGTAGTTAAGGATGGGTTCCCCAAAGCTGGCATTAGCCTGGGGGTGTAGCAAAGAGCCCTGATTTCTTACATCTGCCTTAGGGAAGAAGTTATGCCTCTCCCTGAATACACAGGCAGAGAGATGGAGACAACCACTGATATTCCATCCTAGTTAATAGTTGTGTAGGAAAATGCATCACCTGGGTGATTATTCTTACCCAACTGCAAAGAAAAAGTAACGCCAGTAAAATTCTTCCATCTGGCAAAGAGATTGAGAATTCTGGTGGTAATTAAGACCATGATGGCCACACAAACCCCAACTTCCAAAAGGTGTCAGTCTACCTAAAATGACATTATTGGTGACTGGCAGGACATAGTCTGTTGTCAGACAAGTCCCACCTGGGTCCAAACCCCTTAAAAATGGACTGCGGCCAAATGGTCCCTGTCCCACAAATCCCATCCAACGACTGCTACACGTGAGTAGACCAGAAGCCTGTTTGTAAGCAGGTGTATTTGGATAGACTTAAACTGAAAGGTTCCTTTTTTAAATTTTATTGAAGCAACATTCTGCCTCTTCTGCTTGTCTTCTTCCTTACATTTTTATTATTAATAAACATCATAAAATTTGGCTGGTGCAGTCTTGAGTGCATTTTTGCCAGAGCCTCAGGGTTAGTCTAACCCCGCATGCACCTAGCCCATCGGTCCAGGCTACATTTTTGTATGAGAGGGAGTTGGTTTCTGGAGAGTGACGGATGAGCCGGATGCTATCTCTGTTTCCCTTTTAAGAATTTGCCTTGGAACCCAGAAAGCATTCCTGCCTGGGCCAAAGTGTTCCTAAGGGGGGTGAGATGGTAGCTTACTTGTGGAATTCAGCCGGAAGATTGGAGGACAAAACAAAAATTACCGTATTTTTCGCTCTATAAGACGCACCAGATCACAAGACGCACCTAGTTTTTGGAGAAGGAAAACAAGAAAAAAAATATTCTGAATCTCAGAAGCCAGAACAGCAAGAGGGATCGCTATGCAGTGAAAGCAATCCCTCTTGCTGTTCTGGCTTCTGGGATAGCTGTGTAGCCTGCATTCGCTCCATAAGATGCACACACATTTTCCCTTACCTTTTAGGAGGGAAAAAGTGAGTCTTATAGAGCAAAAAATACGGTAGTTGGTTCTGCCTGTCATTGGCTCTGGCTACAATTACTGTTGGTCTTCCTGATGTTCACTCTAACCTTTCCAATGGACAACAACCACCTCAGCTAATATCCTGATTGCCGCTTTAATTATACGTATTTGAAATACTTTTTTAAGCCACACCAAGAATCCCAGTTAGAAGGTGGGAGATACCTATTTCAAATAAATTAACAGGCCAAGAAAACTCAAGCAAGCACACTTTTAAAAAATTCTACTTACTCTTTACGGCGTAAGCTTTGGGTTCTTCTGCATTCAGGTCAGAAAGGAATTCTGCGACGTCTTCCCAGCATCCAAGAGTTATATTTATTGCAACAGAAGCAAAAGGCAGTAAAAGAAGCAGGAGGAGTTTGAACCCAGAAGCCATTTCTACACCTCGTTTACCTCTAGACTTCTTCCTTTAGGCCTGGCGGTATATATTAGGGCCTCAGGCCACTTGCCTTAGGTGAGAAGACAAGGCAACCGTGTCTTAATTGAAAAAGGATCAATTCGCCTTGCAAAACAGATGCAATGCTGTGGAAATTGCACAAATAGCATGAAAAAGGCTCTTTGCACCTCAGTGTTTTCTCAGCTTGGATGTCTTGCTTACTTCCTCTGTGCTTTTTAAAATCACCTGCTGCAATTTGTTACAGAGATCAAGGCAGGTGATTGTTACCTTTCGATGGGGCTCTCGCACAACAATTTCAGAACTATCACGAAAGTATACACTTCCGAAAATTCAACATAGGATTACACACAAAGGTACAGACCAGCTTCAAGAATATATCTGAATGAACGCATTTGACTGCCTAAAAATGTACTTGATTGTGGTGGCAGGGATAAAGCTTCTGGTTTGGAACAGCATTTTGTCTTGGAAGACTGCGATAATGGGAAGGCCATACAAATATAAACAAAACAACAACAATGGAAAGAGTCTTGTAATAAAAAGGTAACCTTTATTATTCCATTCACTCTGTACAAAAAAAACCCCCAAAATAAAACACCATCACTGCATAGTGACTGCCCATTTGTTACACAGGTCAAAAAGTGCACATCGACAAGCGTGAGGCTTTAAGAGGTACACAGTTTCTTTTTTAAAAAAAGTTTTAAAAGGCAGTGACAAGCTAGTATACATCACTGACAGAAGTGTAACAGGATCCTGCATATTCAGCTACAGGGTAGAATCAAGACGTTCTCCATAACCTCCCGATATTTGATGAGTACAAAAAGAGGGAGAAAAGGAATAACAAGCATTCACTGGTCATCATCAACGAAGCGAAGAACAAATAATGTTCAGCTACTGAGAACTTGTTTTGCTTCTGACAGAATGTCCGGGGAAAACGTTAGAAGATGGCAAGGAATCTGGAGGCACCTTAAAGGCTAACACGGCTTTCTTGCCAACAGAGTGTTTTGGCCTACAGCTCAGTCGGTAGAGACTCTTAAATCCTAGGGTCGTGGGTTCGAGTTTTACGTTGGGCAAAAGGGGGTTGGACTAGATGACCCTCATGGTCCCTTCGAACTCTCCGGTTCTATGGGTTCTAACTCCCATCAGCCCCCTGCCAGTATAGACTGTGCCAGCTGGGGCTGATGGGAATGGAAGGCCAAAACATCTGGAAACCTCCAAGCTGGTAACTTATGATTCAGGTGCCACACAAGGCTTTTGGATATTTTTTTGCTGCAAAAGACTTAACACAGCTACTACCCCCTTTGGACACCAGTGGGTCAGTATTTCCTCTGCTCAATAAATAACGGAATATCACAATTCTTTAGGGGCAAAAGAGAGGTGGGAGGGGGAACCCCACATTTATTTACATACAACATGTGTCTTCATACAAGTAACTATGGACAAAATGTATAATTCCCGAGAGCAGCGACGCCTTCCCTTGGTTTTCAAGAATGGAACGTTTAACTACAGTATAATCATGCAGTTTTCTTTCTCTCTCTCCCCCTATACATACATACATACATATATATATTTATATATACATACATACGTACATACACTGAACATTTTGTTTTCAATGTGTTTTTTCCCCCCTCTAAAAAAGTACAAAATTGGGTTCAGGGAATACATATGTGGTATAAAAGCAACCCAGAAAAATCCAAACTAGTGTAAGAAGGGCAGCGCATGGAACCTCTTCTGTACTTCCATAAAAACACGAGTTATTGATAGAAGGTACATTCTGAGGTGTTCCCCACCTCCAAAAGCACCAAACTTTCCACTGAGGAGATCGACAGTGTTTAGGAAATGCAAATCAAAAGGTGCTAAATTAACAGGTTTATTCCACGAGAAGAGGAGGAGGAGGAGGAAGGATCAGCACATAGTGCAAGATCGCTTACCTGCCTCCGAGGGGTGTCTCCTGTTAACAGCCACACAAATCCAACAATGTGGTGCAGCTGGCTTGTACGCAGAGCACCTCAGGCGCACGTTCTGTCACAAACCAGGGGGAGCTTTTCGCACATGAGGGCTCCGTACGGAGCATTTGCCAGCCCAGAAGAAAATGGGTATACCGGCGGCAGTTTGAACATTTAATTACTGCAGACACCTGGTTCGTGGCCACCAGCTGCACTTTTTGCAAGTAGACTTATCTATACAGTGGTACCTCGGGTTACATACTCTTCAGGTTACAGACTCCGCTAACCCAGAAATAGTACCTCGGGTTAAGAACTTTGCTTCAGGATGAGAACAGAAATCGTGCTCCGCCGGCGCGGCGGCAGCAGCAGGAGGCCCCATTAGCTAAAGTGGTGCTTCAGGTTAAGAACAGTTTCAGGTTAAGAACGAACCTCCGGAACAAATTAAGTATGTAAGCAGAGGTACCACTGTACTTTGCAGGCATCTCGGGGCTGATTTTTTTGTAAGAGGCACAGTCTTGTAGGTGTCTGTTAAAACTTGCATGGGGATGTGAGTGCGCGGCATGGACAAATGCATGGAGAAAGATGCCTTAAATGCTGAAAATAAAACTAGAAGATCTTAAGATCTAGTCCAGCTTCCTGTTCTCACAGCGGCTAACCAAATGTCTGTGGGAAACCTGCCAGCACAAGAGTACTCTCCCCTTCTGCAGTTTCCAAAAACTGGTATTCAGAAGCACTATTGGCTTCAACCATGGTGACAGAGCAAAGCCATCAAGGCTAGAAACCACCGACAGCCTTCTTCAAATCCTTGCTAACTCCATGACCATGAGATCTAGCAACATGGTGTGTGTTTTTAAACACACGCCACCAGCTTCCCCATTAATCTCAAATGCTCCACCACGTAACACATTTTGGTAGAGAATTTGGGTGATCTGGGAACTGCATAACACTGAGCTAACACTATTTGTCCCAAGAGACTCTGGGTGCAATTCAGAGTAGACGAGAGCGTACGTTTAGTGCAGAGGGTTAAGACTATGAGCTGAGAAACCCCACGTTCAAATCTTGCCTTAAATATGAGCTCTGTCCCCGCACATGCAGCCATCTGCAATCTGGGGGTGATAATAATAATAATACTGACCTACCTTACAAGGTTGTTGTAAGGAGTACTGAGATAATTTATGTGAAGCACTCTGAAAATTCCAAAACATTTTATAATTGCTGGTATGGTCCAGAACCTTTAAGAAATCTATGAGCTGTGTGAATTACACAGCAGGCCTCGTTCTTTTTCATTTTTTTAAAAAAAAGAAATTACATTTTAGCTGCAAAATTAGAACTACTATGTAGGTAGTATTATTCACGTATAGAACAGTTTCATTATTCAGAGTGCTTCATGGTCCTTCATCTTTATGTGATGCAGCCTGGTACTATATGATGGCGCTCTGAAAAAGACTCACAGTGCTCAAATAGTACCCTTTCCATCTATCACCTTGGCAACATACCTCTCAGTTCAGATTTCTGCGATTGCTTGCACCTGAATGCATCTCCTCCTCATATATGTAAACCGAGAGGCTAAAACAAGCTGAAAGCAACATAAAGAGCCAGTGGGAGGTGCTTGGCTTATGTCTGTGTTAACCAGAAGACAAGCAACCTTGAAAATAGTAACCGGGTAGTTCAGAATTCAAAACTTTACTCGACTAATTGGAGAGCGAGACCAAGAGACTGTGAGGAAGGAAGGGCACGTGAAGCTGAAACTCACTAGGTGGCCAATTCAGAGGAACACACTAGAAATCAGCTCACTCCTATGTATTCCTAAGTGCACAAACCAACCATTGCAAACCACAACCATCCTCAAACACACATTAAAGCATTGGCCTGGTTTGCACATAATGCTAAACCATGGTTTGCTGAACAATGGCGTAGTGTTATGTGTGAAGCCTGCCCAGCAGCTTAAGTATACTTTGGTTTTCCTTTTATTTCTTCTACCAGCAAAACACTGTCTGAAGCAATGGTTAGTTGCTAGCTTACGAACATTTGGTTTGTTTTAGATCTGGCTTGGCATTACATATGACCCCAGTGCCCTTCCTAAGTCATAGTTTGTTTGGCCACCCTGTCTCAGAAGCTCACCAATCATTAAGAGATCACTCAAGCCTCAGATTACAACACAGCACCAGAGGCAAGTCCCATTGCTTGCTATGAAGGGTCAAGCGTAGCTCACATAAATTCAGGCCTACATTATGTATACGCTGCATCAACAAAAACCGAATTCTGCCACCTGTGTAAGTTATGCAAATTAACCACATCTCCATATACTCATATACCTTGCATGATTTAAAATGTCTCTCCTAGTCACAGAGAGTGGCAAAGAACCACCCTATATACCCTATATAGAGCCTAGCCACTGGAAATGCTGTTCATACTGTCCTTTGGCTTCTGAGAATGTAACAGCCATCCTCTGAGAACTAGAGACTTGCTTTAAAAAGAGTGAAACAAGGGTATTTCAAACGATACAGGATTCTGTGACAGGTGCCCTGTTCATAACAATTGCTGAATACTGTTTATGCAACCAAACTGCTGAATACGTTAAGAACTGGAGAAGGGTGTGCTGGATCAGGCCAATGGCCCATCTAGTCCGGCATCCTGTTCTTACAGCGACCAACCAAATGCTGGTGAGCACAAGAGCTCTCGCCCCTTCTGTGATTTCCAGCAACCGTTATTCAAAAGCACGGCTGCTTCCTACACACAGCGCTGCACTAAATCCCTCTTGTTCCCACAGTCCATGCTATTCCCAAATCACATAACAGGAACTGCTATAAGAACACCATGGTTTGCAAGGATCACTGTGGTCCAGATCATTACAGCCTTCCCTGTGGTCCAGATCATTGCAACTCTCAGCATCTCCCAGCGCTGGGCCTTGCTGGCTGAGACTGATGGGACTGTGCCAGCTTTGGCAGGTGGACAGGGCAAACCCCCCTGTCAATTATATGATGGACAGGTGGGCTGCCCTACCCACCTGTTCAAATCCCTTGTCCTTGCTTTAAGACTTCCCATGTGAGCATGGGAAAGTGGGGACTGCACGCTCTTTGCAGAACTCTACCCGGAAGAGGAAGGCAGCTCTAGAAAGCCTCCCAGATTCCTGGTTGTGCATTTTGGTGTCCGATCTAGTCTACGTTTCAATAAGCAACGGACACAAAATCTGTAGGAGAGGGGAGCAAATCCTTGGCAGCCTCAGTTAAAGCGAATCAGGTAGCAGGTGACAGAAAAGACCCTTTTTTCTGCCCGAGATCCTGGTAAAGCTGTTGCGAAACAAGAGAATACAATACTGGGCTAAATGGATGCATAGTCTGACCTACGGGGTGTTAGCTTTTCAATGGGGGGCTACAAATTTATCCTACGCCTCCGAGCACCTGATCTGACATAAAACTGGCACCGCCTACCATCTTACGCAAGCATCCACGCTTCAGCCTTCTCCGTCAAACAAAAAATACATCATTTCACGGGTTTTTCAATGTAGTGACACGGCACACGATCCTTCTCCCTGCCTCTCCACCATTGTAAACTCAATTCACAGTACTCTACATATTTGTTTAACTGGGAGCAGCTAAGCAGCAAAATACTGAAGCACCTCAACAGGCCTTTCGAAAGAGTCCAAGGACCTCTCTCAAAAGTGCAGTGGAGGAGAGCAAAAGAGCATGATGCTTAAAACACAAGCAGCACAGACCCTCCAGGGCATTCCTTACATGTAAGAAGTGATGAAAAAGAAGGATAGCGCTTTGGGGCAGCTCCCATTATTTCAGGGGGGCTTTTCTGCAGGAAACTGCAGCTGGGTTCTGTAGCCGATGTGTTGTCTACACACGGAAATGCCCTCTCACATTAATACGGGGAGATTTTCCAAAAAAGCACCTATAATGTTTATGCAAGAGGCCATAATAAAATTATTCTAAATCCTCCTGATCGTTAAGAATGTTATTTGGGGGCATAAATCCAGTAACTACAAAGCAATCAGACAAACAAAAAAGCTACTTGCCTTTCATTTATCTTCTTTTAACTTTTGCTTTCTAGTGCAGTTTTGTCAATCCTCCCCTGGGTATATATATATATTCGTAGGCTTCCTCGTGACTTCAATGCTGAGGTGTGTGAGCAACCACAATGTGCGACGTTTCCACACACACAACGCTGGCAATTTCAGAAGCTCTAGATTGTGTGGCAGTCCAAAGACACATGGTACAGCTCCTTACCATGCCAGAATTAACCACGGTTTCCAGGAAGGATGATGGTAACATGGAAAAGAGCTGGGGGAATCATGGCTCCTCCCATGTGACCTCTAGCATGATCATAGAGTTATGGGACAGATGGGCGTGTTCCCTTGATGTTTTAGTGACATCAGAAAGGGACCACCCCCACGAAGCGGTTTAATGGAAACCTAAGCAATGCCCTAATATGAAGAACTGTGTTTTAAAACGAACTTGCTGTCCAGAAAAAAAACAGAAACAACTGACCAAAACCGAAAAACAAAACGAAACAAGGATTTCCCACTAAATACCAATACCAACACATAACAAAGAGTATAAAAATTATCTGTTTAAATATATACAAACTCTGTTCAACTCAAATACTGCTTTATTTCACGTGGAGTGTTTTTTTTAAAAAAAAAGTCTTTAGGGGGCTTATATATATCTATGTATATATATATTTCTCTATATATCTCTCTCTCTAGCGATGAGGTGAAGAAGATATTGTTTTCAGTACAGAATATATTGCAACAGCGTGTGAAGAGCTGTTATCTCCATTGTGTGGCAGGTTTTCTGTACCAAAAATGAATGAAAGAAAGAAAGGTCAGTCATGTTCTGAAGTAGAGAAGGCTTCTTCTTCTTTCTCTCGCTTTTGGGATATGCGTGTGGGGAGGGAGGGAGGGTCATTTTTCAGTCGAGCTCATTCTTTTGGATTTGATGAAGGCCATTCCATGTGTCCGCATGTGGGTGTTTAAGGCCGCTTCTGTTTCAAAGGTCTTTGCGCAAACTTTGCACTTCCTGTCGGACACGGCACTGTCAGACGACTCCTCCTCGCGGCTGGGCTTGTTCTCCTGTTGGCTGTCTTCCCCCGACCCATTCTGTTTCGAGACGGGCTGGGGCTCCTTCAGCTTGTGTACGATGAAGAGGTGGCGGGAGAGGGAGACGTGGGAGGTGTAGCAGAGGCCACATTCTCTGCACTGGAACGAAGAGCCGTCAGATTTGTGCTGGGGAATATGTTCGTGGAACTGAAGGAGGTTCTCGGTCGTGAAGCCGCAGACTGCGCACTTGTGGACTTTGAAAACGTTGATCTTTAGCTTCTTCAGCGGCTGAGTGATGGCGCCTCGAGGGGGCCTGAATTCCAGCACAGGCTCTTCCAATTTACGCTTCGGACTGGGAACCTGAAGTCGGAACAAATCAGTTTTAAAATATAAGCAACCCAGCTATGATCATGTAGCTGTTCTCATGAATGTTCACTGCTTCTGCACTAGAAATAAAGACTCTCCTCCCTGGAAGAGAGGGGAGTGGTTGTGGGCGGGAGCCCGAGCACCGCCCCTAGCAGGGGGCATTAGCCCCCTGCCTCCTCCTCTCACCTGGCTGGCGCCCACGCCCCCTTGGCAGGCATCCAACCAGGTGCCTTCGAGGGGGCGTGTTCAGCAGCCTTTTGCGGCGGTGCCAGCCTCTCCTCGGCCTCATTCTTCTCCGTCCTCTCGTCGTGAGTCACCCACCCTCCACTCCCTTTTAGCTCAGGGTCTTTGTTCTTTGGCCTTGCTATGGACCTTAGGTTGGTCGCCCTGGTTGTCTAGGGGGCCTGGTAGGAATTTTTCCATTTGGCATTAGGCTTTTGGTTTTTCGCCTACCTCGTAGCAATCGTCACAACTTTTTGTGGTATTGGTGGGTAGGTTAGGCATTGGAATAATGTGTTGTGGTGTGTCGAAGGGCTGGGTGTGGCCATCGCCTATGCCTTCAATTTTTGGGTATTCTGTTAAAGGAATCTGGCGGTCGTGTACTCTGTCCGATGCCTGCTTGGCGGGAGGCCATGGCACGACCCCCGGTGACATCAGGGGAGAGCCTATAGTTGGATTAGCATCAACAGGCTCCACCTACTGGTGAATAAACCCCCTTGTTTTAGACATCCAATGCCTAAGCCAATACCTTTTCACTGCTGTAATCAATAAAGTTGTGGCCTTTTCTTGCCCATTAACCTTATATCACGTGTCCTTGTGTATTTATTTCACATCGCGGGGGTCGGGTCCTCGAACCACAAGTGTGTGTATTGAGCCAAGGATCATGTTCGGAATCAGCCAACTGGGAAGCACTTCTTGACACAATGCACAATTTAACTTATGGCATTCTCTGCCAAAGTTTGTGTATGTGTTTGGGGTGGTGATGGTTACTACCTTAGATGGCTTTCAAAAACATAGTGGTGTATCCGACACGGAGGACAGGTTTTACAATGGCTGTTATTTATTTACAGTGGACGCTCGGGTTGTGAACGTGATCCGTGCGGGATGCACATTTGCAACCCAGAGTTCACAACCCACGCGTCTGCACACACGCGGGTCACAAAGAGCTTTCTTCACTTTTTTCCTCAAAAGACAAAAGAAGCTTCAAGTCTCCCAACTCTGATTTGTTGAGAGGACACAGCTGAAGTTTATTCAGCTGGTATTCCATGTTTCTTTTTAAAGACCAGGACTTGCATACAAATAAGAGCTCACCTTCGCGTCTTCTTTTACCGCGCTTTGTCCTACATTGCTTGATTCTGTCATCTCTTTCACATCGGGCTCTTTAATGCCGTGCATCAGCTGAATATGCTTTTCGAGCATCAACCGCTTGGTAAAAGTACGCCTTGAATCCGGACAGTGCCTACATGAATAAAATGCATAGCAGACCATTAACAGTTATGATCAACTAGTTGGTACTAACAGTGTTTGCACAGGTGCTCACGTGCCTGCCCTTAAAATGGCTGAACATGGCTAACTCACATCTTACTGATTTCAATGGGTGTACTCAAAAATATAATTTACTTTTGTAAAAGTCGGTGAGGCGATACAGACCTTCAGCTTGGCAGGTCTTTATTTGGAAGGTTTGGGGATGCAGGATGGAATAGTGGGTGGTGGGCCGGGGCAATTAGTGGGAATGGGGCCAGTTTTCCTGCTTTTTCCTTGAACTTGGTTAGTATTGTGGGAATTTTCCTTGGTTTGTTTTGGAGGAATGGGTACACTAGAGGAGGGCTTTTTCCGATGTTATCTATCTCCATCTACACCCATTGTTTTGTTTCATCTTCTAGGATGTATGGGAATACATCGCACTTGGTTGGCGAACGTAAACAAACTGTGGAAAAGACTCTATGAACCGAAAATGGAGATGCTATATGTACTTTCCTTTGTTTTGCAACACAAGTAAATCTTTAAAACACACACACACGTTTTACTTGGATTCAACCTGAAGAACAATAGGAGCACTCTCTCTTACACATACATACACACAGGCTATTTTAACTTATTTGCTACATAAAAAGCAGCTTGACTGCTGCTACCTATTTTATCCAGCAACAAGTTGCCTTAGGAAACAGCTGGGTGCATTCCAGGACACACTTCTGGTTTCAGTACTGTCACCGTGCATGTGCTGAGAATGCACTTTAGCAATTGTCCCATAATCCTCTACAACCAAGGGTACATAATGTGGTCCCACTAGACGTTTGAAACCACAATGAGTCCTCCAGATGTTCTGGACTCCTATGGGGCCCAGTCAGCATGGCCGATAGCAGGGATGATGGGATTTGTAGTCCAGAACATCTGCAGGGCACCGTGCCGGCTATCCCTCCTCTGTGGTAGGCAGTCTTACGTGACAGACAAGAACGGGGTTCTGTAGAACCTTGTTCTTCAACTCTGGGTCCTCACATGCTGCAGGACTCCAGCTCCCACCATTCCCGACAACTGGCAAAGCCAGCTGAAAATGATGGGCATTGTAGTCCAACAACATTTGGGGACCAAAAGGTTAAAGAACACCTTGTGGCTCCACCTGGAGACTCATGTCCTCTAAAGAGTAGGCTGAAATGAGAGCAGATTGTCTCCAGGTATGCTACTTGGCCTCTCAATGAGAGAAGGGCAGGTTTTGTTTTGTTTTTTCAAGGTCTAAGAATTATTATAACGAACATAGTTGCGCAGAACTCTAAAAAGCAGAACTTACGAGCAGGTATAAACTTTCCTAATGCCTTTGTGCTTGATGCGATTGTGGCGGCAAAGGCTGTGCGAGGAACTGAAGGATTTGTCGCACTGTCGGCATGGATGCTTCTTCATTTGCTTTAAAGAAAAGAAGTCAAAACGTTTTTTTAAAAAAGGAGGTACATTATGATATGTGCCAGTTAACTTAAAACTTTACCTTAAACAAAGCAATGTCGCGAGCATGACACATCCCAGGGCACCGTTATGACGTGCTGTGTCCACCAGAGGGAGCAGGGCTGGGTTGTACAGCGAATTATTTCTAGAAAGCAATGGAAGCCACTTCCCCCTTACTAATTCTGATCCAGTATAGGTAGCCTGATGGCTCTACAAACACAATGCTTTGAAAGACCTACTTGTGTGGTTTCCCAGATTTGCAATTACCAGTTGCAGCTGCTCTGCCTAGCCCCCTAGAAGTCAATCAAGTGGGGGAAATTAACCAGGCAAAATGGAAATCAGCTAACGAGAGGAGGAATGGCGTCGTACACAAAAGCCAGCTGTTAAATGCAGAGCAGCATATGGAGGGATACATGTGCATTATTTCCATGCCCTGTGCTCAGATCTTCCTGAACAGGTAGCTCACACACCTGTCATTTGACTCACAAGACCTATGGACCATTGTGTCTGTCCCCCTTCCCCCCCCCACTCCAAAATAAGTGGGGACGAGCCAATGGCTACTAGCCATGACGGATACATGGGAGCTCCATGTGCAGGAGGAGAAGCCTGCCTCGGAGTACGAGATGCAGAGGACATACAGCAGTTCTTGCGCTGCTCTGTGAGTCCCAGAAGTGTCTAACTGGTTGCTGGACCGCAATATAAGGAGGTCTGTGTCCAGCAAGTTATGTGATGCTCTTAACCAGTCCACCTGCGGGACATAGATCCATCACTGGCATTCCTCGCCTCTGGCTGACAAGCCTGCTAGGCCCAAGCCAAACCCAAGGTTGCTAAGCAACCCCTTAAGCTCTCTGTGTAAGGTTGCTTTAGTAGCCATTCGCAACACAAATGATAAACAGCAGCGAGTGGATCTGAACAAGGCTTGATGCATGATGACCTACATAAATGACCCAAGAAGCAGTAAAACATTTTAACCAACGACCCGTATCCGAGAATTTATCCTACTCTGGAACAATTCACACACACACACACACACACACACACACACACACTGCTTTATTTCAGCTTCCATCTTTGAAAGCTGCTACATGGGTGTTTCATTATAGCATCTCCTACCCATGAGAGCCTGCTTATTACGAGCTTTCTTCTGTCTTTACCAACACCTCTGAGCTTATTACATTTTCGCGGTATTTCCCATATGGCTTTCTCTCACGTCTCTCTCTCCTTCTACCCAAGGCAGCAAAACTGACATGGTTTTTATTAGTTTTACTCCTGCCTAGGGGCCTGTGCTGAACATCAACCATGAAAAATTATGAGCTTTTAAAATTTCTTCCTTCTTTTTAATTTTACTACTCTGAAAGCCTCGTTGGCAGGGGGGAGCCAAAAGCAGGTTGGAGTCGATAAGACTGTTATTAGTTCAGAGAAGTGGGACTTGCAAGAAAATATTACAGTATGGAGTGTTCCTGCTCAGGGTTCCAGCCAGCCAGTGCTCTTTCAGGACACTCCATTACATTCCCTCTCTCCACTTCTGTTTCTATTCCTCTTCTGAGGTGCCTTTTTTTGTGCACACTGAGCATACTGCCTGCCCACCCTGCTTGGAGTTTGGTACATATTTTGCAGCAGTGTGACCAAGGAAACAGTCTAGTAAGACTGGTGACTGAAAGAATAAACTTAAGGTTTATTATTCATGGCAAACAAAGCAAATATAGGTTTTTACATGTGGCCAAGATGGAACCAAGAAATTAACACATGCAAACTCATTTTTGGACCAGGGATGTGGGTGGCGCTGTGGATTAAACCACAGAGCCTAGGAAAACCAATCTGTGAGGAGTAAGAACAGGGAGCCTTTCTGTTTATTGCACCTCCCCACACCACTGGTCCGAGTAACTTACTGCAAGCCCTTTTTGCTGTACAGTGGTACCTCTAGATGCGAACGGGATCCATTCCGGAGCCCCGTTCGCATCTAGAAGCAAACGTAACCAGCCACGGCACGTCTGCGTACGCATGCGTCGCTTTTCGCCGCTTATGCACATGCGTGTGACGTCATTTTGAGCGTCTGCGCATGCGGCAAAACCCGGAAGTAACACGTTCGGTTACTTCTGGGTTGCTGTGGAGTGCAACTTGAACGCGCTCATCCCGAAGCACATTCAACCGACTAATCAGGGCACGCCTGTCATGCTAATTCATCGCAGCAGCTTTAAGAACATAAGAAGAGCCTGCTGGATGAGGCCAATGGCTCAACCAGGCGAACAACCGGCTCTCACACGGACCAACCAGATTCCTAGGAGAAGCCTGAAACAGCAGCCCTCAGCCCACTGTTACTCCCAGGAAAACAGCACTCAGGAGCAATGTGCTTCCAACTGCACAGGGGAGATCACAGCCACTGTGGCTGGTAGTCTTCTATAGCCTTCTCTTCCACGAATTTGTCTAACCCTCTTTCACAGCCATCCAAGTTGGTAGGCGACACTTTGAAAAGCGATTAAAATTTAATGGATCTAGGCAATAACGTACTCGTGAAAATTTCTAGCGTTGACTCTCCCTTCAGCGCTGTAGGAAATGTAAACCAGGCTGATCCATTGTGTTGATTTGTATTTTATTTCCCTCCATAACCCTGTCCCTTTTAGCGTGCATGATCTTATTTATTCTCTAGATTTATGCTTACATAAAACTAAATAGTGGCCTTTCTTTCGCTGAAATTGTGTGGTGGCTGGTTACGTAAAATGCAATCAAATCTGCCTGGCCTGGCTTAGAAAGAGAGGAAGAGCCCATTCCAGAATGCAGAATTGACATCAGTCAGTTTGTCCTGGGCTTCACCATGGTGAAGGGATTTATTTTTTTTGCCAGGGGTGGGGTATTATCTTTTATAATAACTTTTCAGCAACAGGTAAGTGTAATCAATAAACCTCATTGCTGGTTTGGTTGCAAGGTGGGCGACTAACGGGGACAAATTCTTTCCATGCTAAACATCCTCGTCAACAACTTGAAAACGGCCCAGATCTAATCTTCTAATTCTCCGCTCAACACCCGCAATTTACCTTTCCGTGTTCTTTCCTCATGTGGGATATGTAAACATCTCTCTGAGTAAACAGCCGATCACATTCCCAACACGTCCAGCCGGGATTGGGGACTTTCTGGGGCTCTGCTTTCTTCACAGGGGAGGGGGACTTCTTCTCTGTCTTTTCTGTCCCGTTGACGGATTTGGAGTCCTCCTTGTTGTGACTGACCGAGTTCTGAGTGGTGGGCTTCGTGCTCAGCGGCAAACTGATACCCAGGTTCGGAGGCCCCTCGACACTTTTCAGCGTCCCGTGCATAGACTAATTCAAAAAGAAAGAACAAAGCAAGGTGGTACTTGCTATCTAGAGAGAATACAAGGTGAGAGGACCAGCAGGCGGAAGGCTGGAGAAGCCAGTGTGGTGTAGTGGTTAGCGCGTTGGACTAGGACCTGGGAAGCCAACAGGGTTCAAATCCCCACTCTGCCACAAAACTCACTGGGTGACCTTCAGCCAGTCACTCACTGCCAGCCTCGCAGGATTGATGCGAGGATAAAATGGGGAGGAGGAGAACCACGAAAGCCACTTTCAACTCCTTGGACGAAAAGCAGAATGCAGATATGTGATAAATAAAATAAAATAAATGCTTGTTTCGTGGTTTCACGAATCCACGGCACCCATAGGCCAATGTACAGAGGCGGCAAAAACCACATGACACAGCTGGACTGTACCACTTCAAAGATGGGGGACTGCATGTCTGAATTCCCCCTACCCGCCATTACCTTGCACAGAGAGAGCTGCCATGTCGGGGGGCGGGGAGTGTTCTAGACTAGACTTTCCCCTTATATTCTGTCAAGGTTGTCCGCTACAGATAAAAATCTCACTGAGGAATCCCTGGGTTTGCCCAGAACACAAGCTGAAAATCACTGCGGTAAAGCCAATAGCTTAAAAGCAGAAGTCCAGTGGGAAAAGGCAGCTGATTGCATAATGCCTTAGTATAAATATATATATATCATTATAAATACCAAAGTTCAAAGGAATGAAACTACCAGAAGTAGTAAGGTAAAGGGACCCCTGACCATTAGGTCCAGTCGTGACCAACTCTGGGGTTGCGGCGCTCATCTCGCTTTACTGGCCGGGGGAGGTGGTGTACAGCTTCCGGGTCATGTGGCCAGCATGACTAAGCCGCTTCTGGCGAACCAGAGCAGCACACGGAAACGCCATTTACTTTCCCGCCGGAGCGGTACCTATTTATCTACTTGCACTTTGACATGCTTTCTAACTGCTAGGTGGCAGGAGCTGGGACTGAGCAACGGGAGCTTACCCCGTGACGGGGATTTGAACCGCCAACCTTCTGATTGGTAAGTCCTAGGCTCTGTGGTTTAACCCACAGCGCCACCCGTGTCCCTTCTAGGGACCAGAAGGAGTAGTCAGCCTCAAAACACCACTCCAGAAAAATATTGTGGGGGTTTGTTTTCTTTTAACCTATAAAACAGAGAAAGAAAAAGTCTCTGAAAGTGGATTCTGTAACTTCATAGTAATCTGCATGAAGTTTAGATTCTATGCAGATTAAGGGAGCGACCATAACTCAGTGGTACTATAGCTCAGAGGCTGGGACATCTCTCATCATCCATGACTGCAGGCCACGCTGGCTGCGGCTGATGAAAGCTACAGGCCAACAACATTTGGAAGGCATCGCACTGCACCCCTGGCATAAGGTCCAGTTTCAGGCTTTGATCTATTCAGTTCAAAGATTTGGGAAAGTCCTCTGCTCTGAGACTTGGGGAAGAGCAGCTGCCAGCCTGAGTAGACAGTACTGGGTTAAGCAGTTTAGTGACCTGGTTCCTAGAATATAATGCCGTTTCACAGTTTTATCGTTCGCAAGCCTGCTCCCCTTGTGATTACAAGGGCATCTAAACTGGTGTCAGGAACGTCCCCGTCCCCCCGAGCGCAGGGGAAGAGTTAGACTCAGAAATCGAACTAGGTGCATGAGGGTCTGACTCTGCAGATGAGAACTGGCTGACAGAGTCGAGAAAGGGCAGTTCGACCCCCCTTCCTGGGGAAGACTCTGTTAGATCTCAAGAAGAGGCGGAGTTGTACAGCAGCCAGAGCACTGCTAGGCAATCAGCAGATAAGCAGAGGTCTGAGTCAGTCAAGTGGGAGTGGGGAGGGGGCAGGCCAGTCTCTCAGTCCCTGTTTTGGTGTCTGGATAATATCAGATGGCAACGGAAGGGCAAGAGGGGAAAGGCGGGAATTTGGCATCCTTCCTGCTGTAGGAGGGATGAAAATTCAGACTGATCAACTATTGTAAATGCGGGCAGGCAAGAAGCCGGGCTCTGGATGTGTCTTTTTTGTAAATAAACATGCATAAAACTGCTGGAGAGTCATTACATTACAGGCTTGCTTGCCTGCCAGAGATCATTACACCTACTTTCATCTACTTATGGTGGCTCCCCGTTATGGTTGCCAAACGAAGCCCACACACCTTGATATGATCCATCATGAGTTGCTTCTGTGCGTACAAAAGCGAACAGTCTGGACACTTGAAGACAGACACTTTCTGGTTTTCGATGTGTTGGTCAAAGTGGCGATACAGCAAAGGCTGCAGGGTAAACACTGTGTCGCACATGGAGCATTTGTAGATTATCCTTTAAAAAGAAAAACACACAGAAAAAGGCAGTTGAAGACATAACGTCAGTCTGTTGTGGCATTTCATTTATTCCAAAAGACTGCATTACTGGCATAGGTTTTTAAACCGTACCCCAATTTTCTGTCCCACAAAGGGGCTGCTCAAAGGGGCTTACAAATAAAAAGCAGGCAGGTAGAGATTTGGACCCTGGTCTCCCAGGTCCTAATCCAGTACTCTAACCACTACCTCATGCTGCCTCACAGTGTGAAATTGTAGGTGAAGCTAACCACACATAAGCTCAATGCACGGAAGCAATACCCGAAAAGGCCCAGATATGTAGGTCACTCAGTGGCAATCAGGCGTTTTCATTTCTAAGGCTCATAAGAACAACCTTTGCAGAACTGAAAGTAGTGCTTGCATGGCAATGGGCTTTCAAACGACCCCTTGAGGCTGTAAATCATCTTGGTGGTTTCAGTGCCTTTCCATAAACGCAGACAAAGGACTCTTGCTCCTAATAAGGGAAGCATTACCAGCCACTTATCATTAGAACTGACACTGAATTTTCACCCGGAGCAAAATTCAGCTGAAGAATTGGAGGGACGTCAAGGGGAGCCGGAGGAACGTTTGAAAGGAACGGCAAAAATAATAATTAAATTCTCATTTTGCACATTCCTCCTTTTTCTATGAAGATGCATTGTAGATGCTGTATCTGCATTACGCATTTATAACAGCGGCATACCGGTTCTGACTTAAGAAACCCTGGGAAATGTAATCTGGCAAGGATGCTTAGATTTCTCAATTAAAGACCCTTATCATTCTCTCACACAGAGTGCTCCCTTGGGAGAGGAATGGCCATTTGCATCTGGAGTGAGCACAGATACCCCTATTTAAGGAGTGAGAAACTGCAGGGTTTTTTGGGGGGGGGGCCTTTCAGCCTCTCATGGCTCTTCCTGGGCTCTGACCCTCAAGGGCTGATGCCTGGCTTCACTCTCCTCACATCCTTTTGCCTGGTTGGAATGTGCCTGTGAACTGCCTTTTTCCTATCCGGATGTAGAATGAAGATATGTGTGTATATGTTTCTATGTGCATAATTGGAATGTAGCCTGTCGTACAAAGTTGTACCCATTGCCCCGCCTACTTTTGCCTCTGGCTCCACCCATATTTTTTTTGTTGCCTCTGGCCCTGCCTACCATTGACGTGTGGCCTTTGGAAAGTTGTCCATAAGGGGGACATGCCCTTGGGCTGAAACAGGTTCCCCTAGACCAGTGGTGGCCAATCTTGGCCCTCCAGCTGTTTTGGGACTACAACTCCCATCATCCCTAGCTAACAGGACCAGTGGTCAGGGATGATGGGAATTGTAGTCGCAAAACAGCTGGAGGGACAAGTTTGGCCATCACTGCCCTAGACCATCAGCAAGGAAGTACTGAAGTGAATATGAGAAATCTGGGGAGAGGAAAACAGTGAGGCTTCAGTATAATACTGACAAAAACAGAGTGGCTTGCCAAATTATTGGAGTATTACAATATATCCAAAACAATGGGAGAAATGGGAAGGATCCCAAAAGAGAAGATAGACAGGGACTGGAAGGTGTTTAAAGGATACTTGCAAAACAATATTGAAAAATCAGAACTCCTATTAGAATAAACAAGTTCCGTTTTAAATACTGAAATACTAAATAAGATGGATAACAATGTGTAATAAAAAGAAGAGCATGAAATTAGGTTAAAGGTGTGTGAAAGAAAGTAATAGAAGTGGAAAGAAATTGCAACTGAGTAGACTGGAAGTCTAACACAAAGGTGGGGTGAGGGGCGGTGGATGGTGATGGGAAAAGGAATTATCTGTGGGACTGAGTGTAGGTATGTTTGAACATTTTTAAGGACTGTATGAAATGTATGTTTGTATGCTTGTATATTCGCAATATGTGTGTATTAATACTGAATTATTTTAATAATAAAAACTTTAAAACATAATAAAAAAGAAAAAAGAAAAGAAAACAGCGAGGCTTCAACCACTGCAAAATCCCTATTTGAAAGGTCGGCTCTGTGTGGGAAAAAGTGGCCTAAAATTTGCTTTGACACAAGACCTTTTCAACACGCTAAAAATGAACGGATCTCTGTGCAACTTTTTCAGTTACACGGGAGCAGGGTGCTCATACACTCTCACCAATTTCACTCATAACCTTCTTGAATTAAGCATTCTAAGCGCATGCTGTCGAACATGCTGCTCTTTTGTCTCATTTATATATTGCACCTGTCCTTTAATTTTAGAAACACAGTGGAAAGTAGGAGAACCAGCTCTTGCCAGGACTTTTCCCACTTCTCTGATGGCATATGGGGAGTCCTGGTCATGACACGCAACATTCATTTCTGAGCATGATAACCATAGCATTGCAAGTCAATAGTTAAGTCAAGTAGGATGCAAAGATCAGAGCTGCTTACTTGGGCTCCCCTATCTTGATTCCAGGGTGCTGCGTATAGGCGTGGGAATGAGTGCTGGGCGCCGACTTGAATGCCATTGGACAAATGGGACACTTGTAGAAGACTTCACAGTGAGAACCCTGGATGTGGGATTTGAGCGCCGCCACATCAGAGTATACCACATTGCAATGGACACAGCTGCAAGAGATGGAGAGTTATGTCAATGTTTTCTGTTGTGCAGTGCAACGCAACACCGTAGGGTCTAAGTGCTAGCATCCTTCTACAGCGTGTAGAAAATGGCCAAGGACACAGCTATAACTGTACACAGAACAAATAAAGTATACAAAATGTCTCCAGTATGCTACTCTTTCCAAGTACAGTGGTACCTTGGTTCTCAAACAACTTGGAACCTAAACACTGCAAAGTAAGTGTTCTGATTTGCGAACTTTTTCCGGAAGCTGAACATCCTCTGTTTTGAGTGTTATGCTTCTGATCTGAGTGCCACACTTCCGTTTTGAGTGTTACACTGAGGTATCTCTGTTTTTGCTATTTCTTTTGCTTTTCTGTGGCTTTTTTGTTTTGTTTTTGTGACTGTGTGGAACTGATTGATTGGTTGATTGATTGATTGATTGATTGATTGTGTGACTGCAGTACATTGAATATTGCTTTCATTTTATGGATCAGAGGTCTCGTTAGATAGAAAAATTCATGCTAAATTGCTGTTTTAGGGGTTGTTTTTAAATGGATCAATCCATTTTGCATTACTTTCTATGGGAAAGCACGCTTTGGTTTTGGAACGGACTTCCGGAACGGATAAAGTTTGAGAAGCAAGGTACCACTGTATCACTGAAAGATTCTCAACCCTGGGGCACAGGGCACAAAGAACTGTGGCCCAGACCAAGCTCTGTTCTGCATGCAGGAAAAGTCTCATGATGAAAGAAGCAAAAGATAAAACAAAACCCCCTGTGACCCTCTCTCCCTTTCTGATATCATGCCACAAAGATACTCATAGGTGGAACAAAAGCATAGGTCAGAGCCATGCCGAAGTCGCCTGCATACTTTGAGCAGCTCTGCCTTAACAAACCTACCAATATTAATGAAAATGTCATCCCCCAAATTTGAAGCTTGGGGATGCTGTACAGCTAAAGTGGCCAGATGCCAAAGCAAGGAGGTTTTTGCATCTTGCCCCTGGAAAAATTATGTGGCTAACTTATTCCCACATATCCTTTCCATCTGTAATTTACTCATGGAACTTATTCTAGAAGAAGCATGTTGAGAGTCAATTCAAAATATCCTCAACAAGTGGATGAGCTACCACAAAATGCCACAATTATCATTCCGAAATATGCATATAACAGATTTTGAAACTTGTTTAAAGACTAAGCTTTTAAAATTTGGCCCCTTGCTATGTGCCTGTAGATTAAGGTATTTTTAAAAAATGTACTAGAATAATTATGTGGCACTAACAATATGCCATTTCCCCTGTAGTTTTGGCATTTCCCCTGTAGTTTCCTCTGTAGTTTGAGACTTCACAGTCTCAAAAGTATTTTTATTATACTGACCGAAATCCAACTCTTCGAGTGTAGTGCAGGCAGTTCTTTGTGACGTGGGTCTGGAAATGTACCGATCTACAGATTGCACCACACTCGGGACACGTGTACGGCGATTTGTGCTGATGAATTCTCTGATGCGATGCAAAGCTGCAGAGGTTGGGAAGCAGCATTTGACATATACTACACGTCTTCTACACAATAAAGCGGAAACAAATGAGATGGTAAGCCAATTGTTTGTCCTGGGCACACGTTAACATTTAATAAAGGTAGTCACGATTCATCATCATCATCATCCTCATCATAGAAAGTACCATTATGGGTGTTTCAGTTAAAAGGGATAAGAACAAAGCAATAAAACGGACCCATTACACCACTGTTCCTTTAAACTGAATTCCTGTCTCTTAGGTCCAGGTTAAGAAAGGACAGGTGCATTATATCCTGTAAAGTACAGGTAACTGCATTTGCTAACCACATTCACTGTCACAACTCTTTCTCCTTCTCTTCTAATTAGATTAGAACCTAAGGGTTGAATCCAGCAAAGTCATTCCGCTTGAGCTATGAATGTTCTCCTTCCTTTGCTTTGCATTTTCTCTTCTATATAAAGTTTTGTTAACATTTTTTCACAATACAAGACATGCTAGGTAAAGGTAAAGGGACCCCTGACCATTAGGTCCAGTCGTGGCCGACTCTGGGGTTGCGGCGCTCATCTCGCTGTATTGGCCGAGGGAGCTGGCGTACAGCTTCCGGGTCATGTGGCCAGCATGACTAAGCCGCTTCTGGCAAACCAGAGCAGCTCACGGAAACGCCGTTTACCTTCCCGCTGGAGTGGTACCTATTTATCTACTTGCACTTTGACATGCTTTCGAACTGCTAGGTTGGCAGGAGCAGGGACCGAGTAACAGGAGCTCACCCCGTCGTGGGGATTCGAACCGCCAACCTTCTGATCGGCAAGGCCTAGGCTCTGTGGTTTAACCCACAGCACCACCCGCGTCCCCTACAAGACATGCTAATCTACACCCCAAAAAAATAAAGAGAAAAGAAAAGCGATAGAGAAAGAAGAATTCAAGGTCCCCTCACAAATATATCTTAACTGTTGTCTCATACAAAGATGTGTCCCTTCACCTCTCACCCCTCTCTTCTCCCAGCCTCCCTCCCCTTCCTTTGCTTTCATATTCTCATACATCAAAAAGCATAATGACAACAATAAAGAAGGGAGTAAAGGAAAAGAAATCAAAGCAAGGAAAACAAAAGGAAGGAAGGATGTGAGGAGAAAGGAGGGAGTATTCCAAAAAACGACATTATAATTCCAGTCAATTGTCTTTCGTCAGCATGTTATCCAAGAATGTTCTTCCAAAGGTACCCATGAGAAGAGGGCAGCTGCCAGTCATGTTCCTTAACTTTAATGGGTTCAACAAACGGATGCCAAACTTTAGAAAAGTTGTCCTTTTTCGGATTGTGTAGAGTTCCGATATATTTTGCTAACTTTTCCGTTAGTTCCAAGCCCCTGTAATTTGTTCGGGCCAGTTGGGAGAACCACCAAAGTTGGGGTGGGGCGTTGGAGGGGGGGGGTTGCGCAGGTGGAGGAAAGTTATGTTGCACAAGCAGAAATCATTCCACTTCCTTGTGCAGTCACTGTTAGATGCAACCCTGAAGGGTTAAACTCCATGAAGGAGGAACCTTGCCTTCTTTTGCTTGAGTTGTAAATGAAACATCATGTGCTTTACCAACTGTATTGAAAGGCATGGGGCAAGTCGGGGGAGGGGGAGGCTCCCTTTTTATTCAAGAAGAAATAGAAAACTTTAGGGAAGGTGAAAAACCCAACAGGAATGAGCTGTTTTTCATAACTCATTGTCATTTCCAAACCCTGATCCACAGCTGTAGCAAATGAGGTCTACGGATGGGCTGCAAAGACTGGTGGGGGTGTCATGGCATCCACAACAAATCTACACCAGGCATCTTCTGGCTATGCTGATTTCGTTTTTGTACTGCTCTTCTTCCAGAGCTCTGGGTGGTGTTTTGCATCCATACAACAATATTGGTTAACCTGAGAGACAGCAATTGGCTCAGGATCAGCCAGGAAGCCAGGAAGCTGGACAGGGTTTTGAATTCAGTTCTGTCTGGTCCAGCTCGTGAACCCTCACAAACCCCATTGGTCAGTTCCATCTCCCCAAGCTTTGAGTCCGGTTATTCCCTGGGGATGGGAGACTGCATCAACAGGTAAAAAGGTAAAGGTCACCTGGATGGTTAAGTCCAGTCAAAGGCGACAATGGGGTTGCAGCGCTCATCTCGCTTTCAGACCGAGGGAGCCAGCATTTGTCCACAGACAGCTTTCCAGGTCATGTGGCCAGCATGACTAAACCGCTCCTGGCACAACGGAACACCGTGACGGAAACCAGAGTGCACAGAAATGCCGTTTATCTTCCCGCTAGAGCGGTACCTATTTATCTACTTGCACTGACATGCTTTCGAACTGCTATGTGGGAAGGAGCTGGGACAGCAACCAGGAGCTCACCCTGTTGTGCGGATTCGAACCGCCAACCTTCTGATCTGCAAGCCCAAGAGGCTCTAGCACAGCGCCACTACTGCATCAACATCCTATGTCCATACCAACTCTAAGAACCTTGGAGGAAAGAGCAGTATAGAAAACAGAACAAGAGAGTACAGCAGCAATGAATGTAATGTTGACCCTTGCTGCCTTTTCTAAAAATAAATAAATAAATAAATAAATAAATAAATAAATAAATACAGCTATTTTAATTTTTGGCAAGAGAAAATTTGCAGCACTGTCTAGTCTTTTATCTGCCCCTCCCCACTAGCCCTCAGTATCAGACTCGCCTCTTTGGAATATAATCCTAATCATGCGTAGGTCCCATCAACACAGCAGTTAAGATACCACTTTGAATAGGCACGGATTTCCTGGGTGTTGTTTTTTATGGGCTTTGAGATTGGCTGGAAGAGACCCCCCTTTCCCCACACAAAGCTATAATTCCCAGAGCTCCCTGGAATACTGGTTGCTAAATCACCCCGCCATGACTGCTTGGAGTAGCACGATACTGGTTTAAATGTATGTTGCTGGTGCAGCCTTACTCTTTAGTAAGACCCACAAGACACAATGGGGCTTTCTTCTGAGTCAATGCACATAGCATTGTAGTGCCAAAAACCCAGTACAGTCATGCCTCAGATTAAAGATGCTTCGGGTTAAATCTTTTCAGGTTGCGTCCCACAGTGACCCAGAAGTACAGGAAAGGGTTACTGTATTTTTCGCTCCATAAGACGCACTTTTTCCCTTTTAAAAACTCAGGGGAAATGCCTGTGCGTCTTATGGAGTGAATGTGTGGTCCCGGGGGCTGGGGGGGGGTACCCAGGCTTCCCCTGCCAGCCCCGCAAGCTCCGGGAGCGGAGGCAAGGCTGCACGCAACCTTGCCACCGCTCCCCAACCTGTTCTGCGGACTGAGGTCGGGGGAAGCTCGGGCTTCCCCCGCCCCAGCCACGCAGCTAAAAACCAAGCCAAAGAGCTTCTTTGCTCTTTGGTGCTGTCTTGGCTTCTTTGCTCTTTGGGGCTGGGGGGGGGGGACCTGGGCTTCCCCTGACAGCCCCAGAAGCTGATTTCCCCCCCTAAAAACTAGGTGCGCCTTATGGTCCGGTGCGCCTTATGGAGCGAAAAATACGGTACTTCTGGGTTTCGCCGCTCGCACATGTGCAGACGCTAAAAATGAGGTCACGCGCATGCGCAGAAGCGGCAAATTGCGACCCACGCACACGTGGGTTGTGTTCTGCTCAGATTGCGAACGGAGCTCCGGAACAGATCCTGTTCGCAACCAGAGGTACCACTGTACATAGAACATGTAAGAGGAACAGCAGCAAAATGTTGCAGTATATCCTCCCTCTAACAGAAGCACTCCTTCCAACTGATATCCGACATTCTGCAACTACTGAGCATGCTCAGTCTTCACTGGAAGGTTGAGGGGGGATGTCCACCAAAATTTATATACCTGCAAACCTCAGGAATCCCATTACAACGCTGCAACCTTCCTCTCTTGTTCCCCAGTGGCCTCCAATCCTGTCGGCACTTAACCACCTGAGTTCGCCATTATGAGGTTCTGCAGTTCTGGACTGAATCACTTCAGACCTTCAGGGGTCAAATTTTGGAAGGCACTATCAACTGGGGGGGGGGGAATATGCCTTATAAGCAACGAACTAACATTTGCAGAGACGTGCGCCACACATTTCTCTCAGGTATTCTAGTTCATTATTACATGCAGGGATTGAGGGAGTATTCAACAATACAAGCCCTGCCCCACCTGAGGCCTAAAGTAGGTGCAAACCAGAATGTTAGCGTTTTGCGTGTGCTTGGGCTTTTCAGTTTGGAAAGAAGAGATAAATGAAGTTCTGCAGTTAATCCATGGGTAACCTAGCAACCTGGAAGGAATTTCACTCAGCTCCACAAGTACAATTTGCCACAGAAGCTAGCTATTTTTTTATTTTAAAAAAAAGCGATTTCTAGCTTGTTTGAAATTATAACCAATTCATAAATCACACAAGATGTGTACAAGCTCAGATTTAAGAGTGTGCTCTGCCAGGAACAATTTGAATCTATATATGCACATCCTGATCTACATTACACCGATTTGGCCAGATGTGCCTTTTGCTGGGAATGGGGGTGCGCGTCAGCAACTGAAGCCACCCAGTTCTTTTGCTGGGATCTGAGCCAATATTTTATTTCTCCTCTTGCTTTTCCCACCCTAAAGCTGAACATGCACTAAAGATCTGTAAATTCTCTTTCCCCCCAGAAATGTTTCTTTGCTCAATTTTACATTTAAAATATAATTGTGTGTGTTAGTGGTTCTGCTTTCATATCAATGAATAAAAACCAACAAACAAATAAGAAAAGTAAACCAGAAGTAATATTAACATTTTGAGCTTACAAAAAAGCATTACACAATTTATGACGAATTCTATATTTCCAAAAGTGGTATTGCTTGATTTTAAATGCTACCAATATATAAGACATAAGCCCCAAAGGGTGGTAAATATTACTTTCACAAATAAACTTCACTCCTGCAACCCATTCACGCTGCTTTGTTCATTTGGCTGCTCTCCCCTTCCTCAAAAATTGTAAGTGTTCGTACATTCAGAGTGATGGCAGGAAGCATGGCCCTTGCTCTGATTTGGCTTTCTAGATTTTATTAAGATTAGCAACTATTATTACATAGGATTTCTAGAAAGAAAAACGGAGGCTAGTTTACTGTCTACTGGTGGTGAACGGCTTGCAAAAAGGCTCCGCTATCTCACATGCTCACATTAAAAAGCAGAGACATCACCTTGCCAACAAAGATCCGTATAGTTAAAGCCATGGTTTTCCCAGTAGTGATGTATGGAAGTGAGAGCTGGACCATAAAGAAGGCTGATCGCCGAAGAATTGATGCTTTTGAATTATGGTGCTGGAGGAGACTCTTGAGAGTCCCATGGACTGCAAGAAGATCAAACCTATCCATTCTGAAGGAAATCAGCCCTGAGTGCTCACTGGAAGGACAGATCCTGAAGCTGAGACTCCAATACTTTGGCCACCTCATGAGAAGAGAAGACTCCCTGGAAAAGACCCTGATGTTGGGAAAGATGGAGGGCACAAGGAGAAAGGGACGACAGAGGACCAGATGGTTGGACAGTGTTCTCGAAGCTACCAGCATGAATTTGACCAAACTGCGGGAGGCAGTGGAAGACAGGAGTGCCTGGCGTGCTCTGGTCCATGGGGTCACGAAGAGTCGGACACGACTAAACGACTAAACAACAACATCTCACATGCTGGCTCATTTAAGAAGTTCAAATAATAATCCAGCTCCACTGCAGAGACCTCATCTTCCACAGCCTCTTAATCCCCTGGTAAATTTCCATTCTAAACAGGAGCAGCTAGCTAGCCAGCTTTGTAAATGCCTAGATACTCACTGTAGGGACCAACTCTTGCTTTGATCACAGTTTGCAACAGAGCCAGGAAAGGGTTGGGGAAGACTTTTTTTCCAGCTGGGGTAGATTCTTCTACTTTAGAAAGCAAGATGTCAAAAGTATATTCAGGACAGAAACATACACATTTTCTCTTAGCCTTTCTGCTCCCAAAGCAAACCGCTCTTCAGACTTGGGAATCGGGCAACAGAAAGGCACAAAAAGGCAGCCCAAATTCTTGAGCCCCCAAACCCCAAGAGTAAACCCTAAATAAAGTATGCAGTCAATTCCAGAAAGCAGCTGATGTTTATTGTCAACAGTATATCTAGAATCACAGGTTGCCCCATAAACCAAAACTAATGCAATGCAGATATAACAACACACACACACTGTCCCAATAGTCCAAAAAAAAGAGAAAGAGTAATATACTGTACATGGATCCAAACAATCCACAAGAGAATGATATGACTAAAAATCCCGAGCAACATGAGCTCTGGATAATGAACAAACCACTTTTGAAAACACACACAAATGAATCTGCCTTATGCACAGGGATGGGTGAAATCTACGAATTTTGGTTTCCCTCTGTTTATCGTTTTTCCAATCTCAATTTCAGATCTCTGCATACCCATATCAGTTTGCAATGTATTTGTTTGTTTTAATTCATTGACATTTTGGTGTGAATTTTGCCTAATATACATTTTTTTGCAGATAAATTTTCCCTAATATAATTCACTTTTGTATGTTATTTTCACTAATATAGACATTTGCATGCACAATTAACCCCAGTATACACATCTATCGAAACATTACTTGGCTGGAGAAGTGCAGAGCAAAATTTGGTTAGTGTAGATTTCAAAGGATAGCAGCATTCCAGTTATTTTATTGGTTTCAGAAGTGCAAATTAGGTAACTTTGCTTTTAAATGTGAAATGAATCATATTTCTCTCCCACCCCTACTCATATGTAGATATATCTTGGCTCAGGAGATGAGGCAAAGGCTGTTTACTAGAACCTCCCTCTCTGTAACTGTATGAGTAAACATGATGTAGAATATGGATTTCTCACTGATGAGCTACAGATCTAGTTACCATGCCAGAGTCTGGTTCGTTAACTGCAGTTAACTGGACAAATTGCTTCACCATCTGAAGCACAGCCATGTTAATTGGCTATGCTTGTTCATCAGTGGTTTTAGCTACATCATTCTCCTGAAGACTGTTTGGCTACATAGCTCAGTTGGTAGAGAATGAGACTCTTAATCTCTTGGTTATGGGTTCAAGCCAAAGATTCCTGCGTTGCAGACTAGAAAATCCTCATGGTCCCTTCCAACTCTAGGATTCTATGACATACATTATCTTGTTTTTGAATGAACTTTTTGTTGTTGTTATGTATTTCATGTAAAATGTTATTGCTCTTTGACCTAGAGAAATAGGGCGATATAGGAAGCCCTGAACACATATTTTTCAGATGTCGCTTTTACGATGAGGCACGTAGAGAAACCATTGACCCCCTGCTGGCGAGGCTTGCCGACCTCCCGGTAAAACAAAAATTTGATCTTCTCCTGTTAGGCAAAGACCACAAGACGACCCGGATCGTCGCCAGATTCTGCGCACAGATCATAGCTGTCAACTTACAGATTTGAAAATAAGGGATCAGCAGCCAAAATAAGGGATCAACAATTACTTTGATAAAATACATATTTTGTTGCATGCAAATGGCTTTAGATACTTATTAGGTCCATAAATTACCATATAGCATATATTCAGCACAAAAAAACAGCAACAATTTGTTGTTGACAAAGGACAGCTGGACATAGAAAGGGCCCCATTACCTTCAGTAGCTTATTTAAGGGATATCATCAATAAGGGACAGCAGCGGGGCATGGCGCTGGGATAAGGGACTGTCCCGCCAAATAAGGGACGCTTGACAGCTATGGCACAGATCTGTAGGCGCAGACCATCCCCCGATTCAATCTAGTTTGTTAAGAAAATTCCCAAACCCGGATCAACGGGCAACTTTGGGTCATTTCTCTGAGGTAGTCTATTTTAAAGTTTTTATGTGTTTATATGCCTATCACACTTTTAAACTTAAAATCCATTGTTGTACATAGTTTTAAATGTCTGTTTTGCTTTTGAGATTGTAGTTCCAGTTGTGTTTCTCAAGCTGGTCTCTGACCATAATAAATTTCATTCATGATTCATGACCTAGAGAAATAAAAGATCTATCTATTCATTTAAGTTGTTTATGTTCTGCTTTTCCAATCTCACTGTGCGCTAAGTCTCAGATTCTGTTGGCACAAGGATTTCTCTTTGCACAACGGAATTACTCTGTCCTTCCCCTGTGTACCCTCTAAATCTGTTCTCAGGGTTCCCCCACCCCTCTAGAACAGATCTGGGGACAGCGTGTGACACCTGGAGTAAGTGTGTGTCTGTTTGTGCTAGTGTTAACCCTTGCAGTAGCACGAAAGTCAGTTGAATACCATACATTTTCATTTTAACATAAGCAGTTTTGGAGGTAAAGGTAAAGGGACCCCTGACCATTAGGTCCAGTCGTGACCGACTCTGGGGTTGCGGCACTCATCTTGCTTTATTGGCCAAGGGAGCCGGCGTACAGCTTCCGGGTCATGTGGCCAGCATGACTAAGCCGCTTCTGGCGAACCAGAGCAGCGCACGGAAACGCCGTTTACCTTCCCGCTGGAGCGGTACCTATTTATCTACTTGCACTTTGACGTGCTTTCAAACTGCTAGGTTGGCAGGAGCAGGGACCGAGCAACGGAAGCTCACCCCGTCGTGGGGATTCGAACCGCTGACTTTCTGATTGGCAAGTCCTAGGCTCTGTGGTTTAACCCACAGCGCCACCCACGTCCCAAGCAGTTTTGGAGATGTAACAATAAAATGCAAAATAAAAAATGAATGAAGTACTGAAATACTCTCGGCTGCAAAACCCAGCACTGCCACCAGTTGTGGAGATAACTCCCTTCAGAAGCAGAGCTGGCCCTGGCATTGCTCAGCCTTCATTGCCACCTCTTCTTCCAGGATTTTGGTGGTGCAGAAGGGGCTCTGGTATTCAGAAGGGTGTATATTTTACGTGAATGATGTAACCTGCCCTGGGAATGCTTCTTGATGGAAAGGTGGCATGAAAAGGAAGAAAGCAAAGCCCAACGAAAACATCCAGAGTCCATCACAAAACGACTTCTGGAATAAAAATGTGTTCAAGCGCCATATAAAAATGGGACAGAAGGAAGGCTTGCAGGATCTATGAGCGGGCAGACTTCCACAACTGTAGCACCACCACGAAGAAGGCACTGTCCCAGTTGTTCATCAATCAGGTATTTGCTAATCACAGACTAAAAATCCCAGGCAGTTTTCTATGTCCATAAGTTTGGGATCAAGTTATTTTCTAACTGTAGCACTTAATTTGGGTAAGTGACATTTCCAATTTTATTTCAGTGCCTCCTTAAAACCTACTTATTTAACTGTGCTTTTGCAAATATCTAATTCCGGTTTTAGTCCTGCCTGGTGCAGCCAAATTTTATACTGTGTTATGATACTGCCTGGTGTGTGCGCTTTTTAAATAGGTATCCTTCCTCAAGGGGACAGGCAGCACAGAAATGTTTTAAATGAAATAAAATGAACAAATATTACTAGCACCATAACCTGAGCTCAGAACCCAAACAGAAGCAGCAGATCTAGCTAGTACAACTCACAAACTCTTTCCCACAAACTTTTACAATACTGGATGAATGCACATCCCTTCTTCTGGAGAATATGGGTCATGAGGGAGCCTTTCAGGGGAGGTATTTATCCCCTCTCTCTGACTGACGCATAATCTATGATCTCCTGGAAAGGTGAGAGCAGTAACCTTCTTCAACAACACAGGAGGACTCAAACTGTGCAGAGGTGCAAGGGTACAGATGCCATCCCCACTTCCAAGATCTGTATGCAACACCATCCTGTCCCCTCCCCTTCCAACCTTTCTTTGCATGGAGCACAAAAATCTCCAGGGAAATTCTAACTCATTCATGTGGCCACAGACAGAATCCTCCAAGCGATCACCCGGACGCAAGGGGCGATTTCAACTACATTTAGCTAAACACTGTGAGATTCCCCCTTCTGTCTGTTATGGGCAACACAGAAAGATACAGTCAGGAGAAAGGGAGGTGGGGTTTCATGGGGGTGAAGCCAGTGCACATGGCCCCACCCCCCAACCACAAAATGTTAGCCTTCACACATTCATCTGAATGCTCAAACAGGGCTTGTGAGAACAATGCTGTAAACCACTGCTCCAAAACCAGTACAGTCGTACCTTGGTTCTCAAATGCCTTGGTACTCATACGTTTCGGCTCCCAAACGCCGAAAACCCGGAAGTGGTTTTCCGGTTTTCAAATGTTCTTTGGAAGCCGAACGTCCAATGCAGCTTCCGATTGAGTTGCAGGAAGCTCCTGCAGCCAACTGGAAGCTGCGCCTTGGTTTTCAAACGGTTCCGGGAGTCGAATGCACTCCCAGAACGGATCAAGTTTGACAACCAAGGTACCACTGTACAGTCATACCTCGGGATGAATGCGCTTCGGGTTGAGCGTGTTCGAGTTGCGCTCCACGGCAACCCGGAAGTAACGGAGCGCATTACTTCCGGGTTTTGCAGCTTGCACATGCGTACTCAAAATGACGTCACGCGCATGCGCAGAAGCAGCGAAAAGTGACGCATGCATGTGCAGACGTGCCGTCGATAGTTACGTTTGCTTCTAGATACGAACGGGGCTCCGGAACGGATCCCGTTTGTATCCAGAGGTACCACTGTACTGAAACTGTGTGCGTCTTGGTGCCATTCTTTAGGTTTCACTCCTCATTTCTCTTATTAGGCAAAGATCCTAAAGGTTTCCTTAGAGATGCCATCCCTCGCAGAGAGAGGAGGAAGGGCAGAACAACTATAGGGTTGGGGGATAAACGTCAGGTCAAGCTGCACACATATTGAGAGGAACTGTGTTGTTTTATAAAGGACACTAGAAGAAATGGCAAGATTTGGAAGCTTTTTAACCGTTTTGACAGAGGGTGCCAGCAAGGTCTTATTGGCTGTAATATCTGTCACAGACGTGTACCTTAAGAGTGGAATCAGCCCTAAAGGATCATATGTGCAGAGTTTGGCATGGCTGCCCAAGCAATGGGCTGCTCCACTCTGCAGATAACCATGTTATACTGCGAAAAATGTGCAGGCAGGTTCATCCTATTCAGCTTGTCCTGAAAGCAGCTCTCTTCGCCTCTCCACACCCAACAGCACAAGAGGGAATCCTGAGGAACTATCCCTAAGAGAATTTCATTTCATTTCGCCCCACACCAGAAAGGGGAGCGAATACTCATGAGCAGAAACAGGACACCAGAAGTTCATGCTGGCTCACACATCTAAACTCTCTGCACCCCTTCTATCCAACAGTATACAGCCTTTTCTGTCCCGAGGCTTCTTTCTTCTAAATTTTACATGAGCAGTTAAAATGTTTGTCAAAATTCCATGGCATCACAGCTCGACCAATGCTTACGAAGGACTTAAATATTAATACGTAATAGCTGGCCTGTTTTAGCTCGATTGGTTCTTTTTAAAAAACTTCCCAACCTTTCATTTTTTTTGCAAAACTATATTTTTGGGGACAGACCATGCCTGTGCTTTACTTTGATACTACGCTATGTATCTTTGCAGCTACAGTAAAATACACAGACCGCCACCGGGGAAGAACGATAAATCTTTAGCAGCCAGTAAGTACAATCAAACCTTGGCTCCCAAACGGCTCCATTTTGGAATGTTTCGGCTCCCAAATGCAGAAAAACCGGAAGTAAATGCTCCGGTTTTTTAGAAGATTTTTCGGAAGCCGAACGTCTAACGCAGCTTCCACTGAGTGGAACTGAGGTTTGACTGTATATGAAAAGCAGTGTTAAGCACACAGGCTACCATGGAGCAGAAAATGAGACCTATTAATCACCACTTTTCACCAGTATTTTTGACACAGGCTTGCAAACCATGGTGGGCATGTCTTTCCATGGACTTCACACATTAACAAAGCTCAGAAGGCAAGCGCCCAATATGGTAAGAAAATTTCATGCAGGAAATTTAACTACGGGGGGTGGGGGTGGCGGGCGGGGAACAAAGCAAAGATTGTGTCTGTCAACTGGCAAATTATTAAAAGGGTAGCAATTCAACAAAATCCATTTTACATGAACCTTTCAATTTCACATAAGGATGACCATGAACCTTTCAATTTCACTTTCCCAGTCCTAATTGCAATTTCTCCACATCAGTTTGCAAAATGTCTGTCTCTCTCTGTGTGTATATATGCACACATATATACACACATATGTCCAGCATCTTAGTGTGAATTCCACTTAATAGCCACATTTCTGTATACAATTCTATGTGACACATGATTTTTGCAAAGCAATTTGCAAATATAATGCATTTTATAGGTTCCATCTATCCATCATCTATCTATCTATCTATCTATCTATCTATCTATCTATCTATCTATCTATCTATCATCATTATCTATCTATCTATCTATCTATCTATCTATCTATCTATCTATCTGCACATCTTAGGCACATTTTAGCCTAGTTTATGCATTTTTTGTATACATAACTTGGCCGAAGAAGCAAAATGCAAAACTTGGATAACTGTGTTTTGTTTCTGATACCATTTTGGAAAATGCAAATTAAGTTGATTACGGGGGGGGGGGGACGGGGACTGATGAAACCCAACACAATCCGGAGTCTTTTCTAGATGCCTCCAGATTATTTCTGGAGCAGATCAGGATAGATACAGAACATGTGTGTGCGCATGTTCGTGCATGTGCACACTCACCACTAGAAAAACAAAGTCTGTATGAGAGTGCTACATGCAGGAAGACATATGGACTAAAAGTTCTCTATCAGGAACCATGCTGCTTCCAGACCCCAGAAAAGTAACACACCAGTAACCTCAATGGCCTCCTTCACAGCTGAGCATTTAACCGGAACCCTTGAAATTTGAATCTCTCCACCAGCATGCAGAAAACTGTTTCATAGCAGTCTCCCGCAACTTGGTACCTTCCAAATTTGAACTATAACTCCTATCCCACCACAGGCTATGCTGGCTGGAGCTGAACAACTTCTGAAGTCCAACAACTTCTGAAGGCGCCAGGCTATGGAACACTTAACAGTTGAAATACTTTGCCTCGTTATTATGTTTAAGTAGCTTAAGGACTACTTAGGAATTCCTATGAGCACTTTTCTTCTCAAAAAGCCGTTTTTTGCTTCCCTCCCAGCCCACTTTAAATTTACTTTTCTCAATCTTTTGCCACTTAAAAAATAAAAGTTATGACCCAAAAAAAGGATGCCAAGGAAAACACACATTTATAAAGGGGAGGGGGAGGAAGCACATCTCAATCTCCTTTGCATAGTACCAGGAACATTGGAATTTAAATATAAGATACTGTACTTGTCCGCTTGAGTCTGCAGCCTGCTGGAAGTGCGTTGCTAGAGACGTCTCGTCCTGGAAAACTTCGTTGCACTCCAGACACTTCAAGCTATGCCTGCACAGCTTTGGCGAGTCTTCGTCCAGGGGCATGGCTGGAGGGACAGTCGTGCTTGCAGGAGCCGAGATGACTGCTCCGGTGATGTTGGACTGTATCTTGGCAACAGTATGGGCGCCCATCCCGATGGAACTCTGAAGGACGGACGAGGCGACAGCACTATTGCTCGTCGGAGAAGCTATCATTTGATCCGCCGGGACGGGTTTCAGAATCAAGTGGGAGCACTGCATCACCACCCCTTTCTCCTTATGCCCGCGGGCGTGGGAGAGGAGGCTGCACTTGTTGTAGAAAACAAGGTTCTTTGTGCAGTGGTTGCAGGTGACCTCGATCCGCACGCTCCTCCGGTCGTAGTGCTGCGTCAGGCTCCTTTCCAGGGCGAAGGAGTCTCCGCACTCCAAACACTTGTAGCCACGCGGGGGCAAAGCGATGCCCGCGTTGGCGGGGGGGCTGAGGTTCGGGATGTAAACAGGGACGGGGTTAACACTGCTGAGCACCTTGTTGAAAGCCTCGACCACGGAGCTCTGCAAAGACGACACCACCTGGACTCGGGACACCTTCTTCGAAGGCTGCGAAGCCGCCGCAGAGATTATTGCCTGCTTGATCTGCTGCTGAGGTTTGGTGAGCACCTGGCGGAGTTCAGAGGTGGCCTGAGCGCTTTGAGGCAGTAGGTTAAGGTTGGCAAGATGGACTGTCTTTGGCACGAGTTTGGCGCTGGCAAGGCTGGACGCTGGCACCACCACAGTCTGCTGCTGTATGGCGTTGGCAGCTTTGATAATGGCACTGCTGGCACTCTGTACCGAAGCAGCAGATATCACGGTGGCTTTCACCGTCGTGTTGTTCGCGAGCTTCAGGTTGATAACTTGGGATCCTGCTGTCTTAACAGCCGACACTGGAAGGAAAGCTGTAGCCACGGGTTTAATGGTGACCTGCTTCGGGGCGAGTTCTGCGGACGCAACGGCGTTGGTGACGACCGTCGACTGAAGGGGTGCCCGAGGGGGAGAAGAAAGGACTGCGGCGGAAGTTGGGGAGGAGAGCAGAGAAGTCATGGACGCCACCATGGAAGCGGTTTGTTCTGCTTTGCGGCCACCGTCCAAATCAACTTCCGGCAACACTCTCGTAACCGTCCTCTTGATTTCGCCAGACGACGTCTTGATGGTTTTGATGCGGACTTTCGGGATTGCTGGTGTCGAGCCTGCGGGCGACGGCGGAGACCCTTTGCTGCTGTTTTCGCTCGATACGCTCCGGGGACTGTCAGGTTGCTTAACGGAGGGTTTCTTAGCACAGTCAATGAGACTCTGAGATTCAGGTGATTTGTCAATGGCCCTAGGGCTTTCATTCATATCTTTTGGCAAGGGAGACGGCTCTCTTGAAGTGCACGGTGGGTCTTTAACAGGGTCTGTTGCTGCTTTTTTAGCACTAAGTGCCGCGATGGCAGCAATACACGAGGAGAGTTTTGCTGATGACTTTGCTTTCGACTGTGAAACACTGGTGAGGTTTGCTTCCGCTTTCTCGGTGCCTATTTTCCCATCAAGTACCCGGTTTTCATGTACCTTTTCGGGATTTTCTTTGTGTAGCTTATCATCTGTTTTTCTCGCTTTAAAGGGTTCGTACATACCCAAAGGCGTAGAGTTTGTTTCTGAGTCTCTTTTAACAAGTTTATTTTTATCGGCATTACCGGAACCTGCAATTCCAGGTTTCATCAGGTTTTCCCCTCCAAGTACCTTTAATTTCTCATAATCCTGCTGGGAGACGGACCCCGTCAGTACGTTTGCTCTGAAGCTCCCACGCATCTCTTCCTTATCAGGGGGGTCATCCACCTCAATTTTTTCATCGTCGTCGAATTCTTCAGCACTTGAGATAGGGCTAAATTGGTTGAAGGTAGACTCTTTCAGTGTTGTCTCAGAAACAGAGCCCTCGTCTTTGTGAGATTTGCAGTCTTCTTTATTGTAACCATCTAGAGTCGAAACAGTTAAAAACCCGTTATGCAAGCCATTGCCTGTAGAGGGGTGACCCTCCTTCTCCGCTCCTTCAGAGGAATCAATCGTCCGCACGTTTTTCACAATGACGCTGACGCCAACATCGGACGACGACGGTGCGTGAGAATCGTCATCAGCATGCACATTCTGCTTGATGTGGCTTTCGTGGTCATCGTGTCCTGACTCAATAGCAGCTTTAGGGTCAACCATATCTGGGATGTCAAATGCCGCAAGGAGGTCGTCAAAGTCCGGGGTCTTCATATCTCCCATGGTCACGTTAATGGCTTAGAAGCAAATCTACAAAATGAACAGAAATGTTTCCTATCAGTACTGTGATTTTTAACATGCAAAAAATACCCACACCGGTGGAAAATGAAGCCCACTAAAGTTGTTTCGTTCTGCCAAGAAACTTACACAAACTTTCTGAAGGATTTCTAATTACTTTGAGGACTTGCAAGTAAGGGAACAATTTTGCTTTTTAAGCAAATTGCAAGGGAAACCTTTCTTCTCAAGGACTGCCTCTTTCCATATGAAGCTACCCAGACCCTGAGATCATCTTCTGAGGCCCTCCTTCGTGTGCCACCTCCTTGAGAGGTCCGGAGGGCGGCAACATGAGAACGGGGCCTTCTCTGCAGTGGCTCCCTGTCTGTGGAATGCTCTCCTCAGGGAAGTCCGCCTGGCGCCTTCATTACACACCTTTAGGCACCAGGCAAAAACTTTCCTTTTTAATCAGGCCTTTGGTTGACCTGATCAACATCCCATACCCTTTTAAAATGTGGCTCTTTTGGGGGGCGGTATTATTGGGTTATTGCTTTTATTTTTATTTTATATACTGTGATATTTTTATGTGAACTGCCCTGAGACCTCCGGGTATAGGGTGGTATATAAATTCAATAACAGGGATAAGAGGCGAGCAAAGTATGTCAGTGCTAGTTATTTACCAAAACTCCAGGGCATTTCATCCACAAAAGATCAGTATCTCAGTTATCATAGCAGTACTGGATGTAGCATGGAAGAGAACAGGCACAGAGCGTCAAGAAAATGTTATGGAGTTCCATCAAAACATTCCATTCACATTTTCCACCGAGTTTAGAGCATATATGGCATCATTAAAGTTCTAGTGGAACATGAAGAGCCTATCTTCTTAACGCTAAAAAAAGCTTTATCTGCCCAGCACCATACACACTGATTTAATGCTGCCTCTTTGCTAGGAAGATTCAATATTTTAGGTGTGTTGACAGTTTTATACAATCTTACTTAGGTTTGTGAAATTATTATTCATTCTACATTTTGTTAATTTCATTACAGATACGAAGCACCCTTTTGTTTAGTTCTAGCTTTGTGATGGTCTGGTGATGAGACACAAATAAACAATTCTGAATCTGGTAATATGTGGGAATCAGTTTAATATCCAGGTAATATAAAGTTAGAATGTTGTAGATTGGGGGGGGGGATTTGCTATTTACTGGGGAAACTGCTTCTCTCCCCCTCCCCACTCACTTTGCAGGTGGATAGTCTCAAAGCAGAGACCCTCCCCAGGGCTAGGGGGGAAAGTGAATTTTAACAGAGGGGACACACCCGCAGGTCTACAGATAAATGGCAACTCGTGCAAGAGAAAAATTCAAAAGGAAAACTCTTGATCAGGGGGAAAAAAACAAATAATGACGGGCAACACTTAATATAAAAAAATGCATTCGATTTTCAGTTCTGAACACAGAAGGAAACATGACTGAATAGACATACATCTTCAAGAACAGTCAGGAATTCTTTCACAGAGGGTCAGGCTTTCTGCCTACAAGAAAAAGGGGTGGAAAGAGTTTCACAGAAGTACCAAATCTTCCCCTTGCTGCTCCTTCTTGATGGATAGCCAAAAAATTATAGTGGGATATAAAAACATGATAGCCTACAGGGTGGAAATTCCCAGGAAAGTCTTCCATGTACCTCCAAAACTGTGTTTCAGAACCAGCAGCCCAAGTCGCCAGTGGCTTCATTCACACGTAACGCTGGCCATAAACGATGGTTATGCACACAGCTCAAGCACCTTGCCCTTTGCTCCTTTCTTATAAAGGGGAAACAAACCACAGTGTTATGTGCAAACCAGTGTTTGTAGTTTGCTCTTCTCAAGGCAAACCATGATTGGAAACCAAGGTCTGTTCTTGGCTTCCCTTCTAGGAAGGGAGAGCAAAGCAAGGACTACTCAAGCTGCATCATAGCTGTCAACGTTTCCCTTTTTTAAAGGGAAATTCTCTTATTCCGAATAGGATTCCTCGCAAGAAAAGGGAAAAGTTGACAGCTATGAGCTGCATGCACCAACACCCAGCTTGTGAACGGGCTAGCTTCCTGTTCATGGATAGCGGCATGTCTGGAAGCAGTCAACCAAAGGCAAGAATTACAGAGTGGGCATGTTAACTGCCATTTGCTCTCCAAATCTTGGACCTCTAGGACAGGGATGTCCAACCAGTAGATTGTGATCTACCGGGAGATCCCCAGCTGATCCTGGTAGATCACGGGGTCCTTATTGTGTACAGAAAGTTATTGGGGGGGGAGCTAAAAAAACTGTGCTGTGCAATCCTCCCCAAAAAAGGTCAACAACTCTGAGCAATCCACCCACTCCATGCACGCTCCTCCTCCCTCCAATGACAATGGGTAGATCACTGCCATTTTTTTTATATTGGGAGTAGATCACAGTCTCTTGGGAGCTGGATATGCCTGCTCTAGGGTATGTCACTGTGACTGATAGGTAGGCAGCTCTGCCCACTTTTCAAGCTTGGCCCATGAGGGGTGGGAGAGATAACTATCTCCCCATACCTGACCTATAGTATCTGTCATTCCACGTCTGTGCCTTGGACCTTTACACAAGAGACAGCAGAGTCCTACTTTTCCATATTCAGCAGGTGCCGGCAGCTAACCATCCATTTGGCTATTCAAGGCTGAATTTAATCCTAGTGATACAGATCCCAGTTGAATCAGTCTTCGTATTGACCCCCAGGGAGTGCCAGGGTGCAAAGAGTGTTAAGAACTCTCTTACGGATGCCCAGGTACATCATCTCTGTACTACTGTGCTAATATGCCCACAATAGCCCCAAAATATACACGAGAAATCAAGAGGATTTAATTGAGAGCTAGTAAAAGCACAGAAACCAAAACCCAACAGGAAGTCATCGCTGGAGGCAATTCAACAACTCTAGAAATGCGGAGGCACAGAATGTAATTCTAATTCCAGTTTGGGCCTACAGTGTTAATTTCACAGCACCTCTGTATCGACCTAATGCAGTGATCCAATACCGAACCGAAAACCGACTGAGAATGCACTAAAGTCACTTTTGATACAGTTGAAACATAACAAGGAGGCTAGTATAAAGCAAAACAAAACAAAAAACCCCAGCTATGAAATCTCTTTATATCTATCATAAAGGTAAAGGTAAAGGTACCCCTGCCCGTACGGGCCAGTCGTGACCGACTCTAGGGTTGCGCGCTCATCTCGCTCTGAAGACACTTCCGGGTCACGTGGCCAGCGTGACAAAGCTGCAACTGGCGAGCCAGCACCAGCGCAGCACACAGAAACGCCATTTACCTTCCCGCTATAAAGCAGTACCTATTTATCTACTTGCACTTAGGGGTGCTTTCGAACTGCTAGGTGGGCAGGAGCTGGGACCAAACGACGGGAGCTCACCCCGCCGCGGGGATTCGAACCGCTGACCTTACGATAAGCAAGTCCTAGGCACTGAGGTTTTACCCACTGCGCCACCCGCGTCCCTTTATATCTATCGTAAGTATGTAGTAAAATAAGCTGAATACCAAAGGCATTCAGATTGCCTTAAGTCATAATTCACATGGCAAAACAAAATGCTGGGATCACTAGCATTCACAAACCAATGACTCAAAAGCCCTGTTAACAGCGAACAAGTGACTTTTTATCCACTTATTATCCCTATATCCAATTTCTAAATCTTTTCAATACAAACCTCGCCAAACCAAGGCACTTTCTTCCAAAAGTTCATGGGTTCTTATTTATTGCCTTTAAATTAGGCAAACTGCTGAGACCAGTCACTAATCTTGAAATAGTGAAAAGATTTCGCTCAGCTGAGTTGCTGCAAATGGATATGCATCTTATCTTCTTCAGAGATTATTGCAAAAGCTAGATTATCATAATTACATTTGCTGAAGCACGAACTCAGTTTAAGATGCACAAAATATATATTTTTCTTTTTTTAAAAAAACTCCTCTATGAAATAATATCCTTTTAAGCAGCCACAAGCCAGCCATTCCTGGAGGGGTTTTTATTTTATTTTTTATTTTAAAACAACAACCCCAAATTCAAATTCTATTAAAAGTGTTGCTCCACAGATTCCAAGATAATTCAAGGATGAAAGCCCTGAAGAGTTAGCTAAATAATTAAAGCATGGGACTAGGCAAATGCCAAAAATTGCATGGAGTTGGAACGCTGTACACGGTATGGAGCTTTTTAAAAATCACACCCTTTGGCTGGAAGTAAGCAACATTTCAATTGTCCCTAGTTGTGGGCAGTCCTAGATTTCTCCAAGGAAAGAGATTTAAAAACCCAGGAACACAGGGTTCAGGGAATTCTGCCTTCTGGGCCCACTGACAACTGTAGCATCCAAAAAGAAAACACAATACAGTACAGTGGACGCTCAGGTTGTGAACGTGATCTGTGCGGGATGCACGTTCACAACCCGCAGTGTTCGCAACCCACATCTGCGCACGTTGCGATTCGGCGCTTCTGAACATAGCGAGATTTAATGCTTCTGCGCATGTGTGACTGCTGAAACCCGGAAGTAACCCATTCCGGTATTTCTGGGTTTCAGTGGTCCACAACCCGAAAAAACGCAACCTGAAGTGGCTGTATGACTGTATATAGGAACCTAGGAAGCTGTCATAGTGGGGTAGGAGGAACTGAAAATAATGTCAATATATTTCGCTCGATTCTGACTAAACTTAGCCTCCTAGAACATGATATACATTAGGAGGCTTAGTTTGGTCAGAATTGAGTAAACATTTCCAGATACATTACTTCTGGTAAAAGAGCCAGCATAGCCACTAGAGGGCCATGAAAAATTTGTGTCCCAGGCTTCTTAGACTCCTCTACCCATGTACTATCTGAAACCAAAGGGGCACACTGGTTGCCAGATGTGAGATTTATTTTGCAGCTCTTCTACCCCACAAGCAGGTGTATAATCTATAATTAAAATACACAATAAAACAATTCCACCAAAAAGTTCAAAGCGTCCATAATTAAAACTTCATCAAGACTTTTCAGCCGAGATCTTTCCCAGGACTGCATCTGTACTGAAATTATCTTTAAGATGTTTGTTGTTAATCTTTTGTCACTGGGCTCCTTTGGGAAGAAGGGCAAGACATAAATTTAATAAGTAAAATTGCAATGGGGGGAAAATCGCAATGAAAGAAGCTGGTTAAACAGCATTTAGAATAGTTAAAAGAGGAATTAAAACGATTCCAGGTCAAGAAGTTCCAAGTTCAGGGGAAAGCTGCATGTATCAGGAAAACATATCCTGGTGATTCCACCCCACTCCACCCCTCCTGGCCATCTTGAATGTGATTTCTTGGTGAATCACTGAAAACAATCAAGCTCACTAACTCAGCCAGGATTGATTCAGCTCACTTCCTGACATGTCAAGGGAGCTGTGTAAATCAGCCCATATAGTTTTGGAGGAGGCGGCAGGGGGCAGGGAAGGGGGAAATGGATTTTATCGAACACTCATCCCTTTTCACCACCTTACAGAAGTACCATTGCTCTCCTCCAAAACCACAAGCCAGCCAGAGCTGATATCACACAAATGCATATTTTATGAAAACGATAAAAGCGAGCATTTAACTAGCATTTCCCTCCTTTTCTCTTCAGTCTCTATTTGCCCATCTCTGCAGCCAGTAATACGTTTGCTAATGGGTTGTGACTACAGAACACACCTACCTGTGGTGTTAAACGATGAGGAGGAAGAGCAAGGATCTTAAATTGCACCTAGATCGGAGTCGGGTCAAAACCAGCCTTCTCCCAACTTTACGCCTACAGACGCTTCGGATTACAACACCCATCCGTTGGCTGCCAGCACAGCTGGGAGTTGCAGTCAAAGACATGCGGAGGGCAGGTCAAGGCCAATTGGGAATCTTCTGGCATGCAAGGAATGGGAGAAGGAAGCCATTCGCTCTCATTTCTGGAGTCAACATGCCTGCATCAGCCGCCTCCCCTGACCCATGAACATCAGAACAAAGGTGAATCTATCAATGCACGCTCTGGCAACAGCAAAAATGCATTACTTATGGGGTGGTCCAAGAGTTCCCTTTTTCTTTTTTAAAAGAAAAACCATTTAAAGCAATGTGGCACAATGCATATATACCATCTCTGTTAAAATGCTCCAGGAAGCGATGGGAGCATTCAGATGGAGGGGTTTGAGTAGGGATTTTCAACAGCACTACAGAGTAAGGTGACAAACAGTCCCAGCACAGGCCCAAGCGTTCCTCAGCCTATAGCTGCCATTTACATTCAAGAGAGAGAAAATGCATGTTTACCGCGTCCATAAAATAAATGCCACATGTTGTTTAGCCCTCAACCTTGCGTCTCTTTTTCTGGTTTGTGTATGATGCAACTGTAGCCTCTGCACAATGCTTCAACCCTGCAGGCATTTAAGATTCTGGCTTCTTGACAAATCACCCTTGGCAGATTCTGGGGACACCACCGTCCAATCCTACAGAGAGACCATCTACCTAGGAATCCAGATTTGCTTATGTTTGTTGCCAACAGCCCAATGCTGACAGTCTGGCTAATTCATTTGGGAAACTGCGGTGTTTGCACTGCACTGTGTAGTTTGATGGATTCAAGTCCAATAGCTTCGTGACAAAACGCAGCTTGGAAAAGAGGGCTGCCTCTTTAACCCAATTCTTTTTGGCGTCTTCTCAATGCCCCTTAACTATGCTTTTCGAAATCGCCCTTGAGGATGATCAAATCACAAACTTGCGCAGAGAGAAAGAATAGGAGCAAAGTCTGTTGCAAACCTTCTTGGACCAGCTCCACCTTCTCCCTCAGGAACAGAATTACGAAAGCCAGCTGTGAGGCAGAGCTTTATATACACAACTGCTTATGATCACCCTCGACAGATTGCAACCAGACATTCACTTGGCCTGTGTCTACATCATTTCCTGCCTCCCCTGAAATTCCAGGATGCAACGTGGTTAACCCTTGTCCTAATCTCCTGCTGGCCTTGCAGACTCTGCTTCAAAGGATGAAGTTGTCTTTATTCCCAATGAGACAGTGTAAAGAGGGACAGTGGATCGGGGCAGAGGCTACCTTGCAGTAGTGCCTCTTGGATACGACTATCATTCCTGGGTTTGCAGGCCCCGACACAAGGGCAGTAGTGGGAAGAAACAGAGGGTGGAGCATTTGATGGGAAGAGGGGCTCTGCTCATTGTGCCTCAACTTCAGCCACTTTGGAAAGGGGAGCAGGGATGCCCACTCCTCTCCCCAACAGAGAGGAAAGTCTCAGTGGAGGCTAAGCCTGTAGGCAACCCAGAGAGAAGGTAACTCAGGAAGTGTCATCTTCATCAGCCCGAACAAAAGGGTGCAGCATTGCTGACTAGAACCAGGTGCCATTTCTGCAATCGGGACACACTCCTGAAGCACACACTTTGCAACCCTGGCATTCTTGCAAACTGAGCGAGTCTCTTGAGTGAGCACGCCATGCCTTGTCTCTAAAAGCTTGGTGAGCAAGTCATGGAAGCTGTTGAGACATCTTCGTTGCTTCCGTCCAGTTCTGAATGTCTTGCGTGATTCCTGAATCATGACTCCCAAACTCTGTGTCTGTGCCAAACCTGCACCATTATTTGCCTGAACAAATATCCATTTCTTACTTGCATGTAACAGCTGCTCTCCGCATGTGTTGGGCATGAAGCAAGACACTTAACTCTGGAACTAGATCCAAAAGTCCCCAATGAGACGCTCCAGAGACCCCTGGGAAACTCCTGCATCAGAACATGGACTGAACGATGATGCCTACTGCTAGCCCTCAATGGAACTTGGTTTAGTAAGCATCTCCAGATCCTAAAGTACAGGTGGCCTAGTAGTCAATGCCCTCCACAAATTATTGGTCTCCACAGCCCATCAACTAAAAGCCAGCACAGCCAACGGTCAGGGATGATGGGATGGGTGTCCACTAACTTCTGAAAGACATGGGCCTTTTTAAAGTTGCTGCAGGAATTCAGGAAAAGGGAGGAGTTACAAGGGTTTAACACTATTATATAGTTATTTATACCCCACCTTCTTCCTTGACAGGACCCAAGGCAACATTGCTGTTTGGGCCTATGCCTGATGCATGCCTTCAACATGCCTTGCAGTCTTGGAGTCTGTGACTCACATCCTCAGTCAAAGCAACACCGTCATTATATAAAACTGACTGCGGCTTAAATCTTAACCAGTGATGCATTATCATCAAGCCTACTCAGACATATAATTAAGTTATCTACATCTGGCTGAAAATATATGTGTTTCATTGATAATTTTATTATGTGCAACACTCAAGAAAGTTTTCTGATTAAGGGGTCTACAGTTTCCCTCCCCCCTAAATAAATACATACAGGGGCAGCCAAGTTCTGGTCAATAAATTGCACAAGCCTCTCAAATAATTCAGATACTGAGTGAAATGAACAGGAAAACAATTAAGCTGGGGGAGGGGGAGGTGGCTTTATGCATGCGCCAAATGCACGGTCACATGCACATCATACATTTAAAGCATGCCGCTTCTCCCCAAAGAATCATGGGAACTGTAGCTTACCCCTCCCAGAGTTATGGTTTACAGCACCCTTAGCTAACTATAGTTCCCAGAATTCCTTGGGGGAAAGCCATGTAATTTAAATGTATGCTACGGATGTGTTCCAACAGAGCAATGGTTCTCAAAGGGTGTGGCAGGAGAGGATGGAAAGTGTGGCAGGAAGATTCAAGGACAATCCAAGAAACATTTAAACATTTCAATGCAGCAGGGATATACAACTAGAACCAGTATCCACAGCTCTCTTCCAGAGCACTGGCTATTCTATGAAAGTTCTCCACAACACAGGAATTTTCAACTCCCAACAAATATGGAAGATCAGAAAAGAGAAAGGCCCATTTGTGTTGATGAGGAGATGAGAGTTTGTCTCAAATTAGACCTAATATAAATGAGATTACCCGGCAAAAGCAAGCTCATACCTCTCACTGAGTTTATAGAACCTTAAAGTCCATGTATAAGAGCCTCATTTATAATTATTTTGGGGGGATGATTCTGCGTTGTTTCATACTTTCTGGCTGTCCCGTGATCATACTATAAAGTAGCTGTGTTCCATGCTATGAATCAAGCATTGCTAGTTGTTTCTTTTCGTTTTCCAATGTTATTTCTTATCAATATAAAAATTGGGTGTGGTGCGAGCAAATTTTTATTCTGAAAGTGCGGCCCAGAGGAAAAAAGTTCGAGAAGCACTGCAATAAGGAGACTTCACGTTCGTTCATCTTCCCCATCATCTGTCATAGCCAATAAGAGGAGACGACTGCAGGGGCACTTTGAGCATCTCAAGCCAAGCTACCAAGCAGGGAGGGCTATGTCTTGGGAGAGACGGAATCGAGGACAGAGAACTGGGGTTTGTGCTGAAGAGAGCTAGAAGAGAACTTTCTCAGGGATGCAATGATGGTCAGTAGCTTAGATTCCGTCAGGCTGTATGGTAACTAGAGGGAAAGAAAGAAAACAAGGGCCTCTCCATCAGCTCTGCTGAGACAGTAGCAACTTTGGGCTCCTCTTCCTGTTTCGATTCCGGCTAAAGTAAGTTTGTAGACAATATATAGTGCCTGGGTTAGCTTGTTTCCTCTGATTTCCTTTCCTCTGGTGTCTTTGTAATCTTGGGGGGAAAGAGGGACTACCTTATTACTGTCCTGTAGGTTGCACTGGGGTGCTATGGGTCTCTCTCAACTTCAAATAAATGACTTTAAAACAGGGGGTGGGAATTGAAGGAGGTCTCTCAACATTTGAGCAACGGTGGCTCAATGGAACTTCCATGTTCAGATGCAGAATACTTAAGAACATTAGATGCACTAGTGCAGGGTTTCCCAAACTTGGGTCGCCAGCTGTTTTTGGACTACAACTCCCATCTTCCCTAGCTAGCAGGACCAGTGGTCAGGGATGATGGGAACTGGCAGACCATGCTGGAAATACAATGCTGAATGAGATGGACCTTTGGTCTGATCCAATTAAGAAAAATTGTAATAATCACATACAAAAGAAACAGTATACAAAAAGTAAATAAGGAGGCCATTTACAGGATAAAGGAAGTCTTTTTATTTTTATGGTATGCTTTCTTTGTGTACGTGGATAGGAGTTTAATTTTGATGATTAAATTGTCAATAGTGGTGGGTTTGTTTGTATGTATGAGTTGTTGTGGACTATGTTGTAAATAAAGTTAAAAAAAAAATTTTTTTTTTTAAAAAGGATCTTTTTACGATTAAGTAGCAGGGCTGAGGAAACTCTGGCCCTCCGGATGACAAAAGACGCCTTGAGCCCCATCCAGGATGGCCAATGAAAGGGATGGGATGATGGGAGTTGTGGTCCAGCCAAAAAGAAAAGATATATATCAAAGCTTATGAAGTCCTCACCAAAGACACCTGAGTATGCTTAGTAGCCGTGGAATAAACAGAAAGGTCCAGTGTGCCGTAACTGCGAAAAGGTGAAGCGTGTTGCTAATAACACCAAAGTCACAGGTTTGATCACCGTATGGGACAGCTGCATATTCCTGCATTGCAGCGGGTTGGGCCAGATGATCCTCAGGCTCCCTTCCAACTCTGGGATTTTATGATCCATGTGAAGAATTGTGAGAACAGAGATGGAGAATGCAGTTGTCAATATAAAAATTTAATAAATAATAATACTCTTGCGGGGGGGTATTGTTTTTGTTTGTCGTTAAAAAGTATGTATTTTTGTGTTTTTATATTGCAAACCATTCTGTGATCTCTAGATGAATGATGGTATAGATGATGATGATGATGATGATGATGATATGGCGAGCCTGCACTTGGAATGCTGTGTACAGGTCTGAGCAAACAATATTGCAGAGCTGGGAAGTGGGTGGCGCTGTGGTCTAAACCACTGAGCCTCTTGGGCTTGCTGATCAGAAGGCTGGTGGTTCAAATCCCCGCAACAGGGTGAGCTCCTGTTGCTCTGTCCCAGCTCCTGCCAACCTAGCAGTTCGAAAGCATGCCAAAAAGTGCAAGTAGATAAATAGGTACCGCTCCAGGGGGAAGGTAAATGGTGTTTCTGTGTGCTGCTCTGGTTTTGGTGTTCCGTTGCGCCAGAAGCGGCTTAGTCATGCTGGCCACATGACCTGGAAAAACTGTCTGTGGACAAACGCCGGCTCCCTCGGCCTGTAAAGCGAGATGAGCACCACAACCCCGGAGTCATCTGCAACTGGACTTAACTGTCAGGGGTCCTTTACCTTTACCTTTTTAGAAAAAGTTCAGAAAAGGACAAATCCCTTGTGAGGAAGGGTTAGAAGATTTGGGGCCTTTTAGCTTAGAAAAAAAGGCAAGTAAAGGGGAACACATTAGAGGTGTACGAGATTTACACATGGTAAGTGGAATCTGGATAGAGACACTTTTCTTCCTTTGCTGCAATGCTAGAACCTGTGGTCAACCAATGAAGTTGAACACTGGAAGATTTGGGACAGAAAAAAGGAAGTCCTTCTACACACAGTACAACTAATCCACAATGCGGCAGCCAGACTGGTGACTGGGAGCGGCCGCCGAGACCACATAACACCGGTCTTGAAAGACCTACATTGGCTCCCAGTACGTTTCCAAGCACAATTCAAAGTGTTGGTGCTGACCTTTAAAGCCCTAAACTGCCTCGGCCCAGTATACCTGAAGGAGTGTCTCCATCCCCATCATTCTGCCCGGACACTGAGGTCCAGCGCTGAGGGCCTTCTGGCAGTTCCCTCCCTGCGAGAAGTGGAGGTTACAGGGAACCAGGCAGAGGGCCTTCTCAGTAGTGGCACCTGCCCTGTGGAACGCCCGCCCAGCAGATGTCAAAGAAATAAACAACTATTTGACATTTAGAAGACATCTGAAGGCAGCCCTATTTAGGGAAGTTTTAAATGACTGGTGTTTTAATGTATTTTTAATCTCTGTTGGAAGCCACCCAGAGTGGCTGGGGAAACCTAGCCAGATTGGCTAATTAATATTAATAATAATAATTGTGTGGAAGTATGGAAATGCTGCCCTAAGAAGCAGTGATGGCCACCAACTCTGATGGCTTTAAAAGACTGGACAAATTTGTGGCAGATAAAGCTATCAGTGGCCAGTGGCCATGATTACTATGTTCCACCTCCACTGTTGGAGGCAGTAGGACGCTGAATACCATGTGCTTGGGACCTCGGGTGGAGAGAGCCTTGTTGGACTAAATCTCTGCTCATGGGCATCCAGGTGAGAAGAAGAAGAAGAAGAAGAAGAAGAAGAAGAAGAGGAGTTTGGACTTGATATCCCACCTTTCACTCCCCTTAAGGAGTCTCAAAGCGATTAACAATCTCCTTTCCCTTCTGCCCCACAACAAACACTCTGTGAGGTGAGTGGAGCTGAGAGACTTCAGAGAAGTGTGACTGGCCCAAGGTCACCCAGCAGCTGCATGTGGAGGAGCGGGGAAGCGAACCCGGTTCACCAGATTACGAGTCCACTGCTCTTAACAACTACACCACGCTGGCTCTCAGAGCACTGATTTAGATAGGCCTTTGGCCAAACCCAGCAGGTCTCTTTCAATGTTCTTAGCATCTGGAACCTTCTACTATAGAAGAACAACATAACATAATATGTAGGGGGAAATACACAGTGGGGCTTGACCTCCAAGGCTTGTGAGGCTGTGACACTGCAATGCATGCTCCCAACTCCTAGGCACCCATTTCTGGGGTTTCAGTGGTGGTTTTTAGATGCTTGCATATAAAGAGCTAAAGAAATCTTTCAGTTTCCTGGATGCCAACATCAAAGGTTCCATGCTTTCAGGCAATGAGAGTGTCAGGAGTATTCTAGAACTTTGTTGGAATTGAACGTTGTGCTGTTGCAAACATTCTATGCCTGCAAATGAAAAGATTTGCTCCCCCCCCCCACACCGCTACATACTGTTCTGGGGGTTCTCTTACCACTGCCCAAGCCAATTTGGGTGGGGGAAGGCTCCTGAACAAGAAGAAGACTTTATGCAGGGCTTCCGCTGAGGTTCATGCCACTTGGGTCTAGGATTCTTAAACTTCAGAAAATTTTGCCTCTCTTTAGCTTCAGTTGTGATTACAGAAGCATCAAGAGAAACAAACAAACAAGAAGTCACTCTGCACATCAGCAAAGTGGGTTATCTAAAGAAATGCAAAATAAAACTGAAAAAAGATGGAGGAGGAAAAGCCATAATACGTTCAAACCGAAGAGGGTTCAACGCCCAAGTACTGCATTGCTTTTGAACACTTCTCAGCTTCACCAGCCCTATTTGGGGTATTTCCTTGAACCAATAACCTGGTGCAAACTGCTTCACACATTCAGGTTGTCAACTCTGATGTACATGCTGTGTGCAGATACCTTCAAAAGAATCAAAACATGTGCATCAACCCTCTAGCAGAAATTGCCAATGCATGTTACCAGTTTAAATGAAATAAGAATTTATTTAGAAATATTTCCCAACTGCCCTTCAGATAAGGATACCAAGGTGATGTACAATGTACATAAAAAAACAAGGTACAAATGCAACACAACATCACACTGGGTAACTAACACAGTGTCCTACACATGTTGTTGGACTGCAACTCCCATCAGCCCCGGCCAGGGTGCCCCATGGAAAGGGATGGTGGGAGTTGTAGTTAAGTATCATCTGGAGGGCACCACTTTGACTACCCCTGGCAAACAACAAGGATAGGGAACCCATGACCCTCCTGATGTTAAACATCAGGAAGAACTTTCTGATGGATGGTAAGAGCATTCGATAGTAGAATGGGCTCCCTCAAAAGGTGGTAAGACTTTCATTCATTGAAGGTTTTTAAGCAGAGGTTGAACAGCCATCTGTCATGGATGCTTTAGCTGAGATTCCTGCTCTGCAGGGAGTTGGATTAGACAACTCTCAGGGTCTCTTCCAACTCCACAATTCTACGATTCTATGCTGTTGGATTATAAACTCCCATCATTCCTCATCACTAGCAATAGTGGGCGAGGCTGCTGGGAGTTGGAGTCCAGCAACATCTGCAACTCTTCCAGTGGTGTTGGACTACAACATCAGGCCTACTATGCTGGATCAGAGATGACGGATGTTGCAGTCCAAGCAACCTCCGGAGGGACACAGGTCCCCCATCCCTGGCGTGAATATCAGATTGATGGAGCGCTCCAAGGATAATTTACTTCTGCCATTTATTAATATCCTGGGCCATGTTAAGGGCTTCTAAAACTCAGGCTCCTTTCTGAAAGTCAGGAGAACATCAGGAACCATCTCCTAGGCAGAGTAGAGTTCCTACTGGAATGGAAATTGGGAAAAGTCTCACACATGTGTCAAAGTAGTTGGTCACACCCATGGGATTATTTGGATCCAGGAATAGTATTCTATTTACACTGGGGTTGGGGTGGTTTTGGGGGGGGGGGGAGGGGAGTATTTCCTCTGCTGCAGCAGTGGTGAACGGATAGCACTGGCAATTCATTGTTCAAGACACCCACACGTAATCCCAGTGAACTAGGAAGAAGTAGGCCCTGGAAATGTTTGTGTCAACGTTTTCACACTTGCACAGACAAATCAATATCCTATGTGTACCTAGGGTAACACTTCCAGTGAAGACAAAGCAAATTGCTTTATTTCCGAGAAGACCTAAAAGCCATGAACTGATTCAGAATCAGCTACGAAGCAGATTCCAGCTCCTCCTAAGAAGACCAGCTCTCAAAATATAATAATCTGCATTTTCAGCTTAAAAGGATGGCCTACATGTGCAGGGGGTGGGAGGGTGGGTGGCACAACACACACACACACAAACCCCAATCCTCAAAAATCTCTCAGAGAACAGAATGTTTGAATATATTATACAGAAACATCCAAAGAATCATAAACAATTATCTGTTCGGGTTTCTTGAGCTATAGCAAACAGTTCCAGCACAAAATGTAACTGAAAAGAAAGAAGGAATGCTTTGCAGTAAGAAAAAAAATAGAGAGAGCGCACACACGACACAGACACACATATCCATGCATAGTGCAATGCCTCTTCCAAACCCCAAATCCAGTAAGAACACTGCCACAAAATGAAGTGTTAGTACTTACAGTTTTATAAAAACCTTACAAAGCAGAAAGGTGATCTCATGTAACCCCAGGGATCTCAGCTGACCCTAGGGAGGAGAAAGACCCAAATGCAGACTAGCCATCCATATTCTCCCCATTATGTTACATGGGCTGGTGCTGCCTAAAACAGCATTATCTACAGCCTAACACCGAACCACTGTATATTGACATTAAATTCAACACACAAAAATGGAATCACAGCACAGTTGTCCCTCTCCCCACCCCCAGCCATGCAAGCTATTTAATGCCCTGTCAGATCTGAGACGCACAAAACAGTATACCTGGTGGGTTTTTTAAAAAAACAAAACACCTCCATATCAAATGTCTGCAGGCTTAAGAGACCACATGCAACTTTCAATACACTGCAATTTATTCCTTAAATACCTTATGTCATCTGCTGCACAATCAGGAAATAAAGAGGTTCCTTAATGCTTGTGTCACCCTCTAAATGCAGCCAACCTTGCCTGTCACCAGCCTCCATGGAACTTACCCAATCAAAATACTCCCAAGGCTTTTAAGATTGTCTACTTTATTCCGCTTGAATACAATGGACAACCTAAATTTCAAACTAGATCAGAACAATTTTTTTCATCCTACTGTTTATCCTCCATCTTTATTTGGGTTCCTTCTCTCCGCACACCCCCCCTTTTCTTTTTTTTTCCATGACTGCAGATTTATAATACCAGCTGCCAGCTAGGGCAGGCTGGATTTTCAGAAACATCATAATGCACGTAAAAATTCCAGCGTTCCTGACGATTTCCTGTTTTAGGAAGTCACAGTTTTCTAGCCACAGATCCCCCAAAGGCAAAGAAATGTTTAGTGCTCCAATATAATCTCTGAGAGCCTTTGTTCTTCCTTTTGCCACATTCATTATTGCTTTCTCCTACCTCCCCCGCTCCCTTTCTCTTGAGTCTCCAGCTTCAGCAGAAGATGCAAAATGCCTGCTCTAATCCAAGCACATATTTATTTTTTAAGGAAGGAAAGCAAATCTTATCCATTATCTAATGCTCTGAAGCTTTGAGTCAGGAGGAGACATTCCTTACCAGCTGATGTACTGTCCATCCGGTTTCCTATTTGTATGTAATTAATTCTCGAGTATTGTAATTCATGCTACTAGTAATCCACTGGAGTTCTACACAAAACCTTTAAAAAAAGCATCCTCTCTGTTGGACTGCAAAAGCCTCCATTTACAATACAATCTAGTAAGCAAAATGCATATCTGGCATTTGTACACACACGCAATGTCTGCCTCAAAAACTCCTTTCCCTTGCCTCTCAAAAAAAAAACAAGAGAGAAGGAAAAGGGACAAGGCTATTTAGTTTGGCTGAAAGAGGAAGGACATAAGAAATCATCACTTTTTTGATGATTAGATGGAAAATTATAAAAGTTCAATGGGCCAGTAATGCAAAACAGCCCTCTACCATGTGGTCCATGATTTATGATTGTCATACAGGGGCCTGTTCTTTTATGAATCAGCAGAGGAAAGAGAATTCCTGCCTTTAAGGTACTGTACACCAAAGAAATGCAGTACTGTTAGCCTGGCTATCAATATAAACCATAGCTTTAATCCTATTAAATCTGGACAAATTTAATTGCGTTTCTTCGCCTAATTTAGACCACTGCTTTTTTTCACCAAGGTGCCTGGGTGTGCAACCACAAAACTGCATTCAGACTCTGCAGACATGTTCCTCAATGCCATTGTGATCATAGTCAAATAATACCATAGCTCACCTTGTGTACCTTGGCCTGTGACAAGATTTTTGTTTGGGGTTTTTTTTAATGCCAATGATCAGCTATGCAACCACAGATGCATAGCCACTGCAAACCTGAAAGGGTTAAAGGCAGCCCCAATCAATAGGCCTGCAAGGAGAAAAAGAAGAGAGAATGCCTTCTAAGCCTCTTTTGAAAATGCTTTCATGAGCAATTCTACAACAACACACAGGGTTCCTCTTGGCCTTTAACAGTGACACAACACACAGAGAGACATATAGACTTAATAATGCTATTTTCTTTCCTGAAAAGAAACGACAGCAGCACCCTGTAAATACAAAACAGCATGCAAAAGCAGCAATCCTGACTCACAAGCATAGAAATACAAATCTTTCAATCCATTTTTTTTTTTTATTTTGTGCAGCTGGAAAAAACAAAAAACACCACAACCCAACACCTACATATCCAAGTGTGCCACCTAGCAAAGCAAACCATTTTTTCTCCTTTACAAAAAGGGTGATAAATCTCAGTTCTTGTCCATTACTTCAGCAAAAGCAAACCAAAAAAAAAAAAAAAAAGGAGATAAAAAAGGCATGAACCAGCCAAAGGTAATCTCAGTTACTGAAAATATGTACACAGATACACAGAATCCTTTATGACTATTACAGTAGCCACATACCAGTGCTGTGTGTCTAAAGTGTGCATTCACATATTGTTATGGGATGGTATCTTTCTGCAAGATCCTCTGCTTTTGGCTGCCATGGAGGGAGGAAGCTCTCCCACTGTAGTAGCTCAATGACTGCATTGTGTTCAGGCGCTGATCTGCCTCAAACCAGTTTCAGCCGGTTCTGGTCACCCTACATAAAAAGCTATGGCAACCCTCGCTGAGTTGCCAACAAGTCCCTGAAAATCAGAGGGACTCGGGTTGTTTTCTTCTCTGGTGGAAGGGCAATTTCTGCCCTGGGTGCCCTCCTGTTTTCAATCGCAGACCCCCTTTCCCTCCCCCCCCTACACAAGCACACAACACCACAACAGCATCACACCCCCCAGCCTCCTCTTTTCGTCTTCCTCCACAACTTACCTCCCCCAGAAACCTGGCTGAAAAGCTGTGTGTGTGTCTGTAGCTAACAAAAGAGAGACCGCAATAAAAATAAAAAGAAATCCCCACAGGATCTCCTTTTGCTGCACAAAGGATTCTCGGACAGAGGAGCAAGAGGGTGGCTGCTGCCAAGCAGAGTCCCCCCCCCTCCCCCAAATCGCGGCTCCCCAAGAGAATAAGATGCTTCTAATGAGAGCCATCGCTTCTCTTACTGCCCTCTTCACCAGGGCATCTTCAAAGCAAGGCTTCCTGACTCAGAAATCAACCCGCCCTTGCAACGTTTGGGGAGGCTGAAAGGAATCCTCTGCCCCGGTCCAACACTGCTTATTATGGGTCTGTTCAACCCACCCTGGTGGTTACAGCAACACATATCTAAAACCCTGGCCTTGTGGAGACAGGGTCTCTCCCCCCCGCTTCTCACTAGAAGGTGATTGAAGAGCAAGGCCTTTCCCTCACCTACCAACATCTCCATCCTCATGAAGAGCTGTCTATCCTTTGCAAATGGATGCTGGAGTCCACTGAGGTTGGTGGGGTGGAAGGCAGGGAGTCAAAGGCAGAGAGACCCAACTTATTCTGGTTCTGCCTTCATCCTCCTGCCCGTTGAGGTCTACAAGGTCAACAGGGAGACTAAGGAGGAGAAATCACAACAGGCAGGTAGGCAGGAGTGGGCTGGCTTGAGAGCTGATTCAGGTTGGTGGAGGCAGCGCCCCATTCACCCTAATGGACCAATGAGGGATGCTATGACATAAAGTGCAACACTAAACCATGGTTTGCTCCAACCTCTGCCTTTAACCACCTTAGGGGGGCAAATTTGATCATTTCCTCCAGATGTTGCTGGACTGCATCTCCCATCATCCATTGCTATTGGTCATTCTGACTGGGGCAGATGGGAAACCAACAACATCTGAATTACCCATGAGGGTAATTCAAAACCATTTTTACCAGTTCCTTTGTTTGTATTTGCATAGGCTTTTTAAAGGATTAGTCCATTTCATTCAATCTGGGATGGGGAAGCTGAGCTGTTGGGACTCCATTTCCCATCATTCCCAGCCAGCATGGTCAACAAGCAGGGATGATGATCTTGGAGTCCAACATCATCTGGTGGGTCACTGGTGCCCCATCCATGACAGGGCAGAAGGCTCAAATTTTCTTAATAGCTTATTGCCAACCCTAGAACAGAGCAACTACCATTGACTTGGTTTGCAAACAAATACAGGAGTCTCCACCATCCTGACACAATTACAGCTTCATTATCTTATCTTATCTTATCTTATCTTATCTTATCTTATCATTTCCCCTCCTATTTCTGTTTCAGACTATAATAGCTTGGCTGCTTCCATACTGGGAAGATATGGAATTCTGCATTGCCCAACCACCAGACCTGATCATGCTAGGATCCTCCTGATACCATCTCATTATCACCCACCCCCACTTTCTTCTCAACGACGTGGGTCCTACCCACATTTTCTCTACCACACTCTTCCTCATCTCCTTCCATACTCTGTCACATGCCGCCACCCCTCAGTCAAAAGTCCCTCGCCATTGCTCCTAGGTGCAGGACCACAGCTCAGTAGCAAACCACACATTTTGCGTGCAGAAGGTCCCTGGCATCTCCAGTTTAGGTAGCAGGTGATGTGAAAGGCTTTTGCTGGAGAGCAGACTGGGCAGGTCTAGACGGACAAATAAGTCTAGCCTAGTATAAAGCAGCTAACCAATAGTCCTAAGATCTCTACAGAGGTGAGGCCCTTTTGTTATCTTGGCAACACAAGGACACAGAAAACCCACCCCCTTCCGAAGCCAGCACAAGTACCAAAGTTTTCGCTACTCCCATACTTGTGCATCATTCAGTGAGTAAGATTTACTGCTGCAAGAAAATCATGTTTACTAAGAACTCCAAAATCCATAGCTGGGCATTAATTTCATTGGGTGGCACACTTTGGGGTTGGATCCAACCCAAACATTGCTCAACTGTAGATCTGCACCTCCCTACTGCTCCTCGCCTTTATGGACCAACATAACAACCTTTCTTGTTCGTATTTACTAAAGGATGCCTTCAAGGTGTGAGCGACCTCACAAAGTGGTCCCATCTGACAGCAAGACAACGATTCCTGGCCTCTGGGTCCTTTCAATCCAGCTCCACTCTAATTGGAGCTGCGAAAGTTACGCACCCATTACCTGGGAGTAAGCGCCACTGCAGAAATCCCGAGTAAAAGCGCGCAGGCCTGCGCTGCACCAAGAGGCCCAGGAAGGGCGCCGCGGGCGAGAGCAGGAGGCTGCGCCAGTTTTGGAAAAACAAAAGAGGCCCAGAAGGTATACATGGAAGAGGCCATTGTGCTGCAGTCTCCTGCGGGTTCTTTCCGCACGCAAGAAATACCCACTTATGGGCTGTGTGCATGGGGCCGGGGGGTGGGGAGGAGGGAGCGGACATGGCCTTCTAATGCATTTAACGTTAAGAGACACGCACACAAAGAAAGGCCCTCCTCAGGAAAATCGCTTGTCCCCATATCCGGCTGCAAAGAAAGCACTTTAAGGTGGGGCAGGGGGGGCTGTTTAAGCACACACGCTTTATTTATTTATTTTTAAAAAGCACACAACGGCGTTTGGAATTTAGCCAGGAGAAGGCCTCCCTCCCAAGGCTTGGCGATGCAGGCCAGCACCAAGATGCCCCCGGCAGCAATCCCTTCTCCCGGGTCTGCAGCGCGCGGCAGAGGCCTAATCTCCGGCGGCTGCAGCAGCAGCAACAGGCGCCTTGCCTGTTCCCGGGCGAGCTCCCGGGCTGCAGAAAGGCTCCAGCGGCCTTCCTGCCTGGCAAGCCCCGGCTTCCTTCCCTAGCTTCTCCTTCGCGGCTGCTGCAAGTGCTCTGCAGCTTCGCCTCGCTTCACCACCACCCGGCCAGGACGGTTCCTCCTTTCCATGCCGCGTAGGCGCTGCAGCGGCAGCTCCGGAGAGGAACCAAGCGTTCGCTGCTTTTGGATTTTCCTTCCCTTGCAAGCTCCTGCAAATATCCAGGCGGGAGGGAGGGGGTGTTAAAATAGCATGTCCTGTGTATTTTATTTTTTTTAAAAAAGGGTTCTCCCGTGGGAGCTGCGTCAGGCAGAGGCCCCACCAGGGTGGGAAAGAAAAGAGGCAAGGAAGGGAAATCAGCACCATCATCATCATCATCATCATCGCCACCAAAAAAAAAACCACCGCCTCTCTCCTTTTTTTCCTCTCTCTCTCTCCCCGGCTCTCCCCGCACCGCATGCAAACTGCTCACACCCCCATGCAAACAGACCTGCTGCTGCTGGTAGCCTTGGGCAAGAGGCCAGTGTGCTGCCACCCGGGGAGGGGCTGTTCCTGCAAGGGGTGCTTTCAGGCAGACATGTTTAAGAGCTCACTGCTCTCTCTCCTTTGCCAAGAGGAGCCTGCAGAGAGGAGAGAGAGCGAGAGAGAGAGAGGCCTGGCTTTAAAAAAGATGGTTGCACATAATGGCAGGCAAGGCAGGCAGAGGGGGAGAGCGCGCGCGAGGCTCTTGCAAGGACTAGGAGGGGGAAAGGTGGGGGTGGGGGATGCCTCTGTGGCTTGGAAAAAGGGATGGAGGGATGGCTGGGGTTGGGTAGGTGGGTGGGTGGAAGAGATCTCCCCTGTGGATTCAATTTAAAACTTGTCACCAGAGTGTGAAGAAAACGGAGGCGAGGGGGGAGAGAAGGAAGGAATTTATTTTTTCCCCTTTTATTGGTGGTTCGTCTCTAGAAGCTTCTCTCCCACCCACCCACCCCCCCACTTTAGAAATCAGGGGTTCCCTCTTGTGGAGAAAGGAGTTAAAAGCCATTCCCCTCCCCTGGCATGTTTTAATTACAGGCAAGGAAGAAAAGGCGAGGCTCCTGAGGTGAAGGAAAAAAGGGACCTGCAAAAAGGCTGCAATGTGCAGGGACTGCGATGCTGGTTGCGTTTTGCAACCTTCCTGAGGAAACTAGATTGAGCAGGCCGGAGTTGGGCTGACAAGGAAACAAAAGTAAAGAGGTTTCCCCCCCTCCCCTCCACCCACCTTCCTTGAGGTAAAGCTCAATTAAAATGTGTGTGTCTGACATGCCTGTGTAGTATAAATCTGAATAATTTTATATTTTATACCTTAGGTTGGAAGACAGGTGAGATAGATAGATACACACACATCCACGTACATAACAAACATGGATATATAATTCAGGTGAACAAAGAATGATGGATTTTCCTCAGACTGATATTCTCAGGGGTTTGGGCGGGGCAGTTGTGCCCTGTTTTTAAAAGGCTCTGTCTAGTGTAAAGAGTAAAATAACAATCTGGTATGGGAGCAAATAGGGATGACGAAGCAGAAAATGGAAGCAGGTTTCGCTTCATCCCTAGTTTGGGCCTCACGAAGAAGTCTTGAGGAATAAGGGCAGAAGAATAATGTATGTGAGGTAGCCCACCACTGTTTCTAATTTTACTGGCGTGTCCACGTTAAGCGTGCTCACATTTGCTGCTAACAACCTGCTTCTGTGGAGGGTTTATCTTAGTTCACTCTTACCTTGCTTTATACAGCAAATGTGCCAGTGTTAAAATCATAACGATGTCTTTGTTTGGGAGCATAATTCATGTGGCTCAATAAAAACAAGACATTTTAAACCCTTGATTTAACCCCCCACACACACACACACGTACACCAATCTTTTTTTCAATGCTGCACCATGGAGGCAAGGAAACAGTTTCACTTTTATTTTCTTGGCCCATTCTCAAGTGAGTCTCTTGACTACTTCACTGATAAGCATCTGTATTCTTGGAAAATTAGGTTTTCTTAACTGACAAAGCAGCAGCATCCATCAACTATGCATCACAGCAGTTCTCAGTGCTTTTGCAATTAATCTGCATGTCAACACCTTTTTTGTTCTGGGAACTGCATTGCCTGTTTTTCCATAGAATAAATGCAGTGCCCATTTCCCCAACCCCTCTTTCTATAGGTGCATTTTTTCTCTCTCTTGGGGGCATATTTGCATGCATACCATGCGTTAGGAGCCAAGGAAAATTCCTAGCATTAGGCCATGGGTGTGTGGGGGGGTGACAGGGGAGCAGCTGCCCCCATCAATAAAATTCAATACAAACACATAGCAAACAGGTTCTGCCCCCCTCTAAAAAAGGCCTGCCCCCCTAACAAAAATCCTGGCTATACCCATGCATCGGGTCGCCATATTTGCCAATTTTGCCCAATATTGTCCTATTTAGCAGCTTTCCAGGGGATCAGGCAGAGAGGGTTCTTTCCTGTCGCCTGACCCTTAATAGAGAAGCTGAAGACGCTGGGACCGTCTACATGTAAAAGCATGTGCTTACCGATTTGCTAACAGGTAATTTGCATCTGCAAATTGAAGCCAGTCGGTCTCAAAACTTCAATGAGTTAGGGATATTTTCTGCATGTGAAGATAGGCTCTGGCACATTGAGGGGGTGAGATCAATGTGGGTCCAATGGTCAAGAAGGTGGTCACTGCACATGCAGTAGAGGGAAATACTGGCTGGGAATGACGGGCGTTTGAAGGGTCTCTGGTTCCCCACCTCTGAGTTAAGACCATATTCTACTCAAAGCTGTTTCTCTATCAATACCTAATTATTATGAGACTTGGACAGACCCAATGCGACCATTAGGAATACTTGGGTAAGGTCGGCGGTTCAGATTGGCGTGATGGGGTGAGCTTCCGATGCTCTGTCCCAGCTCCTGCCAACCTAGCAGTTCGAAAGCATACCACCATGAGTAGATAAATAGGTACTACTGCGAGAGGAAAGTAAACAGCATTTCTGTGTCCAACACGGTGTCCCATTTCACCAGAAGCCGTTTAGTTATGCTGGCCACATGACCCAGAAAAGCTGTCTGCAGACTGCTGTAAACAAAATCTGCCCTTTTTCCCTTATGGGGTATCCAAGAGCCTGTATAGTGTCCTTAAGTGGCTTCCCTATTGGTAGGAGAAAATAACAGAGGCCAACCAGAGAATATTGAGAAGCAAAGCAGCTAGTAAGCCTGTTCCTTATTAAACTGTTGCAACAGGGTGCTCGCTCACCAACATGCAGGAGGGAGGAGGACACCAGAACACTGGTGTGCAAGCTCTTATATAGACTTTTGAAATTGCCCACCCTGTAGCCCAAGACCACCCCCCAATACATCATACATACATCACTGAAGGGGCTGTCTACAGCAGAAATTCTGTCTGCCAGGACCTGATAATGGTCACTGGTTGCATTACTTGGGCAGTCTGGCCATTCTTTTGTGATGGTAAATACTCAGTTCCTGAATCCAGGTCACAGGCTCACCCTATTCATACAGAGATACGCCCTTAAGACAGGATTTGTGAGCAAAGAGACAATGGGGAGGTTTTCCCATTTCCTTCCTCCTTGCAGAGAAACATTTGAGGTCAATTTGGGAGAGTCAAAATGGTTTCAGGACTGATTTCCTGTACTGTTTCAGACATGTGGTTTATATATTTATGCATGTGTTTGCCTGGTACTGTACATTTATGAACATTTCTCCTGCTTGGCAGGGGGTTGGACTCGATGGCCCTTGTGGTCTCTCCCAACTCTATGATTCTATGATTCTATATTTGACACCTTAAATTCTTATAACAAGACAGGCTCCCTCGGCCTTAAAGCGGAGATGAGCGCCACACCCCATAGTCAAATTCGACTGGATTTAACCACCTACGGATCCTTTCCCTTTCCCTTTTACTACTTGGGTAGCAGCCAGGGCCAAGGTAACGTGGGAACAGAGTCATTTTGGAAGGTGAAATAAATGAGCATATTGTTGTCCATTTGAACTCTAAATTAAAACAATTCTTAAAAAGGAGTCTTTAGACAACCAAACCCTTAAATTTCCCCATTTCAGTATGTCAGATAAACACACAAGTTTATTAGTAGCAGCACCTTTCTCGAAGCTGTATTTTAGAAAGAAAACCCTCACCTCATCTGCCCCCGCATTTTTGGTGGACTAACAAACGTGTATGTTTCATTAAATTTTACCTGGAAGTCAAAAATATTTCTATCAAGCATCTTTAAAACTTTTATTAAAACAGCAATAGACTAGAAGCTTAATTGCTAACTTGGGGCATGTTCCCAAAGCAATCAGCGTTGTGTTATTATTTACAAACTTAAACAATATATTCACTACTGTTTGTGAGAGGCCTTTAATATGATTTTTAATGTGCTTTGTATTACTTTCTAAGATTTCGGAAAAAGACAAGATTGCCCTTAACTACTGATCTCCCCCTGTAAAGGGTATCAGTGGCGTAGCGTGGGGGTGCAGGGGGGGCCGGGCGCAACATCTGGGGGGGCGCGCTCGCAGCTCTCTGCCCCTACCTGGCTCACTCGGGTTAGGGGGCGCAAATTACTTGCCTTGCCCCGGGTGCTGACAACCCACGCTACGCCACTGAAGGGTATGGTGTGAAGACAGGAAGCAGCAACCTAGAGCTGTTCAGTGCGTAAGTGTGAGGTGAGCCAAGAACTCTATGGAGTCCGTTTCATAACAACAGAAAAGTGGATCACAAACATGACCAATCCTTTTTAGGATGAACTCCCAGTACATTTGCGGTGGCAGTGAGACCAAAAAGCTTTGGCCAGTGCTTTGAACAGAATGTGCACACTAGAACAGATTTTCCCAAATTGCAGCCCGTGGGCCAATCTTCGTTCAGGTGGTTTGCAACATGTCCGTGGATTTGTGGTGAAGACAATATGGCACATCCATCAGCTTAGTTAATATTGATTTTTAACTGTATTTTAATTGCTGCCGTTATTTCTTAACGCTGCATTTTATTGCATTAAGGTTTGAATTATTTGGAATACAATAAAATACAGCGTGTAACAAAAGCAGCAATGAATATTTTCGCAGTTTAAAACCATCTAGCATGGAGCATTGCAATTGCTATACAGTAATAGGCAGAAAAATCATTAAGTGGTCAGCCGCGTTTGGTTAGAGCGTGGTGCCGATAATGCCAAGGTTGCAGGTTCAATCCCAGCATGGAACAGCTGCATAGTCTGCATTGCAGTGGTCCTCAGGCTCCCAACTCTACAATATGATTCTATGGCCCTTGGCAATCTCTTGAGTGGTCCATGGAGGCGGGGGGTTTGGGAACTACATGCTAGAATATTCTCTGAATGAGCAGAGGTTCTGTGACATATATTCAAGGGTCTCTTGGCAGATGAGTTGATGCATACATGGGTTCCCTCAATGTAGGAAGTTTGAACACTACTGCTCTAGAGTTCTGATCTTGGTCCCTGAAAACAAAATTATTCAGCCTCAAGAGGGCAGCACTCTGATATACTGTAATACAGGCTTCCTCAACCTTGGCCCTCCAGATGTTTTGAGACTACAATTCCCATCATCCCTGACCACTGGTCCTGCTAGCTAGGGATCATGGGAGTTGTAGGCCAAAAACATCTGGAGGGCCAAGGTTGAGGAAGCCTGCTGTAATAGCTAACAGCAAACCTTAGAGTTGCAGAATGATAGACTGGACTGGCCCAAGGCATTTTGCTGCCTGAGGCTAAGGAGAAGAGAACACACACACCTCAAATCCATGTGCAGAAGTCAATTGTACTGGCAGATAAGACATTTTTATACTACTTAATCATGGACATTTCCATGTGGTGTACAGAAAACCAAACCACACACGAAATGGCAAAACAATATCACAAAACCAAAGATTACCTTAAAATGAGCAAGAAATTATTAGTTACACACCTGAAGATTAGTAAGGAGGGTGTCTGTGCAATCTCACTTAGCCAGGAGTTCTTCAAGCTTGAGCTTCCTACACTGAATTTACAACTGAATCTTACTACAAATCCGCTAGCAGGAAGGTAGCACAACATCCTCCAGGAAACCTGAAGATAGCAGGGACATTTAAGGGTTGCAGAGCAGGCCGTGTGACGTGCACAACTCTAGTCTGCAACAGAGGTGCTTGGCTGGGGACTTTGGAGGAATAGCCAGTGGGTTGGATCTGCTGCTGAAGAGGTCACTCTGCCTAATCGTAGAGCCGGCCCTACATTTAACTGTGCCAGGAACAGACATTCCAGCTCCACTCAGGACTGTCCCAGGACATGTTGTTTCCTGAGACCAAGCAGCTAATGGTGCCCACCCACAAGTCAAGGTGGGTAGCACTCATGGCTGGTCAAAGCTGAAGACCATTCAAGTGCTCTCCCCCTCCCTGGCAGGAAAAAGTATATATGTTTCCCTTTCGCAACATCCAAAATAATTTGCCTGAGACAGCCAACTCATTTTACCTAATGTTGGAGCCAGCTCTGGCCTATAGAAAAAGCTCTCTCACACACAAAATTATATTTTTTTCCTGTTGCTTCATACCTTCCAACTTTCCTAAGAAGATAGGGAATGTTTCTCTTTGTGAAACATAGGGTTGTATCCAAATACGTTCTGCTCAAAGTATTAATGGACCTCTGTTAGTCATGTTTGATGCTTTTTTGTGATGGTTGGTATTCATCAGTACAGAATACTATCACCTCTTTTTTGCTCCCTGTGGCAGCCATTTTGTGCTGGCCCCCTCGGCACTTTTCTCAGGGTATGAATACTGGCACCTCATTTTTTTAAACCAAAGAAGCAATGCTTGTGTTCATTAATCTTCATGGGTCTGCTCTGGGGAATGGATAACATTGGACACAATCGACACCCTCAAACTGCGAAACCAATGCTCAAGGGTGAATTTCTGAGGGGGAAACTTGAGTGCAGGAGTGTGGTGGCAATTTTAGAAACGAGATTTCACGCTGCTGCCCACCACCCAAACTTCACATTGTATCATTTTGATTCCTTCGATACCTTTAACTCTACAATCAAACTTTTCCGGAAAAAGCTCTTCTAGGACAATTACCTGGCCTTTGAACGTATGACTCAAATTTGGCGAGTGTTAAGTGCACACACAATTAATGCCTTATCTAATCAGGCTCATCCGCTTAGGAAAACTTGAAAATGCCAGTTTCTCCACATCTCTTTGTTGTACCAGATGTGCGGTTTTGCTTCTCTTAATATGTATTAAAGATATGCCGGTCACCGCTGAATAATTCATTGCACACACGCCTGATTAAATAGCAGCTCGTACTGATTAATAAGCGTGCCGTTAGCCTTTTGCAGATGGCACTGTCATCAGCTATTTAAGCCCTGTATGCTCACCTGCATGGAAACATAAAGGGAAACGGTTGGCATTGAACTCTACATACAGGTTGCTGAGTGTATCATTTATATTAATGGCATGTCATCTCTACAGCCAAGCCCACACGATGCTAAAGCCGTCGGGTGATTTTGCCAGCTGGGAATATATGGGCGGCAGTGGGGAACCTTTGTTCAGGTCAAATTTATCCTCGTCTCCATTGCTATATGGGTCCTCAAGGCACTTTCTAATTTAAAAATTTACATTTAGCAATAAATACAGGCAACCACCATTTACGCATGCTCAATATGTGTGCAGCAAGGCCTCCAACATTTCTCAGATGAAAATAGGGATGTCCTATTTAATTATTATTATTTTATTATATATACCCCACTCATCTGACTGGGTTGCCCTAGCCATTCTGGGCACCTTCCAACATACAGTCATACCTTGGATCCCAAACGCCTTGCCACTTGAATGTTTTGGCTACCGAACACCAAAAACCCGGAAGTGAGTGTTCCGGTTTGCAAATGTTCTTTGGAACCCAAACGTCCGACCCGGCTTCCAATTGGCTGCAGGAAGCTCCTGCAGCCAATCTGAAGCCGTGCCTTGGTTTTCGGAAGTCGAACAGGCTTCCGGAATGGATTCCGTTCGACAACCAAGGTACAACTGTATATAAAAACATAGTAAAACATTCAAAAAACTGTTACACAGGGTTGCCTTCAGATGTCTTCTAAAGGTTGGCTTGGGTTGCATAACCATACCCTCTAACATTTTGCAAATGTCCTAAGGAAAAGCAGGAAATTCTGGGGTCAAATCAGAAGCAGGGACAGCTTCTGTAAGTCTAGGACTATCCCTGGAAAATAGGGACACTTGGATCTTTAAAAACAAAAAGACCCCACTGATTTTCATTTAGTAGCAGTGCTAAGGTAACACTGAACTCTGTGAATTTTCATTTTAGGATGAATAATGTGCCTTGTTAGTGCTATTATGTAGAAATCAAAAGTGGATATGTGAAAGTGGGTCCCATATTTCAGGTTTGAAGTCAGAGGTGGGTGTCTGGCCTGGGCAAGTTGAAGATCACCTGGCATTGTTCATTAGAATAGCGAAAAAGTTGGGCAAGCCCCATAAAACTGGTTTGCTCAATAGTACTTCATTTTTCCTTTCCCTTTTGTTCCCCCAAACAGGAAAACATTGCCATGAGGTGATGATTCTCTGCCACTGTCTTCTCCTGGTGAAGATTAATTTTGAATGAATTCCCCCCCCGCCCCCAATGTGAATAAGGATCTAGCCACATCCCAGGAAAAAAAAGAGGAAAACCGTAGATTGCAGTCTTTCGGGAACTGCTGGACTGACATTGTGCAAACTAATTGGATATTTCTCTCCAAACTCTTTAAAAAGCTCGTGGTGTGTAAATAATAGATAATTCCATTTCTATCCTCTGTGTGTGTTGGGGGGGGGGGAGCAGGGGAAATTAAACCAAGAAAATAATAGAACTGATCACAGCTGAGGAAGTGTTTTTTCCAAGTGTGTAGAACAGCGACATCTAGGAGCTAGCTAATTAATTGCACAGTGACTCAAAATGCATCTTAAACATCACTGTAGTAGGTCGGCGGTTCGAATCCCCGTGATGGGGTGAGCTCCCGTTGCTCGGTCCCTGCTCCTGCCAACCTAGCAGTTTGAAAGCACGTCAAAGTGCAAGTAGATAAATAGGTACCGCTCTGGCGGGAAGGTAAACGGCGTTTCCGTGCGCTGCTCTGGTTCGCCAGAAGCGGCTTTGTCATGCTGGCCACATGACCTGGAAGCTGTACGCCGGCTCCCTTGGCCAATAAAGCGAGATGAGCGCCGCAACCCCAGAGTCAGCCACGACTGGACCTAATGGTCAGGGGTCCCTTTACCTTTACCTAGTAGCCCTGCTGGTATATGCATGCAAGGAAGACTGGTAACTGCTTAACCACTTTTACTATCCATTTATTTTTTAAAATTTTACTAACCACTCAAACAAGAAAAATGGATTTCAGGGCAATATAAAAATAAATTTAAAATATAAATCCTGCCAGTTTGTTCCTGACAAGGATGGGGACAAAACAAGTATTTATTGACCCTCCCTATCATTCGCTCCGGCTCCAGCTACTGTCAAGTTCCCTGTCTTCTGTCCTACAAATCCCAAAGAACACCAGCCACAATTGCCTAAAATAAAAATTGCCTTCCACCCGTCAAAGACCAATGGAATAGATCAAGTTTGCAATATTCCCACATAAAACTGCTGATGTTTGTGATGGCCCACTTAATCATTTCCCCCCTACCAATTGTGGCAATTGTATTGCTCTGTGCTAAATGCTGTATGGTTTTCCATTGTATTTTTCATCACACCTTTTATTTCTTTAAAGGTAAAGGTAAAGGACCCCTGAACGGTCAAAGGCAACTATGGGGTTGTGGCGCTCATCTCATTTTCAGGGTGAGGGAGACGGTGTTTGTCCACAGACAGCTTTCCGGGTCATGTGGCCAGCATGACTAAACCATTTCTGGCACAACAGAACACCATGACGGAAACCAGAGTGCACAGAAAGGTCGTTTACCTTCCCGCCACAGCGGTACTTATTAATCTACTTGCACTGGCATGCTTTCGAACTGCTAGGTAGGCAGGAGCTGGGACAGAGCAACAGGAGCTCACTTCGTTGTGGGGATTCGAACCGCCAAACTTCTGATCAGCAAGCCCAAGAGGCTCAGTGGTTTAGACCACATTGTCACCCGCATCCCAATATTTCTTATAAGAAATGAAAGACTCAAAAAGCTACAATAAAAATCAATATGGATATTTAATGTGCACACGGGGCACCTGATGAGGTTTTACGGACCATAGGTTTGGGAGCAATTGCAAGAGATTTGGAAGTTCAGAACGTATATTTACTTTCTGGTATAATTAATGTGGAATGAGTACCCTCTAGTGGAAAAGTTTGGGAACAACCACATTTGTACTTTGTGTCTCAAAATTGGTTTTTGTTATTTTCGGCACACCTACCAGGAGATCCCTGCTGGATCAAACTTGACTCCCATCCAGATCAGCAGTGTTGCTCCATAGACTTATCATTCGGAAGCATGTTCCTCTGGCACCGGAATTAATATCCCCCCCCCCGGACTTCCCTCATAATTCCCATTTTGTTTTATTTCCATATTACTCACCCTGCGTGTTGTTTCCCAAAATTTTCCCAACACATATAATCTTACATTTTGTTATATACAATTGTGTTTGTTTATTCAAACCCTGACAGTGAGTCCAATTCTTTATGTTGTCTCTTCATATATGTTGTAAGTGGTTCCCATTCTCTTTTAAAATCTTTGTTATCCATTTCATGTAATTTATCTGTTAATTTTGCCAGTTCTGCATATTCCGTAAGTTTCCCTTCCCATTGTTCTTTCGTTGGTATTTCTTCCGTCTTCCAAGCTTGTGCTAATATAATTCTTGCCGCTGTTGTTGCTGCCCATTTTAAAGCCATCCAACTCGGTAGCCATCACAATGTGGCAGCAAATTTTATATATAATGCATAATTTTATTTGCATGTTGCCTTTCCACAGTTCAAACCATGCTCAAGGCGACTTACAACATGGGAGAAAAAATACCTAACTACAACATAACAAAAGTAGTCATAAACCATAAATAAAACATTAAAAAAATACACAAAGTGAACGATTTCCTCATAAATCACAAGATCTAAAATATACCAAAAAAAACCAGCTACAACCCCCCCTCAAAACAAACCCCACATTCCATAGTTTTACAATGCACTGTACTTCCACTTGCTTGTCCTATGGCCCCCCATCTTTAATTATCTTCCTTGAATTCCATGGGGCATAAAACGGTTAGCTTTGGCTGCATCGTCTGTTAATTATTTTCTGAAGAGTGGCTGTATAAAAGAAAAGTCATGCAAAGTGAAAAAAAATCTGATGGATCGGGGAGGTTTCAGCGGAAAGAAGAGAGTGTTTTTAAAGATTTGAGAAAACAGGAGGAAGGGTGTTATCAGTATCTCATAAACATGGTCAATTACTCAGGGTTTTTGGTTTTTTAAGTGCTCTTGTTGTATTGTTTGATTTATTATTGCTTAATTGTTATGAAACGTCTTAATATTTCTTGATGCACAGTATAAGAAACTTCTAATTAAAACAAAACATGTTCTTAGTCATTAACGATGTGTGATAGTATTGACAAATTCAGCAAAACGAACCATTTCCACCTAGTGAAAGGCAAGAAGATAAAACCTCGCCACATTTATCATTTGCCACATGCATCTGATTTGTGGCAATCAATAGATGTTAAAGCAACAATGCTCCAATACCATTTTATTGCTAGATAACTCTCCTGAACTCTTTTTGTCTCTTACTGATCCTGACCAACCTAATCCAAATTGCAAGACCTCTGGGGAAGGGCCCATCTCACTTCTGATTCATGTACACAGCGTTCATGAATAGCTAAGAGATACTTTACATGCCAAATGTTAAAGATTAACTAGCAGTCTTACATTTTGTTATTGTTTTGATTGTCCTGCTCTACTTCAGCCATCAAATCAGAATTAACTTGTTAGGATTGCTCTCTCAGGATTTCATTCACTTGGTAGAGGAGCTAGGCTGATGTGGAAATTACTTGGATCTACCAGTAATTCTCCCAATGCTGATCTCATTTATCTTCTTTGGCTGTGCCACACAGCATGGTTTTAGCAAGGTGTGCACAAACAGGAATGAGACACAGTGAACTTTGGGTTTGTCCGCTCTCTCAGTCCCATCCCTTCCTTCCATGCAACCCATAAGAGTTCAGAAGATTTCCTTTCCATTTAGTTAACCACAGCTTCTCCTGTCATCCAAGCCCAGAACAGTAATTATTGTTTACCATGGTTAGTTCAAATAAGCCAGCTCTAGAAACCATGAAGTTGGCTTGTTTCATGCTAACCATGGTTAATATTAACCAGATTGCCACTTCAGATGACATAACTAACCACTGCTAACCAAAAGTAGGCTTAGGAGCTTCTGAACTCTTCTGGGTGATGCGGGCATAGGAGAAGGGAATACACAATTCAGGGTCTCATTGTAGCCCACTCCTGCACATTGCCCTGAACATGGTTAAGCGTGACATGCACATTCAGCCAAAATCTTGTAGCGACATCTGCAAAACTGTCCTCAGCAAGGATATTTCAAATTTACACTATAGCTGACAGAACCTTACAGCGTGGGATGGGGAACAAAAGTTTTATCTCTCAGATCACCAGCTTCACAATTTAATTCCAGGACTCACTCAGTTTATATGCTAACAAACTGACATGTGTATTAATGTCGATTAGAGCTCTGTAATGTCACTAAATACCTTCTGGTGGTGCTGGGAAATGTGTCAGTTTTAGTCATTAGGAAAAATTAAACCAATAAAACTGGGAGGCAGTGTTCTGTCAAAAATCTTGTGCATCATTCTTTACTTTCCACTTCAGTGCGTTGCAAGCTCCAAACTTAATATGGAAATTAATTTTCCGGATAGGGGATGCAGATTATTTGTTACAGATTTGCTTTTAGATTATACAGAGGCAGACTGCATACTTACTGGCTCTCTAAGCAACAGCAGTTCCCACCCCAAAAGAATAAATGAAAGAAATGGGATATTAATCTTCAAGTAAACATTGTGAAATAAAACAAAACCTTTAAAAGGAACTATACCAAACAGAGTGGACAACAAAAAGAACTGGATGTCAGTTTCAGACTGAATCACATAACTGGCACTAGATTCCTTTTTCGGAACCCGCACCTTAGATGGACAGATCCCACATCCATTTGATACTCAAGACAGTGGATTACTGGGTTCAGAGAGCTCATGCACATTTAAGAGATGTTAATTTTTAAATTAAATTACCCTTGATTTTTATTATTTATTTTATTCCATTTATATTTCTTACCCACCCTTCACCATGAGGTCCCAGGGTGGTGGCAACAGCACAATTCACAGTTATAAAAAAAGATGGAACCATTATAATTACCAAATAACCGTTCTGCATTAGAGAGGAAACAGTATTCTAGTCAAAAGTGGCAAGTGATTTGAGAATTACAGCTCAGAAAAAGACGACTGTGCATTACTCCTTACTTTCCTAAATGATGAAAAGTGCCAGGGGCAGTGTTTCTCAGATCCGACTTCCTTCTGATGGAGAGGCCACTTCCAGACAGTTGCTGTTTTGCAGGAGGGCCCAGTCACAAACTGGCAAATCTAGTTTATGCCATTGTAGTTGACCACGCTGTCTTGAGCAACAAAGCTACTTTCACAAAAGATCAGACTTTTTGTGATAAGGAAAGTAAAGGGGGACTGCACTGAAAGGTGTGGAGTAACACTCACTTTACGCAACGTCATCTAACCTTATGCTTATTAAATAGCCAATGCTGTCTTAATCTCCCTGCAAACAAATCAGGATGAATGCTCAATAAACAAGTTGTCTGGAAGCAACCTTTGTGTATTTTTCTAATACGAATTTACAAATATACAACAAGAACGCCTGCCTTGTTAAAACACAATGCTGAAAACAGTTTAGAGCAATTTACAATCACAAAATAAGGGGACTCCTCCCATATTCCTGGCCATGGTACAACAGCTGTGACCATAACTCATAACTGGCTAGCTGACAGATACTTCTATGGAGCTGATGAAATCGTTGCCTTGAACACAGAGAAAAGCAATCGCTCATTATCATCTCCTATGCACGTCCTTCTGAGAACGGAAGGCAATGCACAAGAACATCTGGTGCCTTAGTGCAAGTAAAATATAATAAGCTTGCTCTTACAAGGATTGCATCTCTTTCTGGAAATTTATATGGTTGTCATCCTCTGTACCATACTGATGGAGCTTGAATCCCAAAGCAAACACGGTGCTTTGTGGAGGGAAAACACAGATTCAATCAGAGATAGCAAAGTTGCCAAGCTTGCAGCTGATGGGAAACTGGGGAGGGTTGGAGGCCTTTACGGTTCACATTAACTTTGAGGAAGGCTGGGGCTCATAGCATATGGTGATGATATAGAAAATCCATGCATGGTGTAGCCAGGGCACAGAGGTGTTCATGTGCTTGTTTTTAGTCTAGCCAGAGACTAAATGTGCCCTGGGGAAGTCACGTTCAGTGCTGCTAACGCAGTGGTTTGACTTCCTGCCATTGTCTTTCCAGACAGATGATGCCAATAACATTCATTGCACTGCCCACTGTATGCCTGTCCTAGAAAAGAAACCATTCTTTTATATTACATGCAATGGAGTGGGTGACCAGTGCAAAACAGAGTCATTGACCTGTTATCCAACCCATAGGAGTACATATACTATCAAGCTGCACTATAGGCAACTGCAGCAAAGAAAATCCAAGTGAGAATCTTTCAACGAACTGTTAGTGACTTGTTAATTTGAGCAAGCTAAATCTATCCCCAGGAAGTTTCAATCTTGATTGCATTTTAAGCAGAGTGTATACTTATTCATGTTTTATGCCTGTGCTAATAGGTCTTTTACTGCATTTGCAATGGCCTATGGCTACAAGCAATAAATATTTATTGGCCATTGGGCATGCAGGGTTCACTAGAGCAGGAAGTTCAGTGCAGTGCAAGATTAAGGCCCGTAGTGACAGAAGCAATCTCTTTTGTTTCCATCATTACAGACCTAATCTTGGAAGGGCACTGAACAGTGCTCCAATCTCTTAGATCGTGGGAAGAAACCAATGAGTTTTTCCAAGTGCCAAAAAGTATGTGAAGAGAATAGTTACCATGGCAATGCAAGCTCCACACTAATCAAGTGTGCGTGTGTGGGCCTCTTGAACTGATTGTGACTAGAGATGGAGAAGTGCTTCGAAGAGCCATTCTTTTGCTCTGAAAGCAAAGGACAGCATCACCGACTTTCATCTGGTGATGCAGTGCTATCAGACCAGTTGCATAGCAGCCTCTTAAGGCTGTCACAAAACGTACACTGCTCATTAATGGTTTTACGTTCCACCTAAAAGCATGAAAGCTAGAAGTTTGTCCTGATCTAAATGAAAAGACAACCCTTTTCTTCTGAAGAGCTCACAAGGTTTTGCCCTGGATATCAGGCATGTATCACCTAAATACGTCACATAGTATAGTTCCTCCCTGCTCAAATTCAGGGGTCATAATTCACTGCTAGAATATACAACTTCCATATGGAAGGTCTGATTCAACCCCTGACACCTCCAAGTAGGGCTGGGCAAGATTTATGTCTGAAACCCTGAATGGCTGATGCCAGTTGCTGCAAACAATACTTATCTAGGTGGACCTATGGTTTGCCTGGGTTTACGGAACTCCATTTCTGCAAAACTTTGCCACTTAGGAGGCTGTGGAAATGCACAGGAGCCATTGAAAGGGCTTCCCATTGGACCAGCTCATTTTGGAAATATTTAACCATTGCGTTAGTCTGAAGATGTAAAGGTATTTCATGGGGGCCAGTTCAGAAAGTGACAACTACCAAACTAAGGAACATTTAAAACTTGCCCTTACCATCAACAACAAATCTCTTATTAACTCAAGCAGCAAACCTGCACATAATTTACCTGGGAGTTCACATGAACTCCACAGGACTTTCTTCCAAGCAGATCTGCATAGGATTGTGTTGTTAATCTCCCTCCTCTTATTAATAAAACCACTTGGGTTTTCTGAACCACAAGCTGGAAAGCGTAACAACATATACATGCTATCTGCATCCTATTGCCTGAGTCATCAATGTCCATGAACTGCCCTGAATTGCAAGTTGGAACCCTAATTTTTAGCAACCAGACATGCAAGTCCTATTCCTGGGCCATAACCAATATTGTTCCAGCCTCCAGTCTCTTCTTCAAGTGCCTCTTCCTCCCTCCCAACAACCTCTTCCCCTCAGGAATCATAAATAGGGGTCTTGAACAAAATCAAGGAGAGGGGTTGGGCCAACTGTAATCAGACAACACTGTTCAAGGCAAGGGGATATGATGTATAAAGATCCCTGAGGCTGCAGTGCTTGACACATTTCATTGCCCAACTCTTTCAGAAGTCCACTTCTTGCATGGCTAAAGCTGGCCAGTGTAGCCTCTTATGACTACACTTACAAGCACAGGAAGACAGAAAGATATATCCCAGACCCAAACACAATGAGAGGAGAAGAGTGGCGTGGAAGGAGGGGTGGCAAAAGAAGGAATGTTCATCAGAGGGAAGGCAGGTACAGTGGTACCTCGGGTTACATACGCTTCAGGTTACAGACTCCGCTAACCCAGAAATAGTACCTTGGGTTAAGAACTTTGCTTCAGGATGAGAACAGAAATCGTGCTCTCGTGGCGTGGCGGCAGCATGAGGCCCCATTAGCTAAAGTGGTGCTTCAGGTTAAGAACAGTTTCAGGTTAAGAACGGACCTCTGGAACGAATTAAGTACTTAACCCGAGGTACCACTGTATACAGCACCTCTTCAAATTCCTCCGACAATTATTTAGAAAATGTACGAACCCACTTGCTCAAAAAAATTCTCCCAAGTAGTATACAAGTCAAATTATATATAAACCATGACTTAAAATACACAAACCAATTTAAAACAAATATACATAAAACCACCAAGAAAAACAAATATAAAATCAACAAAACATTCAAAACAAATATAACTAAATCACATTTCTGGATAAATCACCCCCCTGACAGCTTCTTAGACCTTCGCTCCTTAGACACCGCTTAGACCTTCTCCAGGCTCCAGACTGACTTGCCACTGACTTATCTGTTCCGTCCCAAGTGTCTACTTACCTGCAACCTTGCAAGCTGTTGTTCCTTGGCTTCTCTTCCTTCTTGCTTCCTAGAGTCCCAATGGCTGTCTACTGACTTTCCGAACCACTTCCCGACTGTCTCCCCCTTAATACAGCTACATCTCTCGTATCGTAATTCTCCTGCACATTTGTCAGCACATGCAAAATTCCACAATGCTAAGATGCAGAAATCTAGAATAAAGGCTAATATTTAGTTAGCATTGTTTTGGATAGATTGCCTCAGTTTGCCTAGTATTCCTTTCCCCCAGAAATGCAGGTAAGAGTCTAAATTTAACATACCACAGGCACTTCAGTCACGTTAGAGAATTGAATGCTGAACTTCTTATTGAATATAGTACATATATACAAATATTTTAAAAAAGGAATTTATTGCCTTGCGTATAATTATGCACAAAATAATAATAATGCTGGCCTTTTAAAATGACAGTATAAATGAGAGGAGGAGTACCTGTAAAGCTGATTCACTCTTGTTGACTGTTAAAGAGGCTGGGGTGCATTTATAATCTCACACAAAAATCTCTTTTCTACCCTTTTGAACTAATTGCAGACATTGATCATGTAAAACAAAACTGGTTCCCAAATGACCAGAAATTCTGCAGGTGCTTTTATTTAATCAAAGGTTGTTTGTACAGTGTTTGCTGTAGGAGGAAAGGTTCGGGAACTTCCAGAGGACAGAAATAAGAATATCATTGATGAATGAGAGCAATATTCCATTCAGTCCATCGTCCAGTTCCCATGCATTCATCTAGACATGTAGGGAAAGCACCAGATACCCAGTGGTATCCTGCCATCCTCTAAACATCATCCCCTCTATGTCAGGAGGTTCCCACACTTGTGGTTGGTGGGCCACCAGTGGTCCATGAGCTTCACTCAGGTGGTCCATGGCATGTTCATGTTAAATATGCAAATTGCTTTTTAATTGCATTTTCCTTGCATTTCATTTCTTATTGTATTGGCTGCAACTTGGATGCAAGTTAATACCAAAAAAAAAAGCAACAGGCAGTGACCATTTTGCACATGTTCAATTACGCAGAACATGAGGGCAGATCAGGGGTATAATGGGGTGGGCTTATGCCTTATGCAAACTCTGTTGACGTGTTGGCGGGGCGGGGGGCAGGAACACAACCCCCGTGCAAATCGGGGGTTGCCTGCGGAAGAAATAAAAGAAACAATAAAAATACAACTAAAAATCATTACGTAGTTCACCAAAACCGTCAGCATTTTCCAAGTGATCCCCGGGGGCGGGGGAGTGTCTAGCAACCACTGCTCTACTTCCAGTGCTCAGGTCATGTCATTGCTTATGTAGCCAAAGCAGCAGCACCATGCAGATGGTATGAGTAGACTTGAGGAACCCCAAAGTTTGTATAGAAAAAATTTCTAGAGGTGAAAACCCCAAGGGAGTGAGCCCCCCCACCCAATACAGGACTATTTGTGCTCAGTGCCCCATGGAATGCTGACTGGTGGGAAATGTTTGGGGGGGGGGTTAGAAATGCTGGAAGTTTGGACAGGCAGACCATCGTCACACTGCAACATTTTGTTGCAGTTCCAATTGTTTTCAACATGTTAAAAGAGAATACTGTACCCATACTCTCCCATGATACATAGCTGGGCTTGAAGTCAATCAGACTCTTTCTTACTACTGTATTGCAACATGCCCTGCAGTTTCCTTATCAGGGAAAATAACTGGGAATTTCCTGTGGTCCAAGAAGATTTCTTAAGTACCTATGTGCCAACTCATAATCCCAACAACTTGGGATCCTGGTTAAATAATTCAATGAGACCTATTAATGCCCTTTCCCCAAAATCCAAGATCTGCAAATCGCTGCCTGAGGAATGTTGCCGCTAAACTGCCACACAAAAGCTTCGGCTACTGTTGATGAGACAGCCTCAAGCTTCCTGAGAAATCAGATTCCAGTTCATCCGTCGTCTCCACAGGTACGTTGCTTTGGTTCGAATTGGATGGATACGACCAGGTTGGTGACCATGCGACCAGCCTGTTTGGAGACATATTGCACTGGCACCTCACTGGTTGCAAAACACTTCCTGAGTGAGCAGGGCTTTGCTGGGGGAAACCTGTATAACAATGTGGCTGGTGATTGTGATGAGAGGGGCTATATCCAGCTGCCTCTACACCAGGCGAGTGGGCGAAACAAGGCCCGTCAGGCCCGCAGAAGCTGTGGAAACAACTATTCTTTCTGTATCCTTGATGAATGCGCAGTCTCGCAATGAGCGGCTTGCCAATGTTAACCACCTTCCTTTCATCCACAACATCATCTACTCCTGCGTATTCATAGTGCAGGCAAACTGTGAAGGTTAAGTCTTCCTGTGAAATAATAAAAAAAGAAAATTCATCATTAATCTTCATAATAATGGCAGCTGTTATGCCCTAAGAAAGAAATGCAGGCATTCACATCAAATGCAGCATTCACTGCCATCAGAGTGCTTTTGTCTCCTAATTACACAAATTCACAGGACAAAAAAAGGGGGGGGGGGTGCTGGAAACCTTTTTCTAGCGTTTTGCTGTCAGCACACAGACACTGTATTTTAAAAGCAACTGTTACACCGGCTGCTAAAGATATTCCACTTTCCACGTTAAGAGTTTGCCTTCCACATGGAACTTGCAAAAATTAAACACAAAGAAGCTACTGTTTGCATCACAGATAACTCCAATACTCTCACTAACATAATCAGTTTTGTATGCTGACTGAATTAATGGCACATCTGCATTTCGTGGGAAACAAAAGCAAAAAATGAGCATGTCTGCCCCTCAAAAAAGAAATAAATCAATTTTAGCACTTGCTGTATCTTCATCATTTAGGATGATGTATAAGCCAAGGGACACCAGCTGTTCTTTATCATGTAGATTCCACCCTCATTCCAATGCCACATACTGCAGTTTTATACTGATCAGAGTAGTTCCTTCACCCAGTACATTCTCATTGCCCAGTCAGATTTGGCTCCTGGTCCCCTATTTCCCACCTCACAGTAGTGTCCAATCTGCACTAGGCCTTTAAAGCAGCGTCGTGCCACTTCAAAACAGTCATGGTTCATGGTTTGTGAAGGGTGTTGAGAGTTTTTTAGGAGATCCCTCTTCCCCCTCACAAAGCTACAGTTCTCAAGAGTTCTCTGGGAAGAGGGACTGACTACAAAACCACGCTGGGAATTGCAGCTCTGTGAGGGGAATTGGACTCTAACGATCATCTGTGACCTTAGCAAACTACAAGCCCCAGGATTCTTTGGGGGAAGCAGCAAAGGTTTAAAGTGGTGTGATACAGCTTTAAATGTATAGCGCAAATGGGGCGACAGCCATCATCGGAGCCCTGATTTGTTTTGTTTCCAATAGCTTAGAATCATAGAATTGAGTTGGAAGGGACCTTAGTGGTGCAGCAAGAAAGCAAAGCAGTTGTGATCCTACCACCACCTCAGCCTTGACACAAACAAAACCCCTACTGCTGCAGCCTGCTGCTCTCCCCCAATATCCATGAAGCCATATTCAGAAATCTGGACTCTGAACCTTTCGAGACTGAAGGCCTTTGGCATATAATTCTCTGCTGGCTTAACCTGCAAAGCTGCATCCATAGGGAAATCATACATTTATGCTGAGGTATTTCAAAGGGCAAGTAGTAACTGGAGGCTACCAATATGGGTGTGGGCCTGTAAATCGTGCAATCTGTTTCATGCAGCAGCTGGTGTAAAAGTGCCAAACAGAATGAGTTTGTGAAACAAAAGTAATGTGAAATGACCTTTAGCTTCTGCAGAGAACTTATTCGAGTGTAGAGACAATGCTTGGGCAAGTCCTTTGAAAGCAAGTAGCTTCCGGTTTCCTCAGGAGTCCCCTTGTTTGCCCCTTTGGGGTCCACATCCAAGTCCTGTTCAAATTTGTTAAAAAGCAGAAATTAACTCATAGGATTAAAAGCTATATACCCACAACCACCACCACCCTCTAGCTGCCAGATCATATAATATGTGGGTTTTGGCCAAAGTGCAAATTTCATGTTTTTTATAATCTTGTAAAGAATAAACTCATACCAAGCTCCTGACGCCAACTTACAAGGGGGAAATCTGTAACATAAGCTTTGCAAACAGTGATTTCAGAAGGCTTCTTTACTATGCTTGTGTAGACAATCAGGACATTGGAGAATTCTGCTGCGAAACCCAGCTGAATTTGAACACCGCAGGCAAACTGAAGGCACATGCTTTCAGGAAGTTCTGGAAACAAACACATTTTGATTAGTGGTAATACACAGATGCTCTCCTTCAAAATTAGTTGGGGAAATTGCATCTTTCCTCATGCTGTACTTAGTCATTATCCAGATTGGAACATCAGGATTAATTTCAGTAGCTAGGAGATCTACAAACGAATGGGAGCAGATTATAATCAGTCTTCAAGACTCCTTCATACATTTTGCACAGATCATCTCCTCCTGGCATCTATCAACAGTTCTGCTATTGCCCTAAAATGATAAGTAACTTTACTGGAGAGGATCTTGCGCCTTCACTTTACTAGCAACACATTAAATGAATTACAAGTTATCATTTGCTGAGCAGATAAGAAGATGAAGCTATGGGGAAAGGGCCTGGAAGGTCACTTCATATACCTGGGTGCATGTGAGCTATGGGTTAGCCACCCCTGGGCTATGGGATGTCACTGTCCCCTCATCATTATGATACTGACTGACTGTTTTGTGAACTGGCTATTTTCTGTTGTGGGATTTATACAGTAGTTGTTAACCACTGTGGATGTTTTGGATATACAAATGTAATAATGTGTTTGGCTTGGGAGCTTGACCCCTAAGAAAAAATTAATGAGCCCCATCCCACCAAGGCTCCACTGATTTTGGTGGCAGCAAAAAAGCGGGGGAATAAAACAGAGGTGATGTTGGGGTGGACAGAGATGTGTAGAACTCTCTGCACAGCCCAGAACCTTGATGGGGATACAAACTACCTCTACTGTGCTTATTAGAATGATCATTTGATGAACGGAGAGGGGATGATGATAAGCCCTGCTCTTCAGCTGATCTGCTGGGTGTGGGGCTACGCTGGAGAAGGTGCCCTGAATGTGTGTGTACACACATGTGAGGGCAAGAGTAGGGGTGGACACACCCACTGGTGGCACGCAGCCCCTGGAAAGTTTGCCAAGGTGAGTGCAGTATTCAAGTATTCCATTGAAGGTTAGCTATCCTTGAACAAATAATCTAGGGAAATGAACCATTTGAGGGAGGTAAACCAAGTTATTTCAGTATATACATAAGGCTGTTGTGCCTGGGACATGAGGAGCTATAGACCAACTTGAACAGCATCTTCACCCATACCGTGAGCTTTTGCCCACTGCAGATTCCGCGCTAATGACTCTGCCGACGCTACTGTTTGCTGAACAGGATCAGTTAATGCTCTCTTCTCAGATAAGCTGCTGCGAATCTCCAAAGCCTGCTTGCCTTTGGTAAGGTGACACTTGCCCATATCTAAAAATAAAAGATGCAAATCATTTTCTGGGAACCAAAGCTGCTGAAAATTCTAATTAAAGCACCTACATTCCAGAAGAGCCGCCATGTTGCTATGGTTATTGTTGTGTCAGCGTTTCCATGACAAACCTGATTTCAAGGGGGCATTCAAGCCTGGCTGTTCAAAATTCACTACAGTCCGGAACATACCGTCCAAGTTCCTCTCCATGAGAACTCCGCCTCCCCTGCTCTTTTAGCATTCATTATGACCCAAACATTTATTAAGCTGTGTGGCAAGTTTCTTCATCTTCTCCCTCCCACATGCATAGGCACAGATCCTCCAGTCAATGAAATCCTTCCCAGGAAAAGACATGTTTCTTAATTGCAGCACTCTACTTACAAGAATACACGTTCCAATCGTTTTACACTACAGATAAGCTAGACTGATAATCTTTTCCAACAGTTGTCTTTTTTTTAGTTGGGGTTCTCCATCTATTTTCAGCCACATCATTAGCATCCTTAAACAATTTTAATGCATTTTTGTCCACTTTCATACTCTATATGTTTTTAAAATGTTGTTACATAGCCGCCTTTTTCATAAGGAAATTCTGCAGCGGTAGTAGTTTTTGAACATCGCTTCTGTAACTTAAAAAAAATGAATTTACTATATAAGGAACTGCCTTTGGCGAATGGCTCATCTTGCCTAGTTCTGTCTATCCTGGCTGGAAGCAGTGTTCTGGGGCTGTGAAAGGAGATAAAGTATACCTTTAAAAAACAATGCCACCATTTTGGATGCATCTATCGCTCTGTGCCTACAAAGCAAACATGCACCACAATTGATTTGATCCCCCCCTTTCTACCCCAGTGTGTTAGTAGTATTGTTATACGTTGTGCTTCCAAGGGCAGGGGTACATCAAAAAGCCACACACCCACCCATTCCCACAGCCCTGTTAGTCTTTTGCATATGGACACAATTCATTTCACAGCTTTTATTAGGGATTAAGTGCTACAGCACACTCCAATAGTTACCCCCACCCCCAGCAATGCCAGAAGTCTTGATTGGCGTGAAGGCAGCCTCCCTGGATTAGGGTTGTACACAGTTGCTCTCCAATAGTCAGCCAGTGGTCCCACTCAAGAACTGAAGCATCCAGATATTGCCATCTGGCAGCTCCTTGGCTGGCAATTTCACTTCTGTCTTCCCCAAAGCAGAAGAGGGGGGGGGGCCTTCTCGCGCTTTGCTTCCAGGACCACATTGAGGCAAAGGAGTCCTCTGAATGAGGTCTGTGTCAGCATCCACTCCCTTCAGGAACTCAAGAGAACTCCCTTTCTTCAGGTATGGTTTGCAGCTCACTAGGCTCCAGCCTCCTTCCACTCAGTTTCCTACCCAGGGCATTGGTTACACAAAGTCTACATTTCTCCAACCTGCCATTCCAGCCTCCCCCAAGCATTTTCTTCCTGCTTGCCTTTTGCCCAGTCACCCTCCATCCACCCCCATCCTTCTCTCCCGAGTTCTAAGAAATTCTGACGCCTTCTGGAGGCCAGCAGCTGTTTTCTATCTGCCCTGTCAGGCTGCTCCTCAGGGAGGGGGGAAAAGATGCCTGTCTTGTTTGCCAGCAGGCTGTCTTCCCAGCCATCCCCTGCTGGCAGTTTCTGTTGACTAGAACCAGTAGGAAACACAGGGTGCACTGGGGCAGGCCATTCATCTCATCTCAAGGAAGTAAAGGTTACGGGGAGCAGGCTGTATTTCAGCTGACAGGCATAGCTGTCCAAAAACAGTTATTTACAAAGGCTGGTGTACATTTGTTCTTTATCCTCATCTAGGAAGAAGCAGTTTGGGCTGCTATTTGGGCGGGGGGGGGGGGAGTTTGAAAGGAAAGAGTGAAGCATGGGTGTGCGTATACCTTACCCCTGCTATCAACTTCTGTAAAAAAATTACAGCCTCTCAGGGCTGCTTTTTGGCTGTAACCCCCCCCCCAATCAAAACAGCTTTTACATGCATTTGTGCATAACACACAGTTTGCTCCGAAGGCCTCAAATGTGCAGATGAAATGTTTTACACTTCACTGCATTTGTATTCTGCCTTTCCATCAAGGAGTTTTATCCACACAACAGCCGTTTGAAGTAGATTAGGCTGAAACGCGGGACGCGGGTGGCGCTGTGGGTTTAACCACAGAGCCTAGGACTTGCCGATCAGAAGGTCGGCGGTTCGAATCCCCGCGACGGGGTGAGCTCCCGTTGCTCGGTCCCTGCTCCTGCCAACCTAGCAGTTCAAAAGCACCACGTCAAAGTGCAAGTAGATAAATAGGTACCGCTCCGGCAGGAAGGTAAACGGCGTTTCTGTGCGCTGCTCTGGTTCGCCATAAGTGGCTTAGTCATGCTGGCCACATGAGCCGGAAGCTGTACGCCGGCTCCCTCGGCCAATAAAGCGAGATGAGTGCCGCAAGCCCAGAGTCGGTCACGACTGGACCTAATGGTCACAGGTCCCTTTACCTTTATCTTTAGGCTGAGAAATAGTGATTGGCTCCCCACCCCTGCTCTAACCACTGCACCACACTTTTCTCGATCAAGCAAACTTCCCTAGTGGCTCAGGTATACTTCTCATAGGGCTTCCTTACCTTCTGCTACACCATCCAGCAGCACAGTAATTTTCTTGTCCTCCAACAAGCGTTCCTTCAAGAACTTCATGAAAATCCCATTGGCTAAGCCAGACTGCTGAATTTCAAAAGCTTCTGCTCCTTGGCACCTTAAATGCATATTAACAACAGCAGAGGCATAAGATGGGTTGGGAAAGTATAACTGCAGCACAACAGAAGGCAAAAATGTTGCTTTGTCAAAGTAAAATAAAAAGGACTTTTACAGGATTCTGAAAAATCAGTTCACGTTTCACAATAAAGTATACAAATAAAGTATACTTTTACAAGAAATGTTAATAAATATTAATGTTTGCTCACAAATGTTTGCACCGCCAGGATGCAATTTGCTAGGATCCAGAAGGCAATTGGGCCTGATCTGGTCCATGGGTGTTAGTTTGCCAAACCATGAACAAAAGGGTTCTCAGGATTAGCCGCGTCACTTACCTGAATATAACACCAGAGCAAGGCCTATTATCTTGTCTGTAAAACAGGTGTTAAAATCAGGTAAGAATTCTCAACTCCCCAATTAATGGAATGAGGCACATCACATTTATCTGACTGCACAATCTCCTTTTATCACCCTAATCTGCCTTTTGAACTGGGTTTTCGGTCAAGTGGTCAGGGAGATGCTGCACTCAGATAAACCAGCAAAAGGAATGTACCATGTTTATGTTGTGTTGCAGTGGGAGAGGCACACACATGCAAAGTTGAAAGTTGATCCAAAAATGAAATCATGAGGTTCAATCCGGACTTAAATCATGCTTAGAGTAGACCCACTGATATCACTGGGTCTTAAGTTACTTATAACTAACTTGAATGCCATTGATTTAAATGGGTCTACTTAAACCTGAATACAACTCAAAGATTTTCTCAAATGTAATGTGCCCACAAGGTATATAAAGATCTGCTGGAACACAAGCAGATTGTCTTTTTTATTATCCATCTCTATACTGAAGTTTTTTTAGTTAGCTCAGAAAATATAACACAATCATTCTGTTGTCATTATATATATGTGTGTGTGTGTATATATATATATATATGTGTGTGTATATATATATATCTCTACACAAAAAATATGCAGGTAAAATAATTAGCCTTACGTGGCGTATCCAAAAACAATGTTAGCTGTAACCTTCAGGGCATCCAAGATGAGGACGGTATTATCATATTCATTCCTTTAATAAATGTAAGAATACAAAATGAGAAGAACAGCCTGAATCTGGGGCAAGTTGAAGATAAAACAAAATGTTTTTATATCCAAAGCCATGACATTATTATATAGATAGAAAATTCTATATAACCCCCTCCCCCCAAATTCTGCCATTTATTCCATCACTTCCTTTAACAAATCAAGCAACAGAGAACTAAGCAAATTTGCTTTGGTGAATCAGTGCAAAGTGCTTCCTTCCACATTCATGAGCTGCTCATGTTGCAGTTGCATAAAAAGTAGCCCATGCATAAGATGTAGCCCAGGCCTTGCCCCATCACTGGCTCTGCTCTGCCTGCTCCTTGAGTGCTTTTGCCTGGCTGGAATATGTCCTTGAACTGTGATCAATGCCTCTTGCTTGCCTTGTTGGAGAGATGCACAGGTGTAAAAACCTCTGCTTTTTGCCTGGTGGGAATGTACAAAAGAAATTGCTGCTCAGCTGCCTTTTGCTTCAAGTACCACCCACCACAGGCATCCTGACAGTTCCCTGACACTTGCCCATGCTCATTGGCAGAAAAAGACCCCACACTCATGCTTTTTGCCCTGAAACCTCTCTAGAGTTAGGCCAAGGGTGGTGATGCTGTTACAAAGCACCCAAACCCAAAATGGTGCACAAGCTCTATAAAAATGCTTTGCTTTGGCATCGATGACTGCATGGAACAACACCTAGAACAGGGCTACTGGTTACACTTACATGAAAAGCAGCTGGAATCTGCCTGACCAGAACTTTGAAGATTCAGGCCTGCCTGAAGCAATATTTTATTTTGAAAACTTTTAAATAATATTTCAGTTTCCTGTTAATTACGTTGCTTTGAATGTATGCTTTATATCTGACTTTCTTCAGCAATGTTTTATTTTGGATTGTTTTATTTGATGTTTCAGTGTGTTGTAAACTGCTTGGGAGATGTTTTCTTAACAATATAAAGCAGTATAGAAATGAAACGAATAATAATAATAGCCCAGGAAAGTTGGGAGGGGCTTGAAGTAAAAGCTGTTATCACTTCCTAGCTAATATTCCCTACTAGCTGGGAGGAGGAAGAGCAGGGAAATACTGTCACGGCAAGATCTTAGAGGGGGAAAACGCCAGCCTGACATTCCACCTTCCCAGTCAATAGGATGTCAGCTTCATCTGTTAGAAAGCAGCTTTCAGTATTTTGAACAAGCTACCCAACTCTGCTTTCATGTGGTAATCAAAACACTGTTTTTTTCTGAGTGGGAAGAAAAGAATTTTTATCTGAACCACCGTTATCTGGATTGTGAATCATGCCCTCCTTTGTTCCCGGAGACTGACCCAACAAGTCAAACATGACCATGTAGCAAGTGTATTTTATTCCCTGTTATTTTGCTTTCGCTCTCCCGAGCCTGGAGAAGAAAACGGAAAGGTTGCGACACTTGCATACAGATGGTTGAGTTAATAAAAGCTAACCTCTCAGCTGTTCCATTTGCCTGTTTTTCTAGCGCCAACATGGCTTCTTGAGCCTTGATCTACTAGGGAGGTGATGAAAGCAATTACATACCTTTTCCTGCACATATCCAGTAAAAATACATTGAGGCCAGTATCCTTTTCTTGCATCCGTTTGAGAATATTTTGTACACACAGACAGTTTGCTGCTCGATAGGGGTTTGGGGCATCTATAGGAACCATAAAACTATTACCATAGTTTTCGTAGCCATGGCCAGCATAATATAATAGCCCTGGGGAGAAACAACACACACAGTTAAAATAGCTTTTAGCGATTATATTAAGCAAACTAATTCAATTAAATTAAGTTGCAAAGAAAACAAGAATAAGGCAGTTTTCTATAGTCTTAAAATCACACTTGCCATAAGTGGGGCAGTGGATTTACTGCAAGCAGATGCTGAATGTACTCCAATCTCCCCATTCTTGGAATGAGGTGAGCAACAGCCTTGTGCACTGCAATACTCAGATAGTGGCACATTTTTACTATACAACACACTGAAGTGAGGAAAGCAGCAGCTGCGAATTTATGTTTTGCACTTTGCATTGCAAATGACACTTTTCTGCGAGTAACCAGGTGATGTAATATCATGGTGAGCACAAGTCCTTCTGGGTATGGAGGTAAGCCCACCAAAATGCAGAAAATTTGGGGTAGGGAACCTATGTTCCTTGAGATGTTGTCGAAGTACAACTCCCATCAGCTCCAGCTAGCATGGCCAATGCTCAGGACTAACGGGAGTTGTGGTCCAGCTAGAGGGCCACAGGTTCTCTACCTATCCAATCAGAGTCATGGAATTGTAAAGTTCAAAGGGACCCCGGAGGCTCATCTAGTCCAACCCCTGCAATAAAGCATTATTTCATGTTCCACAAACATTCAAAGGACACTACTCAAAAATGCAAAAAACCAATACAGGAAGCATCCAATCATGTGAAAAAAGATAGAATAGTATCAATGAAGCTGGAAAGAACGAATCTTCGAGGCAATTCTCTTTTTGTTCACTACTCAAAAACTGTAATGAACTAAGAACCAGACCTACTTTGGGCTATAAAAGCAAAACTAGGGCATTCTGGCACAGTGAACGAGCATCATCCCCACTGTTAAAACACAGACCAGGAGCTGAGTGCAAAAGTGTTAAAAACACACAGAGAACTGGGTTAAATAAAAACAAAAGAAATACAAGAATAAAATACAAGTAAAATTTCCTTAAAACTAGTTTGGGGAAACAAGGCAAAAACAACACTAAACTATATATCACACACAAAACTAAGTGGTGTACAAACAGATAATTAAAATTAATTCAGTCAAGAATCCAGGAAAGCTTGAGTAAACATGTGTGATTTAAGAAGGTGTTTAAAGGTTACTACTGTCTACCTTCCTTGAGTGCCCCCCAGGGGAGGGCATTCCAGAAGGTGGGCGCTCCCTTTACCAGGGGAAGTGGTGGTCTGCTGAGAACTGCAAATAGGGAAAAGGTGTTGCTCTCAGGTCCTATTTATGGGCTTCCCATAGGCATCTGGTTAGCCATTGTGAGAAGGCTCAACTGGATGGGCTTTGGCCAGATCCAGCAGGGCGCTTCATGGGTATCCTGGTTGGAAGTTGCCTAAGGTTTCAAATGTCAACAACTTTAGTAGCTAATAGCCAGTGCATTTGTTTCAACACTGATGAAATATGTGTAAAGCTGGGTATTCCACCAAGCATGCATTAAGACAGACCATCAGAAAGCTCACTATTTTGAGCTAATTACTTTTCAGTACTTTGTACTCCATTTGGTTAACACTTGCACTTTTTTATTTGAAAGAAAAGATGTACTTGGGATAGAAAGTTTTGTGAACAAAAAGAGAAAAAAACCTGTATGCTGTCAAGATTGTGGCAGTAGCGGCAGCGGCCTGTGAGGCGTCGTGGTGATGGCAGGAGGTGGCGGCAATAGTAGTGGCAGCCGGCGAGGCCTCATGGCGACACAAGCAGGGGAGCTTGCAAGGCCTCGCCATGGTGGCAAGAAGTAGTGGCAGCCTGCAAGTCCTCCTGGCGGTAGTGGGAGGTGATGGCAAAAGCTGTGGCAGCCTGCCTCAGCGAGGTCTTGCGGGCAACCTCTGCTTCTGCCACTGTTTCCTGCCGCACCGCAAGGCCACCACTACTGCCACTGCCATGACAAGGCCTTGTAGGCCGTTGCTGCTTTTGCCACGGCTGCAAGGCCTTGCAGGCCACCATTACTGACCCCACCATGACAAGGCCTTGCAGGCTGCTGCTGCTTCTGCTGCCAACAACTGTCATGGCAAGGCCTCACAGGCCGCTGATTATTGTGCCACTGATGCCAGGCTGCCGCTGCTTCTACCTCTCCCCCGCCATCATCGATTCTGCCACTGCCACTGCTGCCTAGTAGGCCTGCTGGCAGTCCCAGATTATTTGTATTCACTGTGACTCATCACCGCACTTTGGATTGTCCTGACTACCACCATTTGGTAGCCAAATCCAAAAACAAAAGTCTCATTTGGATGCATTTTGGTTTGCCTGCTGCTTAAAGTGAATATGAGGTGATTGATAATATCATTTATCCATTTTAGACCCTTAAGTAGTAGCAGTTGCCAAGACATTGTTCTGTTCGCCTCTGTGTAGTAGTTCCTTCCTTATTTCAAATATTGTGATATATCAATATATTGTGATATTCAGCTGGTGATATATCACAATATTGAAAACCAGTTATCGCCCAGCCCTAGTGTACGTGGTTTAGATGGGTGTGTAGAATTTTAGATGTGGAAAGAGTGTTCAGATTGTGCTGTGCTATCTTCTGGAACTCTTAAAATATTTTGCTACAATGGAAAAAGACATCAATAAAAGAGAAAGTTGAAGTCAACATATTTTGGTGTAGTTTGTGATTCGAGACGTCATCAGTGCCCAGCAGTAAATCTATAGCTGAAACTGACCCAAAGGTGCCCGACAAGCTAGCACTAAAAAAAGGGAATGGGAAAGTATGCTGCCGTCAGAAAGTCTGCGGACACTTTTGCTGCTCCAATAAATCTTCCTGTCATTGTGACCCTTTGGCTCAGGCCTATAAAGGGTGGAAGGCATTCTGAATGTCAGTCCAGCCAGCACAAAATGAGACAAGCGTCAGCCATCTAATCAATAAGAAATTCTCAGTATGGGCTGCTTTGGAAAGAAGGGTAGGATAGAAATTACCGTATTTTTCGCCCTATAGGACGCACCATCCCATAAGGCGCACCTAGTTTTTTGGGGGGGGGAAATAAAGGGGGAAAAAATTATTTTCCCCCAGGCGCGGGGCTGGGGCGGGGGAAGCCCGAGCTATCTATCTATCTTGGAGCGTATCTCAAATTAATGGATGTTGAATTTTCCAGTTTTTCAGGCACCAAAAACTATATAATGGTTACATAATATATGAGGGGCCTGGGTCTACTAAGAGCATAGGACAAGGTAATTTGGAAATGGAAATATTTAAAAGGTACATTCTGACAATCAATTTGACAGGCTGTCATGCTACTAGTTCTTACCGTATACTCCTTTGTCTAGCAGCAATAAGAACTCATCTACCGCATTCCGCATCTCAGGTTCAGTAAGATCCAGCAAAGAAACCACTTTGAAGTCCAGTTGCCTCAGCAAGTTGGTCAGCTCATAAACATCCACTAACGGAGCCTTGAGCTTAGGATGATTATAATAGCTCATGTTTCCCATCAGCAGCGCTACTTTGTCTACCGCTGCAAAAGCAAAAGCAAAAAACATGACAGGACTTTTGTAGGACAGCATTTTCAGAGTTGGGCCACAGGATGCTCCACAGTCAATATTATTATCATCTCTTACACGTTGAGTACTCCCCAGGTTGAAAGGGTTTGTTATGTCCTATAATGAGATATTCCAGAGTGGTGGAGGGCAAGGAGTCTAAACTAAGTCACCATAGTCACTGCTTCTGCTAACCATAGTTTATTACCCAAATCATGGCTTGAACTTCCAAGTGTATAGGCAAACCATGATTTAAATGTGCTTAGCACTCTTTAGGTGTAATGGCTCCAGGAGGTGAAGCAATGAATTGTCAATTCAGACACTATGCCATAGCATAGGTAGCACAATCTGTAGTTTACAACCCACTTCAAATCATGGTTTGGCAAATCACAAACCATGGTGTACCAATTGAGACAGCACACGACACCACTGTTAAGCATATTCTACCATGGTTTGCCAAGTTATCAGAACTGAGAATATTAGGTATGGATAGCTCCCTTAACACTGTATATTTATCTAGTCAGTTTGAAATAAATGATTTTTAAAAGAACCACATACTTTATTTATCATAAGAAGATTTGACAGCTTTCCTGGAACTATCATGAGCTGATCTCTTTAACTTGGACTTAATTTACTGTTTATACTTGTAGCTTTAGAAATAAACAGATCATTTATAGATGAAATACAATCTGCCAAGCTCTATCACAATGAAAGCCATTTTAGAGAGACAGTTACAAATGACTGCACACTCTCAAGGTTTCAATGACCACTTGTTTAATGGGTTGGTACAACACAGAGTCATTAATACAGGTCTATTTACACTGACAGCAAAGTATCTTTGAGCTGTTCTTATCCCAAGAGAAACTGTAAATTAGTGAAACAATCTGCAGACTGCCTGTCTTCTTATAAGCAGAAGACAGCAAAAATAATTGCTTCAATTTGAGAATTCAAAACTAACTTTTAGTCAAAGTATGCCTATTAAAATCAATTGACCTAATTAGTTATGGCCATTAAATTCTGAGTAAAAGTTAGCTGAATACATTATGCATTTGTTCTTTCCTTGCTTCCTGAAACTTAGAACACAAACTCCAAATTCTAAGCTCCACTTTGCCTAGGAAGTATAAAGCCCTTGTGTTTTCAAATTCAGTTTTCTTAGCTATGTTGGCAGACATTCAGTAGAGTAGATTCCAGTGCACTGACCTGATCCTATACCATTCAAAACCTGCATCTATTCCATATAAACCTTTACCAGTAAGATGATGCAGTTTCCTACAGTACTACCTCTGAAAGGAACAGAAAATCTTGACATGCAATTTCTGTCCCATATATCATTTTTCTGATGCGCCGAAGAGGGAAATCACCAATGGAACCATGGTTCTGTGCACAGCCTGTGCATTACCTATGTTCCATCTCTGCGCTAGATGGTGGTATACTGGTCTACTTATTCTCCCCCTCTGTCATACGTAACTCTACCATTTGTGGTGGAGGCAGAGGTGTATTTGTAGAGTCTACTGCCCCTGGGAAGAAGAGATTTGAGCCCACCGCTGCTGAGAAACTATTTAACTGTGGCTGCTCCACTTTCTCTCCTGCACAAAGGCCTTCAACTCACAGCTCTGACTTCACTGTTTGTCAGTGGCGTAGGGCAGTCAAGTTAGGCTAGCTCATTTCACAAAAGTTGCAGGGGGACAGGGGATAGCAGCTAACATGTAGGCTTGTGAACTTACTTTCTTTTCTTAAATGAAAGCTTAGAGTCCTGCTAGTGTTGAAAAACGCCACCCCTTAAAACACCACCCTGGACATTTGCCCCACTTGTCCTCCCATAAATATGTCTCTGGGTGAAGAGTGCACAAAGGGGGAGAGAGTTATCTTTCGTAAACTAGAGGAGAGTAGGTTGGAACATTTTCCCCACAGTGTCCTAGTGTTCTCTCTCCCTGCCCCTAAACCATGTAATTACAACAGCTGTCTCTCCCCACCACGCAGCTATCATCTTTGATCAGAGCTTAAGGGGTGGGGGGCAAAGGAGAGGGAAGGGAACACAGTTGCCCTGCAGTCATTCTGGTCACCTTTCTTCCAGATCAAAGGCAGGCTTATCCTTTTGTGCTACACTTCTAGGCACAAGTCCACACTTTTCTTGGCCCCAGAGCTTTCTGTGCAAAATCAAGCTCCTTACTGCTGAACTGGAGCAAACGACAATCTATGGATTCAGCAACAATCACGCTTTGGATTAACCTCATTGGATATGGTACATACCCTTACTACCCTGAAGTGATGCATAAACGGTTAGACTGTGGAATAAGCAAGGAGTAATCTGTGTGCAGCATTAAAGAGCATGTTTCCGTGGGGAAAGTTCCAGGACCAAAAAAAGAGAGCTTGAATACAGAGCTTTAAAGCACGTACCTGTGACCAGAAAGCATGGGGCAAAAGTTAAGCATAGATGAGCCCTAAATGCCTTGTCCAATACTGAAAATGTCAATCAATGCTATCTGGGTGCCCAGCAGGTCGGTTGCTGCTGGATGGTGCCTGCAGAACCAATGCCCAGAAAATCTGATGAGGTACTAATACTCAATCAGTAGCAGCAAGTCTAGGCAACTTCATTCCATCACAAGAGATAAATTTGTACAGCTTAACTGGAGCAGTCCAGCAGCAAGCGTAATATACTTCCCCACCGCAATGACCTTTCTCATGCAGCATGGAAATGCTGTCGTCACGCAAATGGTTTGCATTTTGCTGTGCTAACAGAATGAGCTGACCTTTTGTTGTACAGGTCTATACTTTAATCTCTTTTATCGAGAAAGTTCTATGCCAAGAAAACAATCTAATTCCAGTAGAAACTTTCCCAGGAGGGGTTCAAACACCCTCGACAGGAAGCCAAATCTCACGTTGGGCAACGAAGCAAGAAATTAACCTTGCCTGCAAAGAAACTGAAGAGACATTGCTTAATTTAGCCATTAGAAGCTCTACAATTAAAACAAAGCCGTGAAAACCCACTGATGTATTTAAGCCCAATTTCAGACTCCTCACAATTTTACAGGTCTTTTTCTCCCAATTTTCAAAGAATTATGAAAGCATCAACAAAAGACCCACATGTATTTCTCAGCGGGGCAACACTATTTTAACTGGTCATTTAATAACATCTGTGGAGAAGAATTTACTACTATTAAGCAAGCTCCCACATACGAGTGCAAAATGGGTGTGTGCAATCCAAAGCACAGAGGACCTAATGCTTCATGTACTACCACAAAAACCAAACAATGCTAATAGATTTTAGTTAGAGTACAACAGATATTGATTAAACATGAAGGTCTGGGAGGTTTTTTTGTACCACCTACTCAGTACTAAAGGGGAATTCAAGAAGAAATATTACAGCACACAGAATTTTTTCTTTTTTGGTTCACAAAACGTTCTATCCCAAGTAAATCTTTTCTTTCAAATAAAAAAGTGGAAGTGTTACCCAAATGGAGTACAAAGTACTGAAAACTGAGAGATCAGCCTCCCCCAATCTAGTCCTCTCTAGATCAGCCATCCAGCATGGCCAGAGTTAGATATTATGGGAGTTATAGTCCAAAACATCTGGCAAGCACCAGACTGGGGAAGGCTGCTCTAGATTATAGCCATGTTTCTAAAGAAGAATTTAATTACTCACCAAATTGCCTTTCAGACAACGGTTCTTTAAGATCTGTTAAAAAAATAATGAATGAAAAGGTTCACTCTGTTGTCAACATATTTTGCAAATGAAAACGTTCTTCAGCTTGGGTCCTACATGTTGTTTACATTTTAAATATGTTTGCGTCATTTTTCTCATTCACAATGTGGTTTGTATATTTTTTAATTCTATTGATTACATTTGTAAACCCCCCTTCATCTGAAGATCTCAGGGTGGTTCACAGAATTTTCACGTATTCTAATTTCTAGTACAATTTAAAACCAAACAGGCTACAATCCCAGGCTACAATCCTGAAAACATGCAGTACATCACCATTCAATCCTCTTATGTTCAACCATGTTGCAAGATATAAATTTGCAATATAGCACTGGTGACAGACAGGGGGATTCTGCTTGGGGGAGATGGGAGAGTAGGCCTCTGTTGGTGTAAACTACACAAAGATGCGAGATAACCAACCCTTGTCTCCATGCTATATAAAAGGATGTTTTACTACTACTGCACTGCTTGCAGTATCAAGGCACAGAAAATATTCTATGCAAGCAGTGTATAATTCCTAATGATTCCATTCCTATGCACGTAACCCACCAAATATATAATGTGATGGAGTATTTTGGAATCTACAGTAGTGCTTGGCAAAAAGCAGACATGTGCTCCTTTAGCCAGAGAAGGATTGACATGACCTTTTGGGGAACAAAATGCTTGGCACAATCCCTAATGGAGTCATTATTTGATACCACAGATTTACCAAACACCTGATGGGTGTCATCGTACCTATTTGATATTAGGCCATTCAAAGCTACATCATTAACTCCATGCTAACTCAAGCAATGAGACAGATTCAGTTTTATACCACCTTTCCCAACTATATTCTAGAAGGGCTTATGAATGAACAAACTATGGCTGACATGCACGTGAACAGGTGGTCTTGAAATGACAAACTCAAATCTAAATTTGGTTGTTTGGTCTTGTGCTCTTTAGCTTTTAAGTCCTTTTGATTGTTTTATGTTTTTACTTATGCACAATTAAAAAGTATGTTTTACTTACCAGGCCCTCCAAGGCCACTTAAGTCCTCTGAAAAAGAAAATAGAAAACTGTAACAAATATGTATTTGAGAAGCATGTTAACAGAGATTCAAGAGCAGGATTTGCTACATCTAACAAAGTCAGAGATGGAAGGAAAGTAATGTTTACTGATAACATTTCATGATGATCCCTTTAACATGATAAACAGATAAAGCAACTCCACCTTCAGAGTGAAAGAAAAAAATATGCAGTGGAAGTTGTAAGGTAGAAATGAGAAGCTCATGCATAAATATGAGATTATGTTACATCAGCTCTGTATTTAGCATTATGGTCCAATACAGTGCACAATTCTATTTTAGCGATAGATCCCATAATCTCCTGAATTCCCAGCATACAGAATTCATCAATAAGCTCTACAACATTTGGCTGAGTTTACCTTCAGAGCATTCTACTGCAATAGATTTTCCACCTTGAGATTTAAGGAAAAAAGAAGAATACTGAAATGAAGTTCTTGATTGCATTTATGACAATCATGTTTTATAAAGAAAATGTAGAATCCAATGTAGCGTTAAGGCAATCGTTCTGTTCGGCTGCTACTATACATAATTTTGAACCTTGTGTTGATATACACAAGACAACATGCTGCCAAATTAATCCTGCATGGAATCATGTAACTAATCACTTCCAAAATGTGCTCAAAAACCTCCAGTCCAAGGGCAAACAAGCCATCCAATAGTACCCTACAGATAATCCTGTTGAGATCACAGCATGCCACAAATAGAAAGAAATCAAAAGAACAAGCACATGTACATCAGACCTGGGGAACAGCCCCCCCCCCATGGTCTTGGATTCCAACGCAGGTCAGCCCCAGCAACTTTACCTCAGTCTAAGAACGGAAACTGAATGGTGGAAGGGCACCGGCAGCGGGAGGCCTCATTAGGGAAAGCGCACCTCGGTTTAAGAACGGTTTTGGTTTAAGAATGGACTTCCAGAATGGATTAAGTTCGTAAACCGAGGTACCACTGTATTTATTTTAAAAAATATTTATGTATCACCTTCTCACAAGTAAGTAAGTAAAACAGCCAAGACATACGTTGCAGAGGAGAAAAACCCCAACCTCCACTCTGTAGCAGATGCTACATTCTCTATTGCACAGCCAGACAGCAAGTTACAACATACGACGTATAAAAAACTTGCATCCATATGATCAATCTTGAACTAAAGTTCTTGTTCATAACCACTTAATGTCACCTCCTAAGTCAAATCCTATGTTGATTGTGCCTGCACAGTATATACAGACACATAATGCACTGAATTATAAGCCTCCTTTTGTGGTTAACATTAAATGAAAGCAAAAATGAGGAAAATTGTTTTAATTCAGTGAACTGCACATTAGTTTTTTAGGCTGTCCCGACTTGACTACTCAAAACAGCATGAAGGGATTATGGCACCAATCACATACACACTTTTCATGAATGTGAACAAGTCTTAGGAACTCAAATTAACTTTTGTTATACAGTAATGGGTAGCAGACTTAGAAACTTGATAAGTGATGTAGAGATCCTATCTGCTAATCTGAAGCGTCAAGTTTCTCATATGCACATGATGCTGCTGGCAAGTCTAACTATTTCAGAAATGAGTAAGCTTGGAGGAACACAGAGGTTAAGCAATTCAGACAAGGTCATAAACTTGTGTAAGTGAAAGAGGGTCATACCAAAAATCCTTATTATAATTGCAAGAGTGGCTGCTATGGTGGTGTTCAGCATCAAGAGGTTGAGCCTGAAAGGTTTCATATGTTAATTTTCTTTGGGTCAAGTTTTGAGATGTACACAGCGTATCACAGCATGTCCCAGAAAAAAAGTGTTATGCGAATCATATGTGATCCAACTTCTCATTAGTAGTTCTTAATGTTTATGTACTGAACTGTATTATTATTAGCTGCTTTCCTCGAAAAAGTGACCCAAAGTGATTTATAAACACAATACGAGCACTAAAGCAAAGTATAACCCTCCAAAAGCAATAAAACCTAAAAATACAACTATGCAGATAAAGCCCATGTGTTACAGGTCCTGCCCCATTAAAAGAAGCTGCAAATAACTGAAACCCTTCAAATCAAGGGCCAAAAGCCCAGATTAAAGAGAAAGATTTTGCTTGGCATCTAAAATTAAAGATGGTGCCAGGTGTGCCTCCCCAGGGAGAGCACTCCACAAGTAGGGAGCCACCACTGAAAGGCCCATTCTCATGTTGCCATCCTCCAGGCCTCATGCAGAGGGGACACATGAAGAAGGGCATCAGATAATGATTACAGGGTCTGGTTCAGTTCCTGTGGGGAGAGCGGTCCTTGGGGTATCAGGCTTTATAGGTCAAAGCCAGCACTTTGAACTGAGCCTGGAAACTAGACTTAGATTTTCTGAATCTAGGGCGAATTTGTTAAGGAGTGGTCTTACTAACTGAAGCTCATCCAACACAACAGAGCAACATGTGACACCATTGTTAAAGCATCTGCACTGGCTGCCCATCTATTACCAAATCAGATTCAAGGTCCTTGTGATAATTTACAAAGCCCTGAACAGCTTACGTCCAGGGTACCTGAACCTTTACATTCCAGCATCGATTGTTCCCTGAGTTGGTGAGGCTCATCTGACAAGAAGAAACCAAGCCTTTAGGGTCATGCCCCAGGACTGTGGAATACTCTATCATTTGAGTTCCAGCAGGTTCCATTGAACTTCTAAACACCTGCGGAAAACTTTAATATTCTGTTGGCTTATGCGGGCGTTAAGAGAACGTCTGCCAACAATAGCTAGCCGGTTTCTTATTTTAACACACTCTCTCTCTCTCTATATATATATATGTAGCTTTGAGAGCCAGTGTGGTGTAGTGGTTAAGAGCGGTAGTCTCGTAATCTGGGGAACCGGGTTCGCGTCTCCGCTCCTCCACATGCAGCTGCTGGGTGACCTTGGGCCAGTCACGCTTCTTTGAAGTCTCTCAGCCCCACTCACCTCACAGAGTGTTTGTTGTGGGGGAGGAAGGGAAAGGAGAATGTTAGCCGCTTTGAGACTCCTTAAAAGGGAGTGAAAGGCAGGATATCAAATCCAAACTCTTCTTCTTCTTCTCTTTTATTGTATGGTTTTACATACAATTGTTGTTACCAGCTGACAACTGTGAGAATAGGATGCTGGACTAGTTGGGTCATGGGCCTTATCCAGGAGGTCATTCTTATGTTGTAAAGCACTCTGATTTTTTAAAAATCAATAGCAGTATGTATTTTTTTATAAATAAAGAAATATATGAAACAGTGGAGTCAAGGCCCCAGGAGATGAAAGCGATTTTATCCTCAAAATGCTTTGCAAACAAGCAGAGGTGAGCCACCGTTGGTTCTATCACCTTTTTTCAGGCCAGAATGTAAAAGACCCCATTCTACAAGGAAAAGCTGGACAGTAAAGTATGGATGCAACGGAGGCAGCAAAGTTTGTCACTGAGTAGGCTCACTAATGAGCATTCAACGCCAGATTCTGTTTATTACACCCAATAAAGAAGTTTCTTACCTACAATGACTTTTATCTTCCTGCTTTCTTGATTGTCTTGGTTGTTGTATACACGGCACCAATATGTACCTTGGTGTTCGGTGTCTATGCAGGAGACCTAGAAGGATATCTGGTAGGATATACTTAAACTGCATTCTCAATAATTCCATCAGTACTAAGATCAAGACTTAACAAAAAAATTGTATACCCAAAAACTCTAGAAGACTGTGCTTAGACGTCCCAAATCATCTGCTGTGAAACCTAAGCACTGAGGTGGCAAACCTTTGTTTTATCCCTTAACACAGACAACTGGCACATGTTCTATGTTATTTTTTGCAAGTTTTTTAAAAAAACCAACCAACCAACAAGTTTTGCTATCTTGTGGGGAGGTGATTCAGATCTGCAGATTTTGAATCCTCCTTTCATGACCTGTCCTAATAAGTGGGCTGTCTTAAGTCTACTACAGGGGTGCAAAGGGGTGGGGGAAATCTACATCTTATATGAATTTTAAGAGGGAGAGAAGAGTTTTCTAAAATAAGACTTTAGTGTCCAAGAACAAATCTGTTACCAACATTACATGAAACTAATGATATATTTGCATAGGTCACTGCGTTGGAGGATTGCATCTAGCTCTACATGAAATTTGAAGTAACGATGAACTATTAAAGACCTTGTGTGCTGCCTCTACCCACCCAGTTAATACCTTAGGAAATAGGATACATGCAATTAAACTCGCTTCAGAGTTCAGTACTCCAAAGAGATTCAAGCAGATATTATCAGCATGCTAATGACAAGAGCACTAGGAAGTTAAAGAACATCTTCATTTATATATAGAATTTCAAGATCATGCTTTAAAAAGTATTTATTTCCAGGCGGCTTTTAATTTAAATTGGATAACACTGATTTATTTATTATTTATTTTCCAGACCACCTTTCCAGATGTATTTTTTTATAAAGCAGAGTACAGAAAAAATGGAAAAGACATTTTAAAAACAAAGCATTAAAATGTACAATTAAAAATATTAAAATGGAAAGAGTAGTAAAACTATTATATTCCGAACCAGCCATCCCACATAAACCCTCGCTTACAGCCATTAAAAGCAATCCTAACAACAATAAAATATATCTCATAATAAAAGCAGACCGACATAAAAACATGCTGGTCCCAGCTAAAAGGCAACCAGAAAGCAGCTGAAGGACCTCTCAGGGAAGCGAGCTCCACAAACAAGCAGCCATCACCCAAAATGTCCCCTCACTTGCATCCACTGTCCTCAAAATGGCCAGGAGACAAGCACCTACCACATGATTCATTGTCAATTAGTAAAATGTTCCACAAGGGGCTGCCCTTGAAAATGGCCTGGCGCTTGCAGCTGGTGCAGGATGCAGCTGCTAGTGTATTAAGTGATTTGTCTTACCAGAATCACATAAAACTCATTCTGTGCAAACTGTACTGGCTGACGGTGTGCTACTAGGTTCGATGCCATCTTGGCAATTAGTCTGTAAAGGGGACCCTGCTGGTTTCACAGGGCCTTCTCGGTTGTGGCATCCCAGCTACGGAATGTCCGCCTCCAGGAGATTCAGCTTCCCTCACTGGTTGCGTAGACCAGACATGTTCAAACCGTCGACCGTGATCGACAGGTAGATTGTGTTGGCGCTCCATGTCGATCGCGGTATTAAAAAAAAGTGATCGCCTGCGTGCTCCTGATTGATCGATCTGCGCCCCACCCCTGGCGCTATGTCCCATTGCCACCGTCACCGCTTTGAATTTTTTTCCCCCCATTCCGCAGTGGCAGAGTGTTTGAAGTAGGGAGGATGACATATTGTTGTATGAGCGATTCAGGGCAATTCTCCCCCCCCCCCCAAAAAAAGCTCAACAACTCTGAACACTGCCCCCCTCCCAATACTCATCTTTTTCTGCAAGCATTTGGAAATACCTGAATTTATCAGGTCCTGCGATGTGGATAGCTGCTGTTGGATTTTTTTCTGATTTTAATGCTTTTAGTTTTATGGTAATAGTATTGCGTATATAGCTACAGTATTTGCTGTGTAACTCCTGCCTGCCATGCTGGAAATATTACTTATGGCAATAACTCTAACAAACAAACAAAGGCAAAAGAGTTAAGACTCACCGTATAGACCTTTTTATCACCATTAGGCAGTGGAGTTCCATTTCTGTACCACTGATATTGTGGCATAGGGATTCCTATAGCTCCGCACTGAAGACTCAATGTTTCCCCTACTAGCAGGTTTTGGCACTGTGGATGGATGTAAATATGTATTTTCTTTTCAGGTAAATCCGGACAGTTTCCTTAAATGAAAGATTAAGAAAGGGAATTTGAGATTCTTTAGCAGCTGATGGTAAAAACAGATGGTAAAAATATACAACTTTCTATAATAAAAAACCCTCTTGCTTATATAAAAGCAATTTAAAAATACAACAACGTTCACAGTTTGATAGTAAACAGATTTGGAACATGCACTACCTCTTTTTAGCAGCAGACCCAAGAAAGGGGAGCTGCAAAATTTGTGAAGGAGAAGAAGCAAGAGGATTGTTTCATTGCTTCCATGCTCACCACCTTGCACAGCCACTTGCCCCTTCCTAGTTGCTTTTCTAAAGCACATTTTTAAAGATGCTTTTAACTGTTTAAAATATATTTTGTTTTTTAATCACACAGTTATAACTTTTTTTGTGCATTTGCCACCCTCGGAGGAAGGGTAGGATATAAATGCACACTGCCCAGGCTTGCACCCTGAGGAGGTCACTTTGCTGCTGCTAACACAGCGGCTTGACTTCACCCCTGGAGACACACTCCATTGTCTCTTGAGACAGATGGATGCTGACAACAACCATTTTGCCACAGCAAGTGTGGAAGAGAGATTGTGAGGGTGGGTTCAAGGGGAGCGGGGAGGAGGCTTACATAGGAAATCAGCAGACAGAGGAAGGGTCCTCTTGCTACCCTACAGAGCAAAAGCAACAGCCTAGGTTTCGAACTGCATTAACTATTGAATATCTTGCCTTAATAGATAAGCTAATTGAAAAGGTTTTTTTTAAAAGTAAAGATCAGAACGCTGCACAGCAAGTTATTTCAAGTTAGTGACATCCTCCTCTTTCTCCAAGGCGTTCTGAGAAACATTGAGTTCCTGCATTTTGTTTCCTGTTAACGCTAAAGCATTGCCAAATATAATCTGCGTAACACACACACACACAGACTCATTCTACACAGCTCAATGCCACTGACAGTAAGGGAATAGCATCAGTCTTCCTGTTTCTTCACAGGTCGCTTGTGTATTTCTAGAGGAGGACATTGAAGGAGTTGCACTTCAGACCCAGGAATGGGAGTGGTATCAGAAGTGCTTGATTGGGACGAGAACCATGTAAGCCCACCTTGAGCTCCTTGGAGAAAAAGGTGGGCTATAAATGCAATAACTGAATAACAACAACAACAACCTGGAATTAATTAATGCATGTTCCTAAGTGTATTTAAAACAAAACGAAGCGAAAACTAAGCTTCTGTGGCCAAATATTTCTAATGCACAAACATAAGCTAGCAAGATGTTAGGTATGCACTGAATGTGTGGCACTACAGAGTGCACACATTGTACCATTAAAGCAGAGAAAGGTCTGTCAGAAGTTTTTAACTCAGTTGTTGTGGTCAATCAATCATGTGTCAGCATGCATGGATTAAAAGGTTTAGACAACCCAGACACATGCTGCAGTTGCCACCTAACCTGTCAAGGGCTTTGGATTAAAGGTTCAACATCATCATGTACTGCATGCATTGAAACTCTCTGGTCTTCCTACAGCTCCAGATGCTCTCATTTTATAGGACACGAAGAGCAGGCAGACTGTGTTCAAGGGGGTCCAACAATTGATGTGCTCTGCACGTATACAAGGCTGCTTTCATAGAAGACACCAAAATAATTTACTAGGTGCTTTGTGCGTGTAATGGCTTCATGAGATATATTTAGAGACATCTCTTGAAGCCGTTATATACACGATACAAATAATTTCAAAACAGGAAATATTCAAAACAGAAAATTCCCCAAGAGGTGCCCAACAGCCAGGTAACTGGGTTCCAGCCAAGGAATTATTTGTTCTTTCCCAGAGGCATTCCTGTTGATCATTCTCTTATTCACTACTACCACGTCAGTTCATCCATCACACAACTAAAGCGATTTTCACAAATAACATGAACAATATTTCCATATCTCTTAGGTGTTTTTAACCGTATGCACACATGCTTCTTTCCCAATCTTCTACTGTTACCAATTAATCAGTGTGGCATACGCAGCTTAACAAACCCCACTTAACAGCTAATCATGCCTTGACACAAATGTTGAACACAGAATAGGGGCAGGAGAAAGAATTAAATGGAGGATTGAGGAATTGCCATGCTCTGACCTCCTAAGTAACGGAAATGTTTTGACTGCAAATCTTTTGGTCTCTATGGGCTCCTTCAGCTATAAATTCAATTAATAATAATAAAAATTAAGAAAGCCGAACAAATTAAATGCCATATGACATCGAGACATTCTTTTCAATTCAAATGAGCCCCTGGAAATGTAGCTATTTAAATTATCAGAAGGACATCTAATGTTAATAGAAATGGTCTATAAAGATTGTAAATTTAATTTTTTTCAATCAAAGAGAGAAACGTATAGCATCTGAACTCTCCTCCTGGGGGAGTCTCATAGCACTCCCATTTTTTCTTAACTGTAGTTCATTTGAACATGCATAAATGCAAAAATCAGTGTAACGTCAGAACAGTTTGACAATAATAAACAGTTTGACAATAATACGAAATCCTCTTTTAAAATCAGGTAGTCAGAAAAGACTGAAGAGCATTTCTTGCACAAACAATAGTGCTAGGAGAGTGATGACAATAATATAAACAGCTGGGGTAGGATGGCTCATTCCAGGGTCATGGCCTGCTCCCTTGGAATTGCACTGTAGTTATTACTGTGTTCCTCATATGCATACTTCCCTGGTATAATGTTACACACAAAATACTACTGCAGTTTTCTGCAAAAATTACAATTATGTACTGCTTTATAATAGATTCTTCTCTGTGCAGTTTCAAGGTGGCTCATTGACCTTTGGATGCCGGGAACGCCATCAAAATTTCACGAATTACGGAACAGTTTGGCATAATTAATCATAACTTTTCCAGGGTAGTGTACTATGTACTGGGAAGTAACTTAACCTTATGAAACCAGAAGTGTAGTCTGGTGTCTGTGGAAAAAGGGAACCTTGCAGAAGAAAATGCTCATTACGGCTGTGGATGATTCAAGCAATTTTAGTGAAACCGAAACAAGTTCACAGAACATGATTCTCAGGACCTCTCGGGACAGTTTTTGGAGCAATAAATATACTCTTAGTTTTCCTTGTGGTACAGCTATGCTTTACTCAGAGTAGACCCACTATAATTAATGAACATGACTAAGCTATGTCCATTAATCTCAGTGGGTCTAATTTGATTAAAACTTAGCTGGATACCACCCACAGTGTCTAGGTCTGTAACATTTGGAAATGGAAAATTCCGCCTCAAATCCCCACTTGGCTATAGAATTCACCATGTAGTCTGAGGCAACTCCCTCTCTCCATCTTATCTCATAGGCTGTGAAGGAAATACACCATCATCTTGAGCTTCGTAAAGAAAAGGTAGCCTATGAGAATAACAAATAATACAGCGTGCAAAGTCTAGACATCCTCCCTCGAGTTTGTACTTCTGTTGCAAGGTATCACATTTCCCCTGCACTCAGTGGGCTATGTTTTGTTGAGGGGAAATGCAATTATTTCTCTCTGCTACTGCAATTGTCAAATTCATCTACTGAATGCTGACTGTAACAACTCTATCTACTCCACTATAGCTGCTTTAAATATCCTCTTTTTATTGAGTGCAAGAATACTCACCCAGTCCTTAACTGAGTGGCAGCCGTAGTAAAAAGTACCCCTCTCCACAATAAACCATCATTTTGTGAATGTTTCACTTGTAGTTTTTCAGGGCTGTGGGGATTTGTTGGGGGGGGGTTGAACCTGCACGTTCCCCCTCTCAGTTTGGGAGAATATATCTATACTGAATACATTTTTTGACAGAGGTGAACTATCTCTTCCCAATGCCTCACAACCATTCCATGAAGATCATGGTATCATACTATTGACTCATCTTCAGCCCTACCTGGAGATGCCAGAAATTGAATCTGGGACCTTCTGCATTCAAAGCAGGTGCTCTACCACTAATAGTAATAATAATAATTTTATACCCCGCCCATCTGGCTGGGTTGTCCCAACCACTGAGCTATGGTCCTATTTGTATGTGTGCTTGCCTGCTCAAGCAGAGGCTGACTGGGGTGGGGAGAACAATAAATCATGCAGAGATTATCACAAAATATCACAAAAATGAGTTTGGGACTTGCATTGACTGAGCAGCTCAATAAGCCCTAGATTAGGGAAGACCAAAAGAGACAGGAGGGGATCTGAACATATACTTTAATTGTAACTTGGGGCCCTTTTATGCAGCCAGTGGAATCAAATGGCTATGCTTTTCATAGACTGAATCACCTGAGGCTGCAGGTGGTGGCAAGTCTGAATACTTCCCTAAGGGGGAAAAACCTCCCTCCACAAAGAAAGCTAAGATGTCAGGCAAAGGCCACACTCGTGACTTTTCATTATGTGGGGCATTTATCCGAGGGGAAACATTAACCCTCTGCACCTGATAGGTGAAGTGGTAAGCCTCAGGAAAAGCATTTCCATTTGATTCTACTACTTAAAGGAAGTGACTGCAAAGTGAAACAAAGCAGAAAAAAGAGGGGGGAACAATCCTGTTCTCAAGACGGAGGCATGGAGAATAACGGACAGGAACACCTGTACTTTCTGGAAGCAGGAACTATAGAGCAGGAGGAAAATTCCATCACCAGTGGCTCTACGCCGGTCTGAGACATTCTTCACAATCATTACCAAGAGAAGAAAAAACAGTAACACGTAAGCAGCCATAACCCACTGGCCGCAAAGACCCAAAAGCATCATCGTCGCAGCAGAATGCATTTATTGTACGACACACGTTTCTTAACTCACCATGGCAAGCTCCTTGGATTTCGCAGACATCGAGCTGTGCCCACTGGCTGAACTGGTAAGTATAGTCACTGTTTACTCGGCATATGTAAAAACCAGCATCCTCTGCACTTACTTGGTTGAGCACCAGTTCTTGGGTATTGCCACGTGGAACCTGAAACAAAAATACAAAAACACAAATTGCAACAATGGAGGATAAAGCACAATAGTACTTGTTTTTTCATACAAGAACTATAATCAAAGATGATTATAGTTTGAACTTAACATATGAACATTAAAGGAGCTATGCTGGATCAGGCCAAAGGTCCATGTAGTCCAACATTATGTTAACCGAGTGGCCAACCAGATCTCTATAGGTAGCGGGACCTGAAGACCACAGCACTCTCCCCACGTTATTCCAGCAACTGGCATTCAGAAGCAAGCCAGCAGAGGCAGAATATAGCAATCATAGCTTTAAAAAAGTCTTATCCTCAAAGAATTCATCAAGAATTTCAAGCCTTACAAGTTGATAGCCTGTGGGAGGGAATTCCATTCTGTTCAGGAAATGCCATAGTTTTGATTATGCACTGTGCAATTAATTATTTTATTTTGGCTATCCTGGATTTTCCAATATTCAGCCTCTTTGGATGGCCATGAGTACTAGTATTTCCAATTTCTCCACACCATTTCTACTTGAATAAACCTCGCTTTTTCAAAAAGAAAAAGGCCAAATGTTTATAGGCGAGTTGCTCTAATTCCCTGGCCATTTTGGGTGCCCTTTTCTGAATCCTTTCTAGATCTACAATATCCTTTTAAAGGTGAGGCAACCAGAACTGTACACAACATTCCAAGTATGGTCTCACCATTGGTTTGCAGAATGGCATTATGATACTGGCAGTTTTATTTACCAGCTAAGAATAATGACCATTTTGCTTCACAGTTTACTTATCAACACTCCCGTTATTCCCAGAGCTTCCTCGTAAGTTGATTTACCGCTTTGCTTTCTTTGAACCACTGATAATGAAGAAGTGGATAACCAGCTGCCCAGCAGCTTAGCTTCACTGTCTGGCCAGATAGAACAGCCTGAGATTCTGGTTCTACAACTATCATTATACCTGTTAAAAAAAAAAAAGACAAGCCATGTTTAATATGGAAGATTAAACAATTTACACTTGATGTTTAATATTAACCTAATTGTGAATTGTTTGCAAGACAATTTGAGAATAAAGTCCTGTTACTTCTTTTGTTTGACATCTCAGTGGCTTTTGAAATCATTGTGTCAGCCGAACCCAAGCTGGAGGTTTGGTACTCCCAAGCAAACCATGGGTGGCAAATCAAGAACAAAACTTGACTTGGGACTCTCTCTAGAGAGAAACAAACCACAGGGCCGGGTTCAGATGACAAAGCAAGCCCAAGCATCTCATGTTTCGAATCTTCCGTTCCTGGGTAAGGTGATTGAGAGAGCGGTTGCTGAACAGCTTGGTGGGTTTCTGGATGAAACATCGGCTCTGGATCCATTCCAGTCCGGCTTCCGCGCTGGTCATGGGACCGAGACGGCTCTGGTTGCCCTAACAGATGATCTTCGTAGACAGCTGGATCGAGGCGGGTCGGGGCTGCTGATTCTTCTAGATCTGTCAGCAGCTTTCGACATGGTCGATCACGAACTCCTGGACCACCGCCTTGCCGACGTGGGGATCCAGGGCACAGTCCTTCAATGGCTGCGCTCGTTTCTCTCTGGTCGGGGACAGAGGTGGCGCTTGGGGGGGAATTGTCATTGTGCCACTCCTTGGTGTGTGGAGCGCCCCAGGGTGCGATACTCTCCCCGATGCTTTTCAACATCTTTATGCGCCCCCTCGCCCAGCTTGTCCGGAGTTTTGGGCTGGGTTGCCATCAGTATGCTGATGACACCCAACTCTATCTGTTGATGGATGGCCATCCTGACTCGGCCCCAGACACACTGACCAGATGTTTGGAAGCTGTGGCTGGATGGTTACGTGGGAGCCGGTTGAAGCTAAATCCTTCAAAGACAGAGGTCCTGTGGCTGGGACGGGACGATATGGGATTGGGGGGGGCAACTCCCATCTCTTGCGGGGGCGCAATTAGTGCCAGCACCATCCGTCAAGAGTTTGGGTGTAATCTTCGACACCTCCCTTTCCATGGAGTCGCAGACTGCAGCTATAACAAAGGCGGCATTTTTCCATCTCCGCCAAGCTAAGCAGTTGGCTCCTTACCTCTCTCACCCTGACCTAGCCACTGTGATCCACGCGACAGTCACCTCCAGACTGGATTATTGTAACTCACTCTACGTGGGGCTGCCCTTGAGACTGACCCAGAAACTCCAGTGGGTGCAGAATGCTGCAGTGAGACTCCTTACGGGGTCTTCGCTGCGAGATCACATTCACCCGGTGCTATACCAGCTGCACTGGCTCCCGGTGGAGTACAGGATCAGGTTTAAGGTGCTGGTTTTAACCTTTAAAGCCCTATATGGCCTAGGACCCTCGTACCTACGGGACCGCCTCTCCTGGTATGTCCCACAGAGAAACTTACGGTCTTCAAATAAAAACATCTTGAAGGTCCCAGGCCACAGAGAGGTTAGGCTGGCCTCAACTAGAGCCAGGGCTTTTTCGGCTGTGGCTCTGATCTGGTGGAACACTCTGTCACAAGAGACTAGGGCCCTGCGGGACTTGACATCTTTCCGCAGGGCCTGCAAGACAGAGCTGTTCCACCAGGCCTTTGGCCAGGGCACAGCCTGACCCCCTCCCTCGGCAATCTTCGCGGAGCTCTGGCCCAATGGTTGCCAGTGGCTTGATTTGAATTAATTTTATAATGAATGATTTAGAGTGTTGTGTTGTGTTGTACTTTTGTACTGTTTTATTGTTGTTAGCCGCCCTGAGCCCAGCTTTGGCTGGGGAGGGCGGAATATAAATAAAATTTATTATTATTATTATTATTATTATTATTATTAGGCCAGAATCACAGACTTTAAAGCTGCATATTTGTTGCTTGTTTGCAGTAAACTTCAGTTAAACAGTCACTATGGATTCATACGACATATGAGCCGTGCCATGCTAGCTTGAACTTAAGAATCGCGGCTAGAGGGTAGTTAACTAGGTTCTTATCTCTATGCATGCCATTAAAATATTCTGAGAACACTGTCCATATTTTAGGTAAGGTAAAAGGTAAAGGACCCCTGGATGGCCAAGTCCAGTCAAAGGCAACTATGGGGTGTGGCACTCATATTGCTTCAGGCCAAGAGAGCCAGCATTTGTCCACAGACAGCTTTCCGGGTCATGTGGCAAGCACTTCTGGCACAATGGAACACTGTGACGGAAACCAGAGTGCACGGAAAGGCCATTTACCTTCCCGCCATAGCGGTACCTATTTATCTACTTGCACTGGTTCACTTTCGAACTGCTAGGTTGGCAGAAGCTGGGACAGAGCATCGGGAACTCACCCCATCACAGGTATTCAAACTGCCAACCTTACAATCGGCACGCTCAAGAGGCTCAGTGGTTTAGACCACAGCGCCAACGAAGACCTTAAGCCAATAAAGGTGAATAAAATCACAACACTGAAGACTTTGACCTCTACATTGCATTGGCAGATGGTCATTAAATTCAATTTGCTCTCTACACAGTCAAGGTTACAATGTCAACATATGCAAGCAGTATATTTCTCATTTGCCTGGAATTTTGATGGGATGGCTGTTAGAGAACTTTCAGAAGGAGCAGAGAGTACCTGTTTTTATTCAGCACTACTGCAAAGTGGCAACATTATAGCCACATTCACCTTCATGGTCTGTGGCTGATAAGCAACCCCATCCTTTGTGTATACACAGATGTACAGAGTAGCTTGAACTGACAATAGCTAAAGTAATCAACCAGCATGGCACACCTATCTTATTCTGTTGTGAAATAAAATTCCATTCATGATTCACGCATCGCTATGGAGGGGGCATTTGCCTTCATGTTTCAGACTGCCCTCTTCCCCAACCAATTCTACTTTTAAAATGGCTTTTGATCTGATTTCATTTAGATGTAAATTCTGACCCATCGGTTTTATTTACTTTTTAATATTGAAGATGAAGATGTAAACAATCTCTGTACTTCACTCATTCACAATCACAGTTATTCTTTTTATTTGCCTTTGATTGCCTTTGATTTTTATTTGCCTTTGATTGATCTGTACATCCTATTTGATTTTTTGTGTTACTAAACACACAGACACATTCCCCCCCTCTAATCTGACTCTATTTCCAAATATAAACAAATGATACCAAACAGGCATGTGAAGTCGCATACAGAACAACTAATTTGAAACAAGAAATATATAAAGTAAGAAATTTTATGAATGGCAACGTTTTGCAAATTTTTCTTTATGTGATCTAACAGAAGAAAGGAAGCGATTTTGCCCCACCCACTTTTTATTTATTTTTCTTTCTTGTTTGGTTATTGATAACGGATTTTAATGTCTGGTTTCTGATAACGTGACAATGTTTAACTTGTTTTAAGACTCAACTGGTAATACAGTGGTACCTTGGGTTAAGTACTTAATTCGTTCTGGAGGTCCGTACTTAACCTGAAACTGTTCTTAACCTGAAGCACCACTTTAGCTAATGGGGCCTCCTGCTGCTGCCGTGCCGCTGGAGCACGATTTCTGTTCTCGTCCTGAAGCAAAGTTCTTAACCTGAAGCACTATTTCTGGGTTAGCGGAGTCTGTAACCTGAAGCGTATGTAACCTGAAGCGTATGTAACCCAAGGTACCACTGTATTTAGAAAGCTTAGCATTGGTTACTTTACAAGAAGGAGGTGTTTTCTATGATACTAGGTGTTTAAATGGTAAATTATACAGAAACCTTAAATGAGTCCAAAAATGTTGGTGCAATAACATCTCAATAGTTTGAGGGGCCTTAAAGCCCTAAGTAATAAATTATAATTATAATTAATTATATTATTAAAAAGGGAGGGAGAGAGAAAGACGGCTTTGTGGAGCCAAAATTCACATGAGAGATGTTCCATGTCCTTCTGTCCATCATGCATCCTGCACCAGCCTTGGACTAAAACAAGGGGTTTCTACAGTACCTCCAGTAAAGGTGATGGATTCTCACACCAGAGGTCCAGTACACACTGCTGTCACTGCATACAAGGCCAACTCAACACCTTAAGGCAAGATGCTACACTGATATGGTGCCAACTAAAAGAGCCTAATTGCATGCATGCTACTTCCTACCACATTCTGTATTAAGACTCTTTCAAGACACAGACTCATGGCTTTACCAGCAGTCAACTCCCCCACTCTGCCTTATTTACCATTTTTGTTTTGCATGATGAAGAGGTCTGGAGAATTCAAAAGCCTGCACACTATTTCATGATACTGTGGTTGGCCTGACAAACGTATTGCCCTGATATGCATGGGATTTTTCTTATGGGCCAATACTGTTACCTTTACTTTTCATGCGACTCGTATAGCTGTCATTCCACCCCATCCTAAATACTTATTTGCCTGTGTGGCAGCTCACTGCATCAGAACCCTGGCTTCTGAAAGTCTGCTTTATATTTTGTCTTTAGCATACCCTAAGTACACTGGGTCATGGATTGCCAGGTTACATATGTTAAATCTAGTGAGGTAGACTGTGGTCCACAAAAGCTTCTTCCATAATATATTTGCCAGTGCAGTGGTACCTCGGTTTAAGAACAGTCCTGTTTATGAATGATTCGGTTTACGAACTCCACAAAAGAGGAAGTAGTGTCCAGATTTGAGAATTTTACCTCGGTCTAAGAATGGATTCCAAATGGTGGAAGGGCACCGGCAGCGGGAAGCCTCATTAGGGAAAGCGCACCTTGGTTTAAGAACGGTTTCGGTTTAAGAACGGACTTCCGGAATGGATTAAGTTCATAAACCAAGGTATTTGTATTTGTTCTTGCTGCAAGAGACTAAAGTGGCTACCAGTCTGGAAAATGTTGCACTTAGCATAAAAGTAGCCTGACTCTGAGTCTGCACATGTAGACCTTTAAAGTCTCCCTCCCAACAGGTGAAGAAAGCTGAAGGGACTTTGATAGCTCCAAAAAAGACAGGTAACTGGAAATGAGAGGAGAAAGCTGACCATTTTCCCTTCCTTCCCTCCCAGTTATGATTTTAGCCTCCAATATTTTGGAAGCCTTCCAAGTTCTGAACCAGCAGAGCCAAGCCACTTTCCAAATTTTCAACATAACACATAACTCAGATTTAGCAGAACCATAAACTCACTTGGCGGGCTGAGGCACTGAAGTGCCTCAGTGTGTTCTAAGGCCTGCAGCAATTCTGTCAGCTCCAACACAGTGCAACCTCTCTCTCCCATTAGTTGAAGAAGACTCCAGCTCGGACTTCCTTCAGGCTCCAGTACTTGGAGAGAACACTGTTCCAGTTCCAGGGAACTGCAAAGAATCATAAAATATAAAAAAGAAAATCTTTTTATATTTATATAATTATGAAAGGTAAAAAGGTAAAGGACCCCTGGACAGTTATGTCCAGTTAAAGGCGACTATGGGGTTGCAGTGCTCATCTTGCAGAGCAATGGGAGCTCACCTCGCCACAGGGATTCAAACCCAAGAGGCTCAGTGGTTTAGACCACAGCGCCACCCACGTCCCACTATGATATAACTATGACTAATTATGGGACTAAAAACCTTTCTCCCCTGGAACATGCCTCAAAAACGAGTTCTGGTGCTAGAGTGAAATATGTGAATGTAGACTGCCCAGCTATTTATATCAAACACTTCCTCAATACAACTTCTCGGTTCCTTTTAACAAGAATATGACTCTGTATTTACAGTGATGTTTTAAGCCCCATATTTACTTAACTCTTTTGTCTATAATATTCCAGCTTATCATTAGCCTCATTTCTAGAGAGTGTATATTTACTTTGATGAAGGATTCATGCAATGTTATGAATCCCAGTATCAGAATACTGTTGCTCACAATTTGGCTATCTTGGACAACAGAACAAACTGAAGTGGGAAACCTGCCTTCCAGAGGCTACTACCACCACCACCCCGATCGTCCCAGTGCCCTCCAGGGGGGCGGTATCATCCACTTTGGGAAACACTGGGCTGGATGAGCCTCAGAGTCCCTTACAACTCTATGATTCTATGAAATTGTTGAAATAAATACACTGCATTGCAGGGAGGTGGACTGGATGACTCTTGGGTCCCTTCTGACTCTGCAATCCTATGATTCTATGAAATGTAATAATTGTGTTTAGCTGATTATATTTTTTATCATGATGGGTTCCTTTGGGAAGAAACATAGAGTCCAATATGTTATCCTTTAAATGCTGCCTTGATTCAAAACCCATTAAAGGAAGACTAAAGGATAGCTGCTATGGCTATGTTTTACCTGCACTGTCAGGTCTTTCCCCCCTCACTTTTCATTGAAGTTTTCTATTCTACTTTTACGGTCTGCTTTTCCAAGAGCCACCTGAAAATTATTTTTATTGGAATACTGTACTTTGAAATAAGTTAAGAAATGACAGCTCAATAGCACACACTTCTCTTGTGCTATTTAAATATTAAAGGGGGAAAGGTACTGAAAATTATTAATATACCAATTTTAGCATGCCTGAAGAGCTGGGCAGATAAATATATAGCTGCCACACACACCCACACCCCAAAAAATTAATTACAACTTTGATTTTAGATTTGGCCACTGTTGCATCCCTTCCAGTCGCCTAATTTGATTTGTGCTTTGTCCATTCATTAAGTTGCCCATTCATTTTATGAAACCATGCATTCCTAAAGGGGGCAGGTCTTCCATGGCGAAACACATACTGTGGTGTAAATCCTTCCAGGAAACTTTCCATTGCAGATTCCCCCCCCCCCCCATTATCACTTATTTTGGCCCTTAGAAACAGTGAAGAGGTTTGAGATAACTTTGGGGGAGCCTGATCTTCCTCCTGGTCCCACCTCTTGAAAGCCATTGGGTTGGCATCCGTCTGTCTCAGGAGTCAATGGAGAAGTGCGCATTTGGCAGAATTGCAGTGCCTGCTGTGGCTGTAAAGAATCCCTGCATGTTTTACATAAACTAAACCATTCAGAATCCCATTATTACATCCTTCAAAACTTATCTGTTGAATTTATCTTATTGCTGCTGATGTTTTCAAGTGTACACAATGCCCCCCCCATACTTAATAAACATTTTCCAATCTTCTTTAAATGCATGTTCTTCTTGTTCTCTTATTCTATATTGTTAGGTCAGCAAGCTGCACATATTCCATCAGTTTAAGTTGCCATTCTTCTTTGGTTGGGAGCTCGCTCGTTTTCCCATTCTGGGGCTAATGAAACAGGAGCCGCAGTAGTAGTAACCTTTTTTGACACCTGGAAGTTTCCATCTGAATTATCCCCAACAAAAAGGACTCTGTTTTTTTGTTTTGTTTTTTAGGAAAGTGCTTTTAAACATCCCCCCACCCCACCCCAAAAAAATTCATTATAAATTACAGTACTGTATTTCCCAATACTCTTTTACCCTCTTACTGGTCCACCACATATGAAAGATTCTTTCATATGGCTTAGCCTTCTCTAGCCCGCTCTTAAAAGCTATGCAAGCGGGCGGCCGTCATGTGGCAGCGAGTTCCACTGTTGAAACTGTGTGCGAAGAAGCACTTTTCTCGCCCTGCCCCGAGTCTCCTCATCCAGCATCGCTGGGGGAGCGTCTTCCTCCTCCTCCTCCTCCTCATCAACGCAAAGCGCCCACAAACGGGTTTCAGGCCAGTCGACGAAGACTCCTGTGGCGCCCGAAAGCCTCGCAAAACGAGAGAGAGAGAGGCCTGCCTTTCCCTCGACGGCCTGAGGCACCAGCGAGGTCCCCGCACCCCTTACACCTCGCCTCACCTCAGCTTCACACCGCGGTGGCTGCCGGCCAGCTGCGCCAAGTCCCTCCAGCCTCTGCCCGGAGCCGCCCGGTCCAGAGAGCCGCTCAGCCTCCTCAGCAGCGGCTCCTCGAGGCGGTGGATGGGCAGAGGGGCGGCCGGCGGCAGCGACCCCGCCATGCTCGGGAAGCGAAGGGGCGGCGGCCGCCGGTGCCGGTGGAAGAAGCCCGTCCCCTCAGAAAGACTTCTTTTCCCCCTCGGACTTTGCGTGCAAAAAGCGAAAGGGAAGCAAAGCGCCGCGAAACTCCTCAGGAAATCCCCGCCCCGTCGTAGCAGGAAGCCCGCGGAGGCCCCGCGCCGGAGCCTCGCCTCGCTTCTCCTCAGCCGCCCGCCCTCTCCAGGCTGTGGGGAAGCCGACAGCGGGGCAGGCAGGCAGGCAGGCCGCGCCGCCGCCTCTCCGAAATTTCGCGCGCCTTTCCCGCCCCTCTCAGAGGGGAGTTCGTGTTTGCCAGGCTTGGGAGGGAGGCACCTGTGTGGCCCCTCTCCAAAATCAGACCTCCTGCTTCTTTGCTGAGGGGGGCGGGTTAATGCGTGCATATTTTTTATTATTTCATTTTCATTTACCTATCTCTCTAGCAGCGTCCCGCCTTTCCTGCAAGGACCTCCAGGTGCCGTGTTGGTGGTAGGAATAATAATAGTAAGCAATGCATTATAGGTTTGGACCTGTGCAATGAAATGTTGCAGAATGCTGTGCTTTCCTGCGCTTGTTTTCTAAAATGCCTTAGGCCATTCTTGGATGTGGCAAGACTCTATGAAACAAGATTCTGTGAAGTCTGTTGTGAAACAGATAACACTTGCCCCAGTTTTAGTACTGTACATTAAGATGAGTGTAGCCATAGGAAGGGACAGCTGCCCCCCTAAAAAATCAATAAAAATACATAGCAAACTGAGGTTCTGCCCCGCCCACCAAACAAAAGGCCTGCCCTCCCTAACAAAAATCCTGCATTCAGACCTGCTGAAACTGCAATACGTAGCCCACTAAAATGCAATATATGAAGCAGACTTCATAGCACCCGATTTTGCTATCTTCGGTGGTTTTCCTTCATATGCTTAAATACATACGCTTCAGGTTACAGACTCCGCTAACCCAGAAATAGTACCTCGGGTTAAGAACTTTGCTTCAGGATGAGAACAGAAATCGTGTGGCGGCGGCACGAGGCCCCATTAGCTAAAGTGGTGCTTCAGGTTAAGAACAGTTTCAGGTTAAGAACGGACCTCCGGAACGAATTAAGTACTTAACCCGAGGTACCACTGTACTGTGATTCTCAACATCTGCCTACTCAGATGCAAGTTCTCTGAGTACAGTGGGACTTGCTCCCAGTTGAGTGTATAGGATAGAAGCCTCATGCTTCCTGCTGCCCCTTGTAGGATTTCAATGCCCTGCTTCTATCCTCAATGTCTTTCCATGCCAGCATACAGCCTCTCAGCCTGCAAAATTGCCCTCCTTGAAAATGGACACAAACACCACTCAGTTTCTTAGTAGGTTCTCCCTTTTGCCTCAGCTCTCTTTCCATCTGACTTGTTCAGCTCAGATAAAAGCTTTTGTCTGACTGGCTCCTGGACTGCCATCTAGTTGTGTGTGTTTTTGTTTTTTTAATCATATGGTTGTGACTCTCTTGACTTTCTCACAACTTGTTCCAGATTCTCCCTCTACCCAGTACTTCATTTCTAATATTAGATGTCCTGCGTCTTAAGACTGGCCTGGTTCCAACCTTCTGACCCGGAGTCCTGTTCAGCTATCCTAGATGTGTGCAACTTAGTTGCATAAGAAATAAACTTTTCTTATGCTCGCTGGTGCAGTACTCTTTCATTATTTCATATGCCCCAGCGCAGCATTATAGTAGTTTTTTTTAAGCACTGGACTGAACTTCTGTGAGTCCATTGGTGCGCTTCATTAGTTCTTACATACAACACTGATGACTTCCCTCTTTTGTAAACCTCTAGGAACCATTGCAGTCCTTTTGTTCACAGAGAACTCAGTTCCAGCACCTCTCAGGTGGGCACCATTGCCATTGTAAGAGAACAAGGAAGGCGTTCTAGAAAAATAGCACTGCCTTTATTATCACTTCCACCCGTTTCCGAATACCCTATCTTTCAAAAATCAAGTTGTATTGGTTCCCCATTTATCCCTTTGTAGAGACAGTAGCTGTATCATTTCCCCCTTGCTTTCTGGTTTCCTTCATTTTCCAGGATACAGTACTGCTGCCCCACTAGGGGAGACACCTGCGCCCCTCTTTCTTTCTATCGAAGAGCTGTTTCTGTACGCATTGCAGCTTGATGAACTCATCTGCAACTAGGGGAGAGGTAAGGTGAGGGAAGAAAATACATGCCCACTTCTCTAAAATCGTTTCTGGGAGTTTCTGGAAGTGAGCTATTCTCCTTAACTGAAAAGAGAGTGCTGAGGAACTTACACACAGGAAAATCCATTCACAGAAACACAGTCATGAATCACTTGGTTGGGAGGGAACTCTGAGGTGTCATCCAGCCCGAAACTGTCATACAGATTTTGGCAGCTTCTCTGATAGAGTTACAGCACATGATTTGCTGCAAATAATCCTGGGAACTGTAATCTCTTAAGGGTGCTGGGACCTGTAGCTCTGTGGGAGGTAAATAATAGATACCAGGACTCTTTGGGCAACAGGTTGGGAAAAGCTGCTTAGACAGACAGAGGGAAAGGGCATTTGGGGAACACATTCCTAATAAGGAAATGGTTAATTCAGATACACTGCCTGCATGGATAGAGTGTTGCCCAAAAACCATTTCTTGTGCAGGAGCAGCAATGTGTCTTTCCTCACCATTGATAATTTGCTGTTTCATTCTGGTAACGGAAATTCATTAGTAACATTGAATGGATGCCAAAAGTACAATATTAGGCAAACGTGACAGTTTCAAAGTTGTAATTAATGTTTTTCAGGTGATTATAGCAACCAAGTGTGTGAATTAGCAAATCAAGCACACTTCTTCGGGCACTAAAATTTATTAGTGTGTCAGCTTGTTTCAGTACCTTGTGGATTTCCCCCTTAAATTTTAACAATATGATGGGAGTACATCCTATTGTCTTTAATTTTTAAAATAAAAAATCCCAAAAAAAAATGTCCACAGAACATGGCATTTAAACCATATTAAGTGTGCTTTATTCCACCCCCTCCCTCAAATATTTCCATTGGGACAAAAACAAAATATCATGGGGTGCTTTTTAAAAGCTTTGTTTAGCAAATACAAGTAAAATAAGCATGCTAAATTAGATCACTCCTTATGGCGCCAGAAAATGTTATGATGCAAGCTGAAAATTTTCCAATGCAGATTACCCTAATTTGCATAGAAAGTTTTCGGGAAACCCTCTTCTAGGAATGCCATCCTCTTTTAAATGTTTCCTCTCCTGTTCTGAAGTACCCATGAGCAGAGCACTTTCCACTTGGGTGAGGAATTTTTGGCATGCAAACAATGAAAACATGAACTAATGTGCGCTAAAATATTATGACACTGGCTGCATTAACCTTTTTGGCAATGCTATATACGTTCAGCAACGTATCTTAGCAACTGGCACTTAGCCTTGCAAATAACTAATTAAGTGGATGTTGGCTTTTGCATCTTACAAACTGTTTAGATAAGCTGCTTTATTGCACAACTGAGTGTTCACAGTTGTATGAGCAATGATGTGTTACATTAGACAGACAATGACTCCAATAATATGCTTCTAGTATTTGAATAGTTAAGACTTCTTAAGAGTTAAGAATTAAGATAACTAGTTTCTATAGTCCAGTTATCAGGTGCTGGGACTTTGAGGATGGCAGTCATATGTGCAGCTCATTCATACAACTGTAGGCTTGCAGTACTGGGATACCTTGATTTCACTTGGGAAGTTAAGAAACTATGTTTTAAATGGATTTTAAATGTGTTGCGCTTTGGTTGGATGCTTTTAATGCCTAGATTTTAATTCCACTGTAAATTGCTGCATTTACTATTTAAACATGTTGTTGTTTTAATGTATTTTGGACATCACCGTAGACTTTTATAATGAATAGTGGTATATCAATATATTAAATAGACTAATGAATTAGCTGCTGCAGAGAAGGATGTCCTTAAAATAAAATATTGCATCTCTACGAAAAATGATAATAATCTACGGTTGGATGCAGTTTAGCTGAATATTACAGGTAGTTGGGCAATAGCAGGGAAACATTTGGTGCAACCCTGACTTTTTTCCAGAGCAGGGTCAAATGTGTCATCTGCCAAATCTCAGAGTAATTTGAAATTCCTTGTTCTGGGAAGTGAATGGGGTGGTAATTAGGCTTTCAAGTTTTCCTATTGAGTGTGATAGATTAGTGTAGAGGATTAAGGAGGAAAATAATCAAGCAGAGGCAGGATACTTATTTCCTTTTCTTTTATGAGGTTTCTACATCATGCTAGCTGTTTAAATGGCAACATTTCTTTGTATTTCTGATTAAAAGCTAAGATTCCGTTTCAGCCGGCTGAATATCTTTTGTTAAAGCTCAACTGTGTTTTACAGTCGGAACACAGAAGGCTACTGATCAACGCTCCACATAACCTGCCTCATAGTGCAGAGGGGAGGGGAGTTGGTTGCAGCAGGAGGAGGAGACTCTCTGGCTTCTTCAGCAGCCTGCCTCATCTCTGCCTCCATTTCTGCCTCTAATTCTGGACTGTTCTCTACCACAGCCTCTTCCTGCTCACTAAGCTCTGTTACCTCTTCAGCTTCCAACATCTGTTCCTCCGAGTCTTCTCCCTCTTCTCCTTCTGACCACTCATCATCATCCCACCACCAATCCCTGGACTCTGAGCCTTCTTCCCTTGAGGGTTTCCCAGCTGGCACATCCCACCACTCCTTGGCATCCAACCAGTCCGTAACATCAAGAGAACTTTACACTAAATCCTGAGGAGGAGGGAGGCAATATTGCAGACAGTACACCTGGTACTGGAGATAATCGCTTCATTGATGCACAGGAAACTGAGGTGGTGCTCTAGAAACCTGCTAAATGGCAAGAAACTACAAGAAGGAAGCTGGAGGGAATGACTCGTGCTTTCAGTTGCCTCTATTCTAATGCACAGAGTGTGGGAAACAAGCAAGATGAATTGGAGCTCTTAAAACAGGATGGCAAATACGACCTAATAGGCATCACCGAAACCTGGTTGGATGAGACTCATGACTGAAATGTAGTCCCTCATGAGGGATATAACCTATTTGAAAGGAATAGACCTGTTAGGAAGGGAGGGTGTGTAGCATTGTATGTAAAGGGTGTGTATACTTGTGAAGAGATCCATGACCTGGAGCATGGAAGGAGTATGGAGTAAAAATGGTAGGAGAGGGAAACAACAGTGACCCTATGGGTCTGCTATAGACCTCCAAGCCAGACTGAAGACTTGGATGATGCCTTTGTAACGCAGATTACCAAACATTCAAACAGGAGAGATATAGTCACGGGGGACTTCAGCTATACCAGTATCTG